CTTCAGTTAAAAACAAAGATTTCCACATAGAAGAAAAAAATCATAAATTTGGCTATGGGCCATTTATACAAGCAAAACCTCAAACATTAAGAAATAGAAATATTTCAACTCAAGGAGAAGAAAATGTGTATCAGGCAAAGATTAATATAAGAAATATGGCATAATATTTATAGTTAATTCTACATTAATATCAGATAAAATAGACTATTAGACAAAGGAATAAAAAAGTGATTGCTACATAGTGCAGTGTGGCACAGAGAGTTAAGCCACCACCTGTAGTGCTGGCACCTCATATGGGCACTGGTTTGTGTCCTGGCTGTTCCACTTCTGATCCAGCTCCCTGCTAATGAGTCTGGGAAAGCAGTAGAAGATGGCCCAAGTACTTGGGCCCCTGTACCCACATGGGAGATTTGGATGAAGCTCCTGGCACCTGGCTTTGACCTGGCCCAGCGCTGGCCATTGTGGCCATCTGGGAAGTGAACCAGTGGATAGCAGATCTCTGTCTCTCTTTCTCTCTCTCTGCATCTCCCTCTCTCTAACTTGACCCTTCAAATACTTTTTTAAAAAAAGTTTGAAATCATTAGAAAAGTATGAAAATTATAAACTTACTTATACCTAATAATGTAGCAAAAATTAATAAATGACAAGGGAAAATCGACAAAATCACCATATTTAGAATAGAAGAACAAAATATTATGTGTCAAAACTAGATAGCTAAAGGGATGCATGTAGGAAGTATATATTCTTAAATGCTTCCATTAGGAAAGAAGACATGTTCAAAATTAATGATCTGTGCATTCAATTTGAGAAATTAGAAAAAAGAACAGCAAACAACACTCCCCCCCCCCATTTTTTAAAGTAAAAGGAAAGAAATAATAAATGTAGAGGGAGAAATTAATGAAGTAAAAAGCAATTACACAATTGAGAGTCTTGACAAAGCCATTTTCTGAAAGCTTAATGAAACCAACAAACCTCTGCTGAGATTAACAATGACAAAAGAAATAAGACACAAATTAATCCTATTAGGGAAAATTGAAAATGTAACTAATAAAGATAAGCATTTTTTTAAAAAAGAGGATATTATGGGCAACTTTATGAATAAAACTGAAAACTTAAAAACATGTGTAAATTCCTGGAAAAATACAACCTGCAAACAGTGACTCAAGAGGACATGGGGATCTTAGTTTATGAGAAACACCTCACCTACCTCACTAATATAAAGAAGAAAGACATGGCCATCTCAGCAAATGCAGAGAAATTATCAGTGAAATTATACAACCATTTTACAGACACTCTGCAAATGAGGGATAAAAAGGAGTGTCCTTAATTCAGAAAATGGCATCTACAATAACCTGAAGGCTACAGAAAACTTAACAGTGAGCGGCGAAAGCATTCCCTGTGGTATCAGGGAGAGAAGCAGGGCTGCCTCTTACCGAGGCTTCTTTCCACTCTGCACTGGCTATCCTGGCCCGTGCGGACACCAGCAAAAAGAAGAAACAGTTACAGGAGTCAGGAGTGAATAGACGAAGCCGTCGTTATCCGTGGATATTTGGCTTTTGGAAAACACTAAAGAAGTAAACTTATTTGAGTTTCAGCAAGTTCTCTCAACATACAGTCATTCCCTGAAAGGCAGTTACTTTTCTATTCAGAAGCAATAGTCAGAAAATATAAAATGTAATTTTTTAAAAGATGCCATTTAAAATAACAGCACCTGGAAGTAAATCTATCTAAAGTTGTGTGTGTCTGTTATGAAACTTTATTGGCAGACACTAAAGATGACCTAGTTAAATGGAGATGTACACCATGCTTATGGTGACTATATTCAGTGTTGAAACAATGTGACTGCTCTTCAAATTGATCAATAAAATTCCAAAGAAAACTCCAACAGGATTTTCTGGTGAGACTTGATGAGCTGATGTATATGAAAGAGTAAAGAACTAATAACAGCCCTTTCAGCCTCAAAGCAGAACCAAACACAAAAGTCAATTCAAAGTGGATTAAATACTTAAATATAAAAAGCACAAAACCATGGCACTTGGCCTACATATGGAAATGTCTTTACAGCTTTGGGATTCGAGAGAATGTCTTAAAGAAGACACATGAAAAGCAGAAGCCATAGTGAAAAATATTGGTACATTTTACATTATTAAAGAACTTCTATTTTCAAAAAGACTATTAGTTGAGTGAAAAGAGAAGCCCCCAACTTGGACGATATTTGCCAACCACAGAATCAAAAAGAATGAATTTGGGGATACATAAAGAACACCTAAAGAATAAAGACAAGCAACCAAATTGAAAATTGGACTGAGGGGATGAGAAGCATTGCATAGAATAGAAGCAGTCATGTGGTTTCTAATGGTAAAAGATACTCAACCTCTCTTGTAATCAGAGAAAGGAAAATCATATCCACAAGAGATACTATCTCGTACTGACCAGGCTGTCAAAACTTTGAGGCCAGGTGATGGTGAGCTTATGAAACAATGAGAACCTGCTGCTCCAAGCATAACATGGTGAGACCTCTCTGCCTTACCCAGGAGAGCTTAACCAGTCCCCTGTGGCTCAGCAATTTTGCTTCCAGGTATACATCCTGGGGAAACATTTTCACTTTTGCAATTACAAGAACACTCATAGAAACATTGTCCCTAAAAGCAGAGAACTGGAACATCTCATCCGCCCACTGCTAATAGAGTGGGTAAACTGATCAAGTATTTTCGCACAATGGACTAGCACTGCAGCCATAAGAATCTGTGAATTACAGCTGGAAGCACCAGCAAAGGTAAATCTTAAAAACATGAGGCTTCCACAGGCGGCTGTGCTTGCAGATTGTGCCCATGGTTGAGAAGATCTTAAAATCTATCTGATGCAAAAATCTACTCCAGGGGCCAGCATTGTGGCGTAGCACGTGAAGGTGCCCTTGAGACACCAGCATCAAGTATCGGAGTGCTGGTTTGAGTCCTGGCTGCTCCGCTTCCATTCCAGCTTCCTGCTAATGTGTTTGGAAAAGCAGAAGATGGATCAGTACTTGGGTCCCTGCCACCCACATGGGAGACGCAAATGGAGTCCCACGCTCCTGGCTTCTGCCTGACCCAGCTCTGGCCATTGCAGTCATTTGGGGAGTGAAGATCTCTCTCTCTGCCTCTCCCTCTCTGTCACTCTACCTTTCAAATAAGTAAATGTTTTTTAGAAATTAAATGAAATCTGTTCCAGTTCCAGTGGCACAAGGATATTTATCCCTTAAGGAATGAGTACATTTTTTTGTTTGTTTGTTTATTTTAACTGTCTCCATATGGGCTAGCTCTGGACCTGCAACACTGTAATGTTAAATAGGAAAGACAAGTCACAGAAGTATTATTCTGGGGCTGGTGTTGTGGTGCAGCGGGTAAAGCTGCCGCCTGCAGTGCCAGCATCCCATATGGGTGCTGGTTTAAGACCCGGCTGCTCCACTTCCAATCCAGCTTACTGCTGTGGCCTGGGAAAGCAGAAGAAGATGGTCCAAGTCCTTGGGCCCCTGCACCGGCGTGGGAGACCCAGAAGAAGCTCCTGGCTCCTGGCTTTGTATCAGCCCAGCTCCAGCCAAAGCGGCCACTTGGGGGGTGAACCAGCAGATGGAAGACCTCTCTCTCTGCCTTTGCCTCTGCCTCTCTGTAACTCTTCCTTTCAAATAAATAAATAAATAAATATTTTTTAAAAAGTATTATCCTGTTTACATAAAGTGGGAAACAAGGTAAACGTGAAGAGTGAGCATGCTTATATAGGTGGAATAGAAAAGCAGTAGCGATTAACACAGAATTCTGAATGGTGATTGCTTCTTGAGGAGGGAGGTACTCGAGACGGATATGCAATAGGGCTGCAGGGCTGCAAGGTACCGATCGTGTCCTGTGATGTCAGGCTGAGGGCTGGCACTCAAGTACAGTGTCACTGTTAGCTTTTATCTTACACATGTATGATCTTTTTAGAAAAAACTCCCTCCTGTGATCCACAATTCCTGACTTTAAATAAACAGGACCCCGTCTGAAAGTACTGCTTGAAGGAGGAATCTCAGCCTACGGTCGGGACAGAGTAGACTGCCAGGACCTCGGGGCAAAGCATCTGACTCCTAGGGGGTTGCAGGAGGAGAGACCTTGACCCCTTCATGGGCAGGACCCCAGCAGAAGTCTTCCAAAAAGCGCTTTATGACAAAGCAAACTAAAACCACAGGATCCTACTTGCGGCACGGCTACAATTCAGAAAAAATTGACAGTACTGAGTGTCAGCATGAAAATGGAACTGCCCAAGAGGCCAGAAAAGCCACAAGATTGAACTGGATTTAAGCAGGAACATGCAAGAAGTCAGCTCACAGAAAGGATTCAAGGGAACAGCGGGAGAGAACATAAACAGGGTCACCCCCGTGGAGTCTGGCTTGTTTAGTGCGACGGTTACACACGCAGTCAGTGTGCTCATTACAAATGACTCTACTCTAATCCCTACACCTGCTAAATAGGGAACACCCTGCATTCCAGATGATCGAGACAGTGTTGTCACAGTTCAGTGGGACATCACAGAAAGTCCTAATGATAGCAGCACCAAAACATGTTTCTCCCGAGGAAGTGAACTGGAGCCAATGCACATGCCGAAGCAGCTTGCACAGTGACTTGTGGTCTTGGAGACACTCGGATATCACAGACGTCCCATTAGAAGGGGTCTTTGTCATACACACCATGCTCACCTGAGTGCCCGAGGCAGCACAGGAAGGAATGTTTGCTGAGAGCCTGAATGACTGGACCTACATGCTGAGTCTAATAAGGCAAATAAGAAACAGGGCCACTGTCCTTTCTCAAGGCCTGGACTGCAGTCGTAGCAATTTTATAGACCAGAGGTTCAGGGAACTACCACAGGGCGTCCAGCCTCGGCTTCAATGGGGCGCTGCACGTCACCCAGCGGGAAGGGAACAGACCGGGGGTGATCCGAGGAACCCCAGCTGGAAACACCACCCTCTGTATGAGACACAAACGGGAAGAAAATTTTGTTCAAATTCTCCATGGAGAATATTTTTATTTATTTATATTCTTCTTGCATACTCTAAACCGCACAGTGTGAATTTCCCTTCTTTGTGAGACTGGCCGATTTATCTGAGATCTTCAGAAACATTGCCTTAGGTTTCAGCTAAGCGAGTCACAGAGATTGGTCATGAACACTACAAAACGACAGGAGAGCTAGGTATTATCCAACAGTTGCTACAAAAGCATCGAGAACGCCAAGACATACAGCCAGACAGAGAGGGTAAGAAGCAGATGCTACGAAGGAATAGGATTTCCATATATATTACTCTATGTACAGTATCAGAGTTCTTTCACACACAGTACATTTACGTTTAAATCATTGTTGTAAGGGCACTCTTAAGATAAATACAAGTCTCGCTAATATTAATCTTTTCTCTTTGGCTCACAAAAGCACAGAAATACCATAAACAGTATTCAGAACTTACTTCATTAATATATAAATAAGATACATTACAAATGGGACGAAAATACAAGATGCTCTTTAACATGGTAAATCTCTGGATATAAATAAGCAAATATTTCACTGACCTACAATTAAACAGTCATTGGAATCATTACATGAGTTTTCCCTTCCCCCTCCCCACTGCCCCCCAGGTAACAGTAATTTACACAGTCTACACAAAATAATCTCTAAAAATAACGGCAATAGTACACCTGTAACAAGGACTGTTGTCCCCCAGCAGGACGCTAACGGGGAGGGTGTGGCTCTTGTCAGCCCGTGGTGTGTGTTCTCATCCATGGTGACTTCAGTGGGAGAAGCACTGGCAGAGAGCCCCATTCCCACCAACAACACTCCCCCTGAGCCCCCAGGTCACAGCCTTTTGGAAAACATCTTGTCTGCGGTTGATGGGCAAGCTGGTTTGCAGCATGGTTAGCCCCTCAGCGACATGCTGTGGTCTATGACTAAGCCCCACTCGCTATTCATATATATAGAGAGAGGTATATATATAGAACTGTACATATGTGCTGTGTTTCTAATGTGCAACTTGTTAAAAAGAGCATTATTCCTGCGAACTCTAACAAACAAGCTGAAGGAAGGTTTGGACAGGGCGGGTCAGCAACTCATAGAGGTTGGGTCTAGAGGGCCAGAAGGAAGCGAGAATTCCCACGAACTCGTGTTCCGCCAAGGGTGGTTACAGATCCTGGCCCAGTCTTTCTATCTCCTCAATGAGGAAGTCGATGTCAGACTGGGTAGCAGCTGGGTTCGAAATGACCATCCGGAAGAAGTTGGCCTTGTCCCCCTGAGGCTGGTAGCCAACCATGGTGGTGCCCGACTCCATCATCAGAGCTTTGATTTTGGGAGCCACCTTGTGATGGAAAACACAAAACAACACTCAAAACCGACATTCACATCCTCTCTTTTTAACAATTCAGTGCAGCTTGCTTTGTACTAGTTGTGTTTATCCTGACATAAAGGCAAGGAAATATTTTGTATCCAGGTTATCTTCAGTGGCTAACATCTAATGACTACTTAAATCTACCCAATCTTTTCCCTAGAAAGTACCATGTGGCTGAATTCTGAAAGTCAGTCATGGAACAGTGATGATAAAGTCAAAAAGGAAAACAAGATCAAAGACGCTCTCACAGGGAACACCACGAACCATGGTTCCTGTGTAACCCAGGACCCAGGATACTGCCTGGCACACTGATTGTGTTTCACAAATTGTTGAATGGTTGGATGAATGAAATATTACATAAACTCAACACCACCATACCAACTCGGAATAAGCTAGATGTGGAAATGGATGGCTGGAGATTGGAACTTTGTAAAAGGTATTATCAGATACACTTTAACACAGAGTGTTCTAGGAATATGTCTGTGACTCACTTGCCCTACATTGAACCTCTTTTGCAGGTGGAATGCACACCTAAGGCATCCTATTGTATCTGAACCACAGCCAGGGGACAATGCAGACCCAAGAAAAATACGGCAAGATGTCATCCAACACCCCATTGCTGGAAGCCCACCTCAAGTTGCTATGTTTTCTTTCTCCCCCGCCAGAAGGCACACTGGAACAAATGAGTCCTGAACAGTCAGGAGTAGAGGAGACAAAGAGTGAGCTGACACACACATACCCTGTGGAGTTTCTCCCGCCGCTCAGGGCTGTCGGGAACGCCCCTGAGGCTCGGTGGAATATACCAGAAACAGACGTTGGTGTGTTCAGGCTGTAGAGATTTGTCACAAACGAGCGAAACAAACAAAAACGAAGAAAATGATGAGCACTTGAAAGAAAGCTGTTCCTAAACCCATGTGGCCTCGATGGCGTCACTCAGATCAAAGAAAGAGGTTGGGTCTACCTCAAAGGCCCTGTCACTTCCACGCTGGGGAAAACAAGACCTGCTTTCTCCAATCAGGTCTGGTAAGAGAGCCCCACAGCCAATCTTCTACGTAACTAACGTCGCCACCTTTAAACACGGAAATGTCACCACCTTTAAACACGGAAATGTTACCATTCGTTACACCTGTGTCACTGAAAACACGGTCTTACCCATCTTGCCAAACTGTGGTCCCCTCCATAGAGAAGGTGCTTGAGACAATTTATTTTGTTGATAAAGAAATGTTCCTGAGTACATGTTATCATTTGTCAGTTCCCTCCCTCCGTGCCTGCCTCTAACTGCCTTGAGACATCAAATTTGTTGTGTTCAATCTGCCGCGAGTATTAGCATATATGACCTAGTGTAAACACCAGAGTAAGACCACAGGGGTCAAATGTTTGAGCGCTATCGCATTGATTTTAATTGCTCAGGGCTCTTTTTTGCTCATTTTGTGACTCTTGGGGTTTTATTCCCCGATAAAACTAGGTTGCTTGATAAATAGATAAGGACTGAATGCAGATGGTGTTCCCAAGCATTTACTGGGTTCTGAGTGGATTTTTCATTCATTCAACCCTGGCTCCTCTTCTTTCTTTATTCAACTGGGAGCTGCAGAGGCAGTGTTTGGGCCAATGCCATCTGGCCCAGGCCTTGGCATAAGATCTGGCATATAGCAGGCACTCAGTAAACACTGATATGATAAATATGGAGGTACATTAAAAATTATGGAAAATGGAATTAAAAGTTAAGTTCATTTTGGTACAAAAGTTTTGGAACTCGTGCCTGGTTTTTTCCTCATATGCAGCTCCTGTGAACTTCTGGAAGATCCCTGGTACTTCACTGGGTGTGATTTCTGGGCAGCGATGATTTTATCTGGCCATCCTTTCAAGGGGTCTCTGTAAAGTAGAACCCTACTCTTGAAGCGGAGTTGGGCAGCCAGGGTAGCCCCATCATATAAGCTTCTTAGACAAGAGAAGCACTTTATCATGGGAGTTTAACACAAGGCAGACCCAAGAATGATGAAGAATTCAGTCCTGACAGGCAAGGAGAGACCTCTTGTCTGCAAACGCTGGCTGACAGTAACAGTTTTAGAAGGGGTTAAGGGGAAAAGTCACCTCAGTGCTCCCAAAAGAAAATTTCAGGATCACGGAGGGAATTAACGAAGGGTGCAGCTGGGTGAAGATGCGGAAGCAGCTGCCGGCACTGTGGGGCAACCTGGCTGGAGGAGCTGCCCTCGGCGGTTGCTCTGGCAGCATGGTGCCCCTGGGCCATGATGACAACCTACCTCGCCATCAAACACCATCTCAAACTCTTCTCTGTTTTTAATCTTGGCATAGAGGTACTCAGCCAGTTCCAGGCATTTGTTAATCTGATTTTCAAATCCCACAGTGCCCTGTTTTAAAGAGAAAAGTCGCATTTGTTAGTGACAGGTTGCATGTCCCGGTGATGGGCCTTTGGGAAGGCTAAGCTGTTCTTATCTATGGGAAATACACAAAGAGCATTCTTAGAGAGGGTAGGAAGAACCATCTAAGTAAACACGCACAGCACCTCCGCAGTTCTGCTTGCAACGAATGAAGGGGGCCTGCTCTCTCATTTGAAGCACTCTCGTCTCTTGACAGTTATTCTCAACAGGACTTGTAGCTTCCTGCCGGTTATTCACAGCCTGGTCTCGAGGCCTCTTTTGTTGGTTTGCTTTAGGATAGCAACACTCAAAGTGTCATCTGTGGACTCAGGCCACAGATTGCAAACTGTAACTGGTCCACAATGAGATCAGTACAGAAATTGAGATCAAGCAATAAAGAAATGTTTGAAGCAACTTGACAGAGTCATTTTATGTCCATTGGATCTAATTAAAAAAAAAAAAAATGGCTTGTGGCTTGGTGCTGGTGCTGCGGCATAGCAGGTAAAAGCCACCGCCTGTTGTGCTGGCATCCCAGCTGCTCCTCTTCTGATCCAGCTCTCTGCTATGGCCTGGGAAAACAGTAGAAGATGGCCCAAGTCCTTGGGCCCCTGCACCCATGTGGGAGACCTGGAAGAGGCTCCTGGCTCCTGGCTTCAGATCAGCCTAGTTCCAGCTGTTGCAGCCATTTGGGGAGTGAACCAGCAGATGGAAGATCTCTCTCTCTGTCTCTCCCTCTCTCTGTCTATAACTCTACCTCTCAAATAGATAAATGAAATATTTTTTAAAAAAGCGGCTTGTACTTTGTATATTTCATTTCTCTAGCCATTCATCTTTATTGCATTGATCTAGGAGAGGTTAAAAGAACAAGCAGCTGGGGTTGGGTGTTTGGCACAGCAGTGGAGATGCTGCTTGGAAGGCTCACGTCCCACGCTGGAGCGTGGTTTGAGCCCTGGCTCCACGTCCTGTTCCAGCACCCTTCCAATGCAGACCTTGGGAGGCAGCAATGATGGCTCAGTGTGGTTGAGTTCCAGGCTTTTGGATTCTGCTTGGCCCAGCTCCAGGCTGTAGGCATTTGAAGAGTGAAAAGAAGGGAGATCTCTGTTTCTTTCTCTGTCTCTCTCTCTGCCTTTCAAATAAATAAAACTAAAGACTTTTTAAAAAAAGAGCAAATAACTGGTTCTTCATATACACTTGGAAAGTTCCCGCCATCTTTCCCAGCAGTGTATGCTGGCCACACTTATCCCACACCTTTCTAGGCAAGCTACCTTCCACAGGGCACAATATCATCACTGCCAGGGCGCCCAGGGCTTGCCTGGAGCTTGCAACAGCTCCAACTACTGACAAACTGGTTGAGCGTGAGTCTCGAAAACCAGCATGGCTGATGACAACAGCAGAACCAGGGCTGTTGAGCGGGCCTATGTTAACAAGGAGGGCAGACGCACGAGGCTGACTTGCAGATGGAGTCCAGCACTGGCCAAGCAGGAAACTCCCCACACAGTGGCCCTCACTCAAATTTTGGGGAAAATTCCAATTATTAGCTTTTTTTCCCGAAGGTGCTAGAATGCAAACCAAGGGGGTGATGTACACAGGCGAGCCATGTTTCAGTGTAGCAGGATTTATCCAAAGTCTGCACTGTCCAAAATGGTGAAGAAAATATAGATAATGGGAATGCCATTATTTCAACAGAACTTAAAACTATCTTATACGTCTCACGATGAGAGGCCTCCTAAAGGGATTCAGACTTCTATTCAGAGTAACACAGTCATTTTACCTGTCATCTCTCTCTGTACTAAATCATGTCAGTATCCCTGAGGATTGCTGCGGAAATCTTTATCTTGGCATAATTTTTCATCGTAAGAGGAAGTTGTAAAAAAACCTTATGATCATTCAAATTCAGGAGACTGAACAGGAGGGAACAGGAGATAAAGTTATTTCTTTCGCAAGCAAAAACAATAGGGTTAACTCCATTATGCAGATATTCATTACACCCAGATCGAATTATCTGTGACACAACTTCGCCTCTCTTTTGCCAGCCAGTCTGAAAATTGCATTTCTGCTCTATTTCCTGAATCCCCGCTTCATACCTTTGCTTTCCACATCAGCCAGAACTTGAAGATGTCCACGTGGCGGCCACACTGAATCGCCTTGTCCCCGGTGTCGTAGGAGACATCGTACTGCTTGTCTGGCTGGAAGAGGTATCCTGCACACATCTGGTTGCATCCTTGGAGTATCCCCTATCATGAGAATCAAGAAGGGTGCGTTTGTATCCACAGGTGACACAACCCTGAAGTGGGGCCGGCTAGGAGGGATTTGGGGTCACGGGCAACCTGGCCTCTGATGTGTTCATCAGACCTTGCCCTTGTTCTGATGTCTTGTCCTCAACTCACCCTTGGATAAACCTTTGCCCCTTCTTCTGTCACTCAGATTAGAAGCTCATCTTTGGTCTCAGATGCCTACAACAGGGCCCCACTGTCCCTTTAAGTGGCATTTGGAACTACGCGTGGGTAATTGGGTTGTTTCAAAGACGGGGAAGTGCTGTGGCAGCCGATGGGCAAGGGTTAGGGATGTGAACCTCCTCAGGGGGTGGCACGGTTTCCCGTTGTGAAGAATTGTCCTCCCAACTTCTGGGGGATCTCCTAGGAGGTCAATAGGGACTTCCCAGGTGAGCGAAGTAAAGAGCCCGTACAGATCCTGGCTCCCACTGGCTGGAGACTTTTGGAATGCCCCAGCATGCAGAAGCATCATTGGAGCAGCAGTGCATTGCAGGGCAATGCAACACACATTGTTAGGTGTGTAAAGAAGGGAAAAGAGCATGAACCTATTCACAAAAACCTAGTGGCTAACCTTCCTTGCTGTCCTAAGTTGCTATTTGTAGTTCTGGTTCTACCTCGTTTATTTCAGCTCTTGGGACCATAAAATATAAGAATGCAAAGTATGTTCCAGAGAGCACCTTCTGTCCTCACCGAGGACAGAACTCGTTGGACGCCTCAGCCAACTGCACGTGATCACCCTTGTTTGTGCGGACACGAAGGGATCCTCCATGCCTATAATTCCCTTAGCGTCCCTGTCACTCACAGCACCTGGGAACTGAACAAGGAGTGAGGGCAGCTGGCAGCAAGCATGCAGAGAAGCCAGGCTCGCCACAAGGGCAGGACGGGGTGCTCTCACAACGGGCTGCCAGTCTGCTAAGACAGCCGGCAAGACCTGCAATAGGACCCCAGGCTTTCTCTTCTCGTGCCCTCTCAAGGACGTGCGGGCCACCCGCGAGTCTGGGGACAGCGTACAGACCTTCTCCCGGACGAGAATGGCCGAGCACTGCAACAGCACGCCCATCATCTTGTGAGGGTTCCAGGTGACCGAGTTGGCTCTGAAAGAAGCACGTGAGAGTTTGGGGCAAAGGCGTATGAACTGAGAGAGGCATGCATCCTCTTGAAGAAAACGCCACCCGTGTCGGCTCACACATAAATGCTCCCGATGCCCATTCTTCTAAACTGACCAGCCAAGCAGAGAACAGCCAGGCAGTGCCAGGCTGTGACATTGCAGACCGTCCCTTCTAAGTAACTGCTAACACTAGAGCTAATGTCCACGAGGCACTGAGCGTGTGTCCTGGGGTCCTGAGAGCTGTGGTAGAATATCACTGTGGCATCATGGGTGAGAACTCAGGCTTTGGGACCAGACTCTCCAAGTCTGGGTCCTGGCTCTGGCTTTTGCCAACTTGGATGAGTTGCATAACTTCTCTTGTGCCTCAGCTTTCTCATTTGGAAAGTGGGCAGGGTCCACCTCACAACACTGAATAAAAGGCAAAATGAGTTAACAGAAAATGCTTAGGGTGGTGCCTAGCACACGTAATTCTCACAACCACCCCATGACGTAGGCACTATTATCACTTCTGCTTTAGATGGACGAACAGATGCACAAAAAGGTTAAACAAGAGGGCCTTTCAAAAAGTTTACAGGATGGCTGGCGCCACGGCTCACTAGGCTAATCCTCCGCCTGCGGCGCCGGCACACCGGGTTCTAGTCCCAGTTGGGGCACTGGTTCTGTCCCGGTTGCCCCTCTTCCTGTCCAGCTCTCTGCTACGGCCCGGGAGTGCAGTGGAGGATGGCCCAAGTCCTTGGGCCCTGCACCCATGGGAGACCAGGAGAAGTACCTGGCTCCTGGCTTCGGATCAGCGCGGTGCACTGGCCATAGCGGCCACTTTGGGGGTGAACCAACGGAAAAAGGAAGACCTTTCTCCCTGTCTCTCTCTCTCTCTGTCTAACTCTGCCTGTCTTAAAAAAAAAAAAAAGTTCACAGGAAAACAGGATGAAAAGGTAAGTTTATTGGGTGCCCCCCAAAATGGAAATTTACCATGAACTTTTTGAAGGTCCTTCATGTATGACTTAAAGCCACAGAGCTGGGAAGCGGTGGAGCCGAGATTCAAGCCCCAGGAACCTAGCTGCAGAGCCAGCGCTCCTAACCACTCCCTGTAGGCACACTTCGGCTCCTTCCGGCCTCTCTGTTCTAATTTACACAAAGGGCTGGAAGGCGGTGCTGACCTAGCTACTCAGGAGCCACTAGGAAGAGTGACAGCTAAGATCAGCTGGACTATTCTGGACTTCGCCGACCTCGCAGTGTTGTTTACATGCTAAGTGAGCATGATTCTGCCAGTTTGGGCTGCGATGATAGTTTTACAAGCACGGTCTCCTAGCAACCGCGCCACTCCGTCAGACATGATTAGATTGGTAAAGGAGCACACTCGCTAGGACATTGCAGAAACAACTAAGTGTCATATATTATGATCAAGTGTCATATATTATGATCAAAACTTGGGCAGCCTGCTTCAGTGGTTTCAGACTCCTTCCCAGTGGCCTGGCTGGACTTTGCGCGTTGATCTCTGTGAAGGAAACCTCCTGACAGAACAATGTCTCGGAATTAGATTGCTGATGCTCCCCTGGAGCTGAGCCCCTGCTATGAATCTGTAACCTCTCCATGTTGCCTTGGCCCTGTGGAGGGAAACGGATGTAATGTACATGTGTGCTGTCCTCACGGAGAGGAGATGAGGACCTGCAGTGCTTTTCCTGGTGTGCACAATGAAAGACAATGAGAAAAAGTTCTGAGAAAAGTTAACTTATCTGGTGAACAAGCAGCAGGGTGAGCCATATTTAAATGGTAGTGAACTTGATCAGTGTTCTCATTGCTATCATTTGCCAAGTCATTAAAAAATTATATTTAGATCTCATCAAATGTCTTAAATGGTTTTCTGAATGCCCTAAAGGTTTGAAGCAAATGATTCCTTGTTGCTACAAATGGAACGCAGTAAGACATGTCATGGATTCAGTTTCCTTTAAAATACATACGTGCTTTAAAATGTTAGAAAAAAAATCGGGGCTGGCACTATGGCGTAGCGGGTAAAATCGTCGCCTGCAGTGCTGATATCCCATAAGGGCGCTGGTTCAAGTCCCAGCTGCTCCACTTCTGATCCAGTTCCCTGCTGTGGCCTGGGAAAGCAGTAGAAGATGGCCCAAGTCCTTGGGCCCCTGCACCTGCATGGGAGACCTGGAAGAAAATCCTGGCTCCTGGCTTCGGATTGGCACAGCTCTGGCTATTGTGGCCATTAGGAGTGAACCAGTAAATGGAAGACCTCTCTCTCTGCCTTTCCTTCTCCCTGTGTGTAACTCTAACTTTCAAATAAATAAGATAAATATTTAAAAATAAAAAAGGAAGGAAAACAAATCTGGCACAAAATGATTCAAATTTTCCCAGGCTCAAAGATGGAAAAGAAAATTGCCTGAAAAATCTAAACTACAGTTAGGCTGGCTCATCTGTACTTCATGTATCATCCTCCAAGGTATAGGGTTGGATATTTAAGCTTCAAGGAGCCAGACTCACTCGCTTTGTCCCTGGCCTTTCGGACTTCAGAGAGCAGAGTGAGCAAAAGCAAAAGGAGCACCAGCTCTGCTACAAGAGGCCACTCGTGTGCTTTCCTGACACCTGCTGCTTGTACCTCTGACCCGTCTGCTCTCGCCTCTCCCACGCTGCTCCAGTCCCCAGCCTCTCTGCTGGCCCTCATCTCACCAAGAACTGTCCTGCCTCAAGACCTTTGCACTTGCCATTCCCACGGCCCAGAACATTCCTCTCCATATCCTTGCTTCCTGTCTCCCTTTAGCCTAGCATCTGCTGAATGTCAGCCCTTGGAAAGGCCTCTGACTACCCAGGCTAAAATAGCATTCCTTGGGGTGGGCTTTGTGGTATAGCGAGGTAAGCTGCAGCATGGGATGCCCACATCCTCTGTCAGCACCTGAGTTTTAGTCCTGTCTCTGCTTCCGATCCAGGTTCCTGCTAATATGCCTGAGAGGCAGCAGATGATGGCCCAAGTACTTGGGCTGGGGCCACCCACATGGGAGACCAGAGGGAGCTCTGGGCTCTTGGTTTTAGCCTGGCCCAACCCTGATTGTTGTAGGCATTTGGGGAGTAAACCAGTGGATGTTTCTCTTTGTCTGTCTGTCTCTCTGTGTCTGTCATTCTTTCAAATAAATCAATAAAATTTTTTAAATTTTTTATTTTTTTAATTTATTTTTGACAGGCAGAGTGGACAATGAGATAGACAGAGAGAAAGGTCTTCCTTTGCCATTGGTTCACCCTCCAATGGCCGCCACAGCCGGCGCACTGTGGCTGGCGCACTGCGCTGATCAGAAGGCAGGGGCCAGGTGCTTCTCCTGGTCTCCCATGGGGTGCAGGGCCCAAGGACTTGGGCCATCCTCCACTGCACTCCCAGACCACAGCAGAGAGCTGGCCTAGAAGAGGGGCAACCGGGACAGAATCCGGCGCCCCGACCAGGACTAGAACCTGTTGTGCTGGCGCCACAAGGCGGAGGATTAGCCTATTGAGCCACGGCGCCGGCATAAAATTTTAAATATTAGCTTATTTTGTACTCACTGTTACCTAGCCTGTTTCAGTTTTCTTTGCAACGAGACAGGTTAGAGACCTACTTGTATTTATGAACACTGAGGTCACTGGAATGTAAGCAAACCCTTCCATGTGCCGCCTAATTTTTCCTGCCTGCATCAGACATGCATTGTTTTTATTTTTAAAGATTCATTTGATTATTTATTTGAAAGCCAGAGTTACAGAAAGAGAGGGAGATACAGAGAGATCTTCCATTTGCTACTTCGGCCCCCAGATGAGCACAATGGCTGGGCCTAGGTCAGGCTGAAGCTAGGAGCCAGGAGCTTCTTCCAGGTATCCCATGTGGGTGCAGGTGCACATGCACTTGGGCCGTCTTCTGCTGCTTTTTCCCAGGCCATTAGCAGGGAACTGGATGGGAAATGGAGCAGCCAGGACTCGAACCAGCACCCAGAGGGGATGTCAGTGTCAGAGGCAGTGGCTTAACCCACTATACTGCAACACTGGCCCCATGTGCATTTTTAAAAGAAAAGTCCCATGGATGGTTGGGCAGAGGCAGGCAACTGAACATTCATATCCATGCCACTGGGCGCGTGGTGCTCAGCGGTACTCAGGAAATGCCAGGCGTCTCCTGGAATTCACACACTCATAAAAAGGCGCATTACAGGAAAACTACGATGGAGTTCAAAATTTAACACACTTCTGCTTTCAGTCTTCTTCCAGGAACCTTTTGAAGAGCATACGTGGCATGAATGCACGTGAGTTCATGATGGGTGGATACCTGGGAGTCAGGTCAGTCTCCTGTGTTGCTTAGACCACCCACTGAACTCAGACCATGGAAAAGATAGGAAGTGAAGGGAGGCAAGGTCTTGGCCAAAGAGCGGGAGGAAGTGGAACGGGAGTCAGGGGCCCTCCCCAAGCCCTTGGCCAGCTCTCCTACCTGGCCTCCCTTCCCTCCTACCTGGTACCTGCAGTTTCATCGACTGTTAGGTTTACCACAGGGTATTGCAACCACTTACTTACTTTCTCCCTTCTAAATTGCCTACTGCAGGGCCAGTGCTGTGGTGTAGGAAGTTAAACCTCCACCTGCAGTGCCGGCATCCCATATGGGCACCGGTGCCAGTATCGGCTGCTCCACTTCTGATCCAGCTCCCTGCCAAAGTGCCTAGGAAGAAGCTCCTGGCTCCTGGCTTCGGCCTGGCCCAGCCCCGGCAGTTGTGGCTATTTGGGGAGTGAACCAATAGATGGAAGACCTCTCTCTCTCTCTCTCTCTCTCTCTGCCTCTGGCTCTCCTTCTCTGTAACTCTTTCAAGTAACTAAATAAATCTTAAAAAGAAAAAATTGCCAGCTCCTTGAGGACTCCTCTGGCTGGGAAATGGAACAAATGAAAAGTGCTCAAGAAAGGCCAGCTGAACGAAGCGTGCACAGACTGAATGGAGATGCTGGGGAGCAGGGCGGGCAGGCGCGGCAGGCAGCCCAGGGCCGTGCATTTGCTGCTCCGGATGGAGGAGGAGGCCCCATGCGCTCGCCCCTACCTTTCGATGCCGCTGAGTTTATGGCGGTGCTTCCTCGACATGAGCAGCCCCCCGCCCCACGCGGCCTGCAAGGAAAAGAAAGAGAGGCACAGAGCTGTGGTGATGCGTAAGGCTCCCGAGCCGGTCACGCCACGTGAGACGGAACTCAAAGCAACAAGCAAGCGGTAGTGATGATTCACTGCGGGACACTTCCCCAAAACTTCCTCCAGGGCAACATCGGGATGCAGGCCAGTCAGGTCTGAGCCTGGAGCGCCTCAAGGTCCTCACAGAGCCCCTGGGATGGCCCTGGAACCCAGGCAAAGCCCTGGGGCCCGCTCCCTGGCTCCCCCTCAAGCAGAATTCCAGCAGCTCCCACCAGGGTGGCAGCTCCCCCAACAGCTCCTGCGATGGCAAGGAGCTCACGCGCACCCTCGCTGAGCAGTGTGGGATGCCACGTGACACAGCAGCAGTCCGTGTTTGCTCTGTCCCGGGGCAGATCACCCCGCTGGTCAGTTCTAAGAACTTAAATCCATAAGGGAATGGACCGAGGGAAAGAAAAATTGCACCTAATCACACCTGTGAAAACACTCGTTTTGCATTGATGGGAAAACTCAGGATTAAATCTCTTAGTTGATAATGCCTTCCATGCACTGCCTGATTTGTCCCACAGGTAGCAGATACACATTTTTTAAAGAGAAATGTCATAGATGGCTGGAGCAAAGGCAGGTCGCTGAGTGTGCACACTGATGGCACTTTTTAATACATTTTGTATCTTTTTTCTCTGAAATCTCTGTATTTCTCTGAAATCAGCTGTATTTTAGTCTGTAACCATTTGATCAAAAATATCTACCTGGAAAGGTGATGGAGACTGTACTCTAGGATGACCCCCAGAGGACAGCAACTGGCCAGGAAGGGACTGGACGAGTCCCAGAGGACGGCCGAGGTCCACAGCACGTGCCAGTCGTGAGGGCCAGGGAAGGGCTGGATCCACTGTGGCATGCAGGCAAGAGGGGCCAGCTGGGGAGAAGCCTGAGGCAAGTCACAAAGCAGAGCTGCTCCTACCCCCGGAGGGACCGAGCCCCCTGCGAGTCACGGCACTTACGTCGACGTGCAGCCAGAGGTTGTACTTCTCACACAGATCTGCAATCTCCTGTATCGGGTCAAAAGCTCCATAAACAGTCGTGCCGGCCGTCGCGTTGACATAAAGAGGAACATACCCCTGCAAGGGGAGAGAGACAGGAGCATGAGTCTTTGTCACCTTTGTCCTTTGCTCATTTCCACAGGACACAGAAGAGCTGCAGGGGCATTTATTTCCAACGGCGATCGGCAAAGCCGCTGCGTATCAGCTGCTCCATCGGGCAGTGTTCTCCGCTGGTCCATGCACTCACATGTTCATTTACTCAACAAATATGTTGTGAGTGATTCGCACATGCCAGGTCCTGTGGGAGGTGTCAGGGATACAGCAGTGAGCACAACAGAGGAGGAATTCTGCTGTAGTGGGGGAAAGGGCAGTGAGAGACAGTAGCGAAGTCAAGTACAAATATATGGTATGTCTGATAGCGTTAAGTTCTTATGGCAAAGAAATAAAGAAGGGCAGAGTCATAAGGTTCTGGAGTGAGGGGCAGTGGTTTTCAATCTCAGCTGGACATTTTCTTTTTGGGTGCTGTGTTGTTCAAACGGTGCTGATATAATAACTATACTGAAGCACTGTTTGGTTATTTAAAATGACCTACCTACTACAAAAGCCGAAACACTCACTAATAGCAAACATGGTGAAATGTTGACACAATCAAGACATAAATGAGGAAATGGAGTAATAGAGCTAAGACAAGCTGTGGGAAAACCTATGAGTGTTGGAGTTTTGGAAGCTCAGCTCCATCTGAATCCTTGCTCTGTCCATCCATGTCTCTGCTGAGACCCCCAACAACTAACCACAAATATAGAAGGAGGTACAGGAATGCGACCAGGACAACCATGTGTTAGTAAATGGCCTGCCGGCTACCTGGCAATGACTTGTGGATATATCTGTTCTATGAAATTTTTTTGTTTAATGGAGTTTGTTGAGGCTGGATCTGCCAAGTAACATGGGCCATTTGCCAGGGCATGGAAGTACTTGGCTAAAAAGAATCCTAGGCTAAAATAGTATTTGTTAAAAGGAGATGATACCTAACCAGGAGCAACTGAAAAGCTCGGTTATGTCCCTTCATGATGCCCAGGGAGTTGATTTATTGAAGAATGCCAAACTAATCCTTTGGCACAATGAAGGTGGGATACAGACACAGCTTTAAATTCATTTCACAGGCTAGCAACAAGTAAATATCTGCTAAAAGAATTTTAGAACACAATAAAATGCCCTCTTACGTTATCAAGGACTTTTATTGTCTAGGGGCACAAAGCAGGGAATTTTTAAAAAATTTATATCCGCTGGACTTTAAATGCTCCATGGAGAATATACCTTTTGCTTGGATTCAAGAATTTTTGCCTCTAAATCAGCCGGGATTATCTTCCCCCTGTAAGAATTGCAAAAGGAGAGAGATTAGAATGAAGAATCAATGAGATTGCACATGAAACAACTTGAGCGGCAGCTAAAAAAGTAATTTAATCGGATATTTTCAACAGACCATTAGCAGCTTGGCACACTGCACTGAGCCAGTCCTTAAGCACAATAAAACAAATTTAACAGATGAACACATTTCATATATCAAGAACCTAATATTCACTCTCCCTCGCCTACCTTTCATTGCACTTTATCAAAATCACATTGTCGGTTCCAAAGCCAAGCGCAGCCCCAGCTTTCTTGATGGAATAGTGACTCTACAACAAACAGAGGTTCGAGGTTAGAAGTTAGACAGTCCCATTGAAAATACCACAATCCATGAGCAAGCACCCCCAACTCACATGTTCTGAGGTGAAGAGGACCAGTTTGGGCACGGCGGCCATGCCCTTTGTCTTAACTTCCGGAAAGTACTTGTAGCGGGCAGCCATGATGCTGTACAGGTTGGAAATGGCTCCCCCTGTCAGCAAGCAGACAGATTGGGAGGTGTTGGGGGCGTTTTGTTACTGTTGCTAACAACAAAGGCTGAGGGAGACAAGGCTGAGAGGTCCCAAAGGGGAAGGAAGGAAGTCAAGTTTTGCTGACTTTGACTTTCCTATTGCCAGGGGCTTTCCTCAGGACTCTGCCCTGGGAACACAAACAGTGACACTGTTCCAAAGCTAGCTGGACAGTTTCGCAGGAAGGGATTCACACACTCCAGTGCCCTGCCCACCTGAAGCCTAGGCAGAAATATAAAGAGGAGGCAGGGGCAGTGACTGCAGAGAGAGAGAAAGAGGTGAGTTACAACCCTCTTGCTTCCACTTTCTGCTCCATCTATTTGCCAAACAAAGATGAATCTGTTCCTGAAGTCAGAGAGACAGAGAAGGAGAAAGCAATGGAGCTTTCAGAAGGAAACCATGACATTACTGGGTCACCTGCCTGAGAACTTTCTTCAAGGATCAGTTATTGAGTCATTTAGGAGAGCTCTAAATTGATGAGAATAAAAACAAACTCGTGTTGACTGAATAAAGACACAGGGAGGACTAAGGGAACTATCTACCTATGTCAGGCCAACACAGATCCATCACTTTCACATTAATTACACAATTAAACATGCAAATACATGGTCTGCTTGAATGGCCTGGATAATTGCAATTCTTTCTTCTCTTCACCTGTACACAATTACACTGTCTCTGACACCTTCTATAACTCCCCTTGCCCTCCAAGAATTATTTATTTTAAAGATTCTTATTGTATCTATTTTGAAGTTGAGATTCAAAGTAGATATGCTATTTTGGTTGAACTCAAGCAATTAATTGATAGTCTCGATTCACTGATCCCCAACAAAATCAAACAGCTGTTGGTAGAATGGAGTTGTCCAGCATTAACCAGACACAGCTTTTGTCAGTTTGTACAGATTCAGGCTCAGCCTTTGTTAGTTCACATTGAATGCAGCATTCTTGTTAGCCTTCATCCTAACAAAGACAGGAAGACATGGGATCAAAACTATTTTTTAAAGTCATTGTTCTCCCTCAACCCCACTTTGTACTTAGGGTTCCCAAGGCTCCATACTGCAGACCTTGAGGAGAGTCAAAGAGAAGATAACCTACCAGGAGAAAATATCCCATCACCATCTTTACTCGACCAGCCAACTATCTCTCTCATCTTCTTCAGTGTTATCTGCTCCATGAGGACAAACACTGGTGCAATTTCATAGGTAAACCTGGAAAGGTGGCGAGAAAAAGGATGAAAATGAGGAAGTCCAGCCATTCCATTGTGAGAACACAAATGATTGATATAGTGTTTGTGCTTGGTTTCTAAAAAAAAAAAAAAAGATGCTCAAAACCACTAAAACAATTCATTTCCTGGAAATCCTTTAAGTCATCAATCATCAAATGTCAGAAACCAGGCTGGGTTACTGAGGCAGGCGGTGGAAGTGCCTGCTCTGTGATACTTCACCGACCAACCAGATTCTCATCTGAATGGAATGTCGTAGGTATGATCCACGCAGAGGAAACAAAAGAAAGAAAATGACTTTTCTGCGTCCCTTTTACTACTAAGATTGTAGGACAGTGCAAATGATAATTTTAAAAAATGTTTTCTCAGTTCTACATATAATTGCTTTGCAACATATTTTAAAAACTGACTGCCAGTTTCACACTTGTAGAATCTATATAGGCAAGCCAAAGTCTATCTTTTCAAAACAATGTAAATATCTGAAAGCTAACTGTGAAGATAATTGGAAATATTGACCCAGGTTTTAAAGATCTCAATATAATTATCAGCATAGTTTTTCTACTGATAATCCCCAATCACAACTATGTTTCTATAATTCTCTGAAGTCAATATCTGTCAAGAATAATTATTAGCAATGATTTCCTAATTACTAATTATAAATAACAAGAAGACAGTCAACTGGCACACATAGCTAACTGTGGGCATCAGACATCCTGGCAGTTTACATTTTTCTACAAATAAACTGATTTTTAAAAAAAGGCTCTTTGCAAAGCAATCCCAAGCAACAGCCTAGTCTGGTGGACTAGTCATTGGAATGGGATCATGATACCAAACATATGTCCTGAGAGGATTCAAGGCAGATCTAGCCACAGAAAAGTAAAGTAGAAAAAAAAAAAAAAATCTTCATTAAGCTCTGAGGATCTTGGCCTTTCTTGTATTTGCTTGGCCGTCTTCAGCACTAGTCTGCGGGGTGGGTTCAGGCCATCCCTGCTGTAGAGAGATGCTACAAGGACACAGCCAACTGGTTGGTGAGGTTATCATTGGTTAGGGAGTGTAGGCTGAACGCCAATGTCAAGGAGTAATGGGAATTCTTGCTAGGTTAATGGTTTAGAAAATCTATTTGGAAAGATTAGATAACCACATAAGACACAAATGAAGCTACCAAGTTTTAATGATGGAGGGAAAAAAGCAGTCACATTAATCATATGGCAGTAGAAGAAGACAAAAAGATCCTGGAGGATCCTCAGGATATCTGTTGGTAGGATAATTCTGTTTCCAAAAAGACAACATCCATTTTCTTTGGGAGGCCCCTGGAAACTTAGGAGGAAGACCCTTGGGAAACATGTGTTCAGTTACCATCACCTCTGGAGGTCACAATCATGCTTTGGTCCTGCTCTGAGCCCCATCACCGTAGCAACAACACTCCCTCATGTCTGATGGCCTGATAAAGGAAGAAGAAGAGAAGGATTCCTGGTTTAGCCTGTGCTGCTGAGATGCAAACTCATGATGTGCTTCTAACCATTCTTGAACAAAGTGTTATCAATAGTTCCAGTGATTTTTGGAAATGTCAGAATGGTAAAAATGTTGAACGGTGAAGAGCTACTGGTGGCAGGTGTGTGCTAGAAATTCACAATACCAAATACAGTTGTCTGTGGAAGGTAAGGAACATATGGAATCATACAACAAAACTTTAGAACTGTATCAAGGATTGGATGAAAGTTGAGTGAGAACCAAGTCAGCGTTAGATGGCCACACAGGAACCAAATGGGGAAGGGAGATGGAATGGTACTGAAGACCAAGGGGTGGCCCATGCTTTACATAAAATTAGGTTCGTGATTCGTGAGTTGAGCAAAATCAGCCTTCCTAGCTGAGGACCAGGAACACGGCCACTACTCCCAGGATCAGGAGGAAGCATCTAGGGAGTTTGATCATGACACCATTGGATCTCCAGTATTACAGGTCCTTATCTGAGCTGGGTACCTGATTCCTACACTTTTTTTTCAGGTGTGCTCAATAAATATACTGAGTGACGATTTCCTGCAAGGTGCCATTCTATGTACCAAGGAGTCCAAGATGTTATAAGACACCATTTCCAAGCTGAGTAAGAAGATTACTAGGATGAATCCAGCACTTGCTCCTTGGCCTTAGCTGCATGCTGTTTGATAGTCCCTGCCTGAACCTGAAGCACCAAGTATCTTGCAGCTAACGCTAAGCCTACCCTGACTCATGAGCTTGGTCCTGACATCCTATCCTGGAAGCTGGTAGGCTGGCCCTAGCTGCTGGTTCGCAGCCAGGTCTGATCTTTGCACTAACATGGTGTTACCCATTTCTGACACTTTCTCTGACACTGCCTTCCCATCCTGGGCCATGGTTGACAATCGATGGTGAGGGTGCTGGGGTCTGCCTACACCTAAAGCCTTAAAGAAGCCCTTGAAGCCTGGAGCAGTGGGTCCTACCTTAATGGAGGTTAAGACCACTTTGGGAATCCTAGAAAAGCTATGGTCCCTCTCTCCGGTTAAACAATGAGAATATGCACATCATTTTGTATTCAAATGATAAAAATTCTCCTCTTGCAACCTGGACCCCAGATTACTCACCCCTTTCCCCAGTGACAGATGGAAGAGGATACAGTCAAGAGGGTGAAGGCCCACTGTTGATCAGAAGAGACCAGTGAGATGCTGAAGTCAGAGTACGAGATGACCCTCCCGAATCAGAGAACCAGACATTAAGTCTGCCGAGAGCTCTAGGTCGAAGCATCACAACATGGACCGGAAGTAGGGGTTTAAAACGCTAAGAAGGTAAAGTTCATGGAGTGACACAAAAGAGGAGCTCTGAGTCTTTCCACGTGCTGAGTCGGGAGGGGAGTCAGGCCTGCTGCAGTGCTTCAGCTCACCTGCCTAGTGGGGTTCATGTGAAACTCGAGCAAGTGCATTGTAAGAAGCTGTGGTTCGCTGTGGAAGCGTCTGCTGGTTCCAACCACATCCGTTTCTCTTGCTTCATGACATTTCATTTAGGGTTGCTGTTCACCCAGACCATATTTTCTGGTCTCCTTGGATGTGGCCATGGAACTAAGTTCTGGCTAAAGAGGCACTATGGGAAATGGGTGGCTTCTGAGAAAGTGCCTTAGCAGTAGGGAGTTAGGTTCCCCCTCTGTCCCCCCTACATCCCTTACTTCTCTACTCCACTTCCTCCTCCCTTCCTTGGTTCTGGAACGCAGTGGTGAGGGCTAGAGCTCTAACAGCCAGCCTGTACCATGAAGTAACTTCAAGGATGACTCTAGGGATCAGAAAGGCACAAAGACCCCTGATGACCGTCAAACTGGGAACTTCTTTAATGAAAGAAGGAAGGGCTCTTCTGTGTTGTCTCTCGTATTAGACTTCTCATCACAGATGTGGGATGTAGCATATCTTCACCTTAAAAGGTTACACACTTGAGGGAAACCTAGTGAGACCCTCTGCCGTCCAGAGATGACAAGAGGTGAAACAGAAGAACCAGGAGAGTGAAGGAAGGAGTCTCTGATAGCAGCAGACGTGTCTCCTAGTGCACGTGGTATACCAGCATGCAGCAGGCTCTGAGGCCTGGGGACCCTTCAGTCTGAGGACCACTCTGTAGGCTGGATATTATCCCCACCTTCCCGATGAAGAAACTGAGGCCGAGGGAAACTGATTTGCATGAAGATCTCACAGTTAGCACATCTCTGAGTCAGACCCCCGAGTCCTTCCCATCCCAGGGGCCTTTCTCTGACAAAGGAGAACTGCTTCCTGTAGCTCCCCTCGAACAGCCCGCCCAGCAGCACAGGATGACTGATGACGCCTACAGAAAGCTTCTCCCATGTAATTTCTATGAAAGTAAAGTGCTAAAGGCTTGAGATCTTAACCTGCTAACACAGGACTGAGCTGTAGCTTGCCACTGAGATTTTGTATTGTTACTGGCTGTGTGAAGGCAGGCTGCTGCTGTTCATACCGGGGCACTGTTCAACCTGCACAATTGTGCCTGGCGGCCTTGTTTTGGAAAGAAGGAGTGGAACATTCCTTAGGTGACCACACATTTGCAAATTTTTCTTTGGCTCTTCCCTGGGCCCTCACTTGAAAGAATGTTTGTATGTTTGAGAGATGTATGCACAGGCAGGTATAAGAGTGCGGACATAAGACGTTCTTTCTTTTCTAATAGTCAGACACCTTATACTATGCCACTTGAATTAGGATTTGGGAAGGTTCTTTTACAAAGACTGTACTGAGGAGGAGAGCTACTATTCTCTGTTATCAATGGCTACCCCAAATCAATGAAAGGTGGGTGTTTGGTGCAGCTGTTAAAACCCCCCACGTCCTACACTGGAGTGCCTGGGTCTGAGTCCCAGCTCTGCTTCTATTTTTTTCTTAAGATTTATTTATTTTATTCAAAAGGCAGAGTTACAGACAGAGGGAAACACAGAGACTGAGAGATCTTCCATCTGCTGGTTCACTCCCCAAATGGCCACAATGATCAGAGCTGGGCCGATCCAAAGCCAGGAGCCAGGATTTTCTTCCAGGTCTCCCACATGGGTGGCAGGAACCCAAGTACTTGTGCCATCCTGTGCTGCTTTTCCAGTTGTGTTAGCAGGGAGCTAGATTGGAAGTGGAGCAGCTGGGACTCGAACTGGCACCCATATGAGATGCCAGCCCTGCGGGAGGAGCCTTAATCTTCTACACCACAGCACCAGGCCCCCAGCTCTGCTTCTAATTCTAGCTTCCTGCTAATGTGCATCTGGGGGGGGGCAGTGGTGATGGCTCACACACTTGGGTCCCTGCCGCGCACATGGGAATCCTGGATTGAGGTCCAAGCTCCTGGCTTCAGCATGGCCCTGCCCTGGCTGTTGCCAGCATTTGGGGATCAACCAGCAAATGGAAAATCTCTCTGCCTTTCAATCAATCGATCAATCAATCAATCAAACCAAGAAAGAAATCAATTTTTTCAAATTCAATGAGAGTGCAGGTCAAAAAAGCGAGTAGATCACTAAGCCGTGCTCTTTGAAACAGAGGCAGGCTCCTCTGCCATGCTTTCCCCACACCACTCCCAGCTGAAGAAGGCACTGCAACAAGGGCACAGCGTTCCTGCAGAGCTGCTACAGTGCCACCACACTGCACACGTGCCTGGGGAACCAGCTTAGAACAACCTCTAGGTAATGGTAATTACTTCTTCAGACAGTGCCTTGTCTCCAGAACTGACAGAAACTGTTTCCCTATTTTAAATAACCTTCTCTATCGATCTGTTGGAATCACATCATATTTTATAAATATCTACTGTTCAGTGCAGCTGCAAGTACTACATGTCATGTAGTTGAACTGGCCTTGACCTCGGATGGCTGGGGCATATTTTAGTGTTTCGTGGCAGGGCTGATGTAAGAGAGGAGTAGGGGACTTTGATTTTATGAACACAGACAAGAAAAGGAGAATTTGTGGAATTTTTCAGGTTCAAGAAAGACTTGGTTCAAAGGGTTGAGTTCCTTTTATTTACCTTGAGCTTATATACTGTGAAATTGCAGCTAAGATCCTTGCAGAATACAATACCGGAAAACACTGAGGAATTTGGTGTCTGTATTAATATATATACTTGGGCCTTCATGAGTATGCACTTTTTTTGTTGTTGCTGTTATTAAAGATTTATTTTCTTTGGGGCCAGTGCTGTCACATAGTGGGGTAAGCCTCCACCTGCAGTGCCAGCATCCCGCATGGGTATCAGTTCAAGTTCCAGCTGCTCTACTTCTGATCCAGCTCCCTGCTAATGTGCCTGGGAAAGCAGCAGAAGATGGCTCAAGTTCTTGGGCCCCTGCACCCATGTGGGAGACCTGAATGAAGATTCTGGCTCCTGGCTTCAGCATGGCCCAGCCCTGGCTATTGTAATAATTTGGAGAGTGAACCAGCAGACGGAAGACTTCTCTCTTTCTGCCTCTGTCTCTCTTCCTCTCTCTGACTTTCAAATAAATAAATCAATATTTTTTTTAAAAATTATTTACTTTATTTGAAAGGCAGAGTTACAGAGAAAGGGAAAGACAGAGAAAGAGATCTTTCATCTGGTGGTTCACTCCCTAGATGGCTGCAACAGTCAGGGCTGGGCCACGCCAAAGCCAGAAGCCTGGAGCTTCATTCAAATCTCCCACTGGGTACAGGGGCCCAAGAACTTGAACCATCCTCCATTGCCTTCCCAGGCAGATTAGCAGGGAGATGGATTGGAAGTGGAACAGCAGGGATGCAAACTGGTGCTTATATAAGATGCTGGTACTGCAGGTGGCAGCTTAACTTGTTGCACCACAATGCTGGTCCCTTTCACTTTGCTTTTTTTCAAGTATTTTCCAAATAGGTGACTTAAAAAAAACCAACTCAGTATTTTCTAATTTACATTGATCCTTAGTATTAGATACTACAACTAAATGTTACTGTCTGTTTTCAAGTTAAAATTAGTAGATTATGGTGTCTATACTCACTAGTTTATTTCTATACCACAAATCATAATACAGTAAAGACCACAGAAGGAAGTGTTTTGTTCAAGGCCATCATCCAAGCAATTGCATCTTTGACCTGACTTGCCATTGGCCCTTTGGAGTGTCGGTGATCTGCATGGACACCCTGTGATGTCAACCATGACTTGTGAGCAGGGAGCATGAAAACCATTTTCTCTTTTCAATCAGTTTAATCTTGTATGGCTTTCAGCACTAAAGGCTTCACTTGTCACATTTGCTTTTTAAAATTTGTCATTGTCATTTTAAATTATCATACAAAGCAGGAATCCTTAGCTAACAGAAACTTTTCTGAATGTAGTTGAGGATCTTGGTCATTGCCTTAAACAACTTTTGAACACACATGCATCAGTATATAATTTTTAAATGCCTTTCAGATTTTGGCTGGTAGCAGTTTGTTAAAGAAAAATAGAATACCTTGAGCTTTAATAACTTTCATTCTATCTTGATGTCAAATGGAATTTCTCATTTTAAACAATACCACCCTTTCACCTAAATTCATTTTTCAGAATCTACTTTACCATGAACTTCTAAAGCAGGTGGCTAGTTTCTTAATATTCTATAGTGAGTAATCCTCATATAATTCTTACATGGTTATTATTAAATCATTGGAAGAAATGTGTTTCATTATTTGCCCCTGAATTTTTTAGTAGAATGTGATGCATGGTCTGGTGTTGACAGAAATGACAGAACTCACTAGGAGGTGACGAACCCTTGTAACCTTCTGACCTGTCTGCCTTTAGGGCATGCACACATGGAGGAAACTTGAAAGGGACCCTGTGAAAACCACCCTGAGCAATATTTGCCCTCTCTGGACCTTACAGTCAGTTTCATATAAATTTACAAGAACTTAGAAACAAACAAGGGCTTTGTCTACACACACAAGTATGGGGAAATAAATGTCAAATTCAGAAAAACAGCAATTTTCAAAGGAATATACAGTGGATCACTACCAGCTGAATGTTGCTTTAGAATTTTAAGTGGAGCAATAGGTTTGTGACTTTAAGGAAGCTTCACTTATAGAGGAAATGTGACCTGAATAGTAAGGACCACGTGCTTGAATGGGAAAAGGAAACCGAGATCAAACACCACAACCTGACCTTTTACATGTACTGTTCAGAGAAATGGAGCCTTTGAACATCAAATTTCACTCTAAACTTTGAAAGCTAGAGTTATTACTTCTCTTAAATATTTTTCTGAAGTTGCATTATTCAATTCAAAAATAGTTTATATGTATGTACTATTAAAGCAGAATGGTGATAAACCTAAGAGGTTCTAAGAGAAAAGATGACCAAGGCAACTTTAATAAAATAGGACCATTGGCATTGAATTTGGAAAGAAACAAGCCATAGTCATACATCATGACTGTGGAATATGTGGGACTTACATATTAGTGTTGGCAGTTGATGTCAGCCATTCGCCTGCTAAGCCAATGATATCCAATCCAGTGGAGAGCTGGTTGAAAAATCGAGGATGACCTAGAGAGAAGAGTAACAGGCAAGCATCAACGCAAATCTGGATTTTTCAATCTATATTCAAAGCAAAAGGCTTCTCCCATTAGGCAACATTCATACAGCCTCCATCCCAGTTCTATCAAAGCTACCCAAGGATATTGGAGAAAGGGAAGGTGGACCCACTCTATAAAAACCCTTAGCATTAATGAGGCCTCCCAAATTTCTAGGTTTCTGAAGCATCATGCTTTAAATTTAAAAAGAAATCCAAAATCATGCAACTAATGATGCTTTCGAATATTTTACTTGTTGACTTCCAGACAAACTCCTATTTCACATGTATTTTTTTCCATTACAAAAGAAAATGTAGTTGATCCTGATTTTTCCCCCTGCTTAAAAATCTCAAAGTTTTAAATCCCCAAATCGAGGTTTTCTGATAGAGAAGAGGCTGTAGGCCTCCACGAGGGTTCTTGGCTCTGTGGGCCAAACCAAGCTTGGAGTAAGTACCAGCTCCAGTGCTGACGCTGCTAGCAACCATCACTCCGTGGTGCTCTATGACACATGCGACATCAAGCAGTGTTTTGCCCATACATAATCAGGTGCCCATTAAACTAAATTTATTGTTGAGACCACCCTAGCATCTTCACTATGAACTGGACAGAGTCAGCCTCATCCACCCACTGAGTTGCTGGAGAAATAACTGTTATGGCTTCACAATTCTAAAGGCCTGTGCGACCCACAGTCTGCTTTAGCAGGCTTTGTGCTTAGCAAATTCAGGGTTGTTGGCCAACTTGGCGTTCACCAGAAAACTCAACTCCACATCAGCAGGCTTGGCTCAGCTGTCACGGAGTCAACACAATAGATTGTCTAGGGAGGTGTGACAGAGAACTGGTGCTAGGAAGATATGCTGACGCCTAGGTTTCCAGTGGAAATTGCCTTTGCCTCTGAAGTAACTGCCAGGGAGCTAGTGTGTGAGTGTTCCTGCTCCGAATCCCCTGAGGATGCCTGGTCTTCCCTAGATGGGAGCGAGACTCATTCAGGGCATCCGGACTATGATTATATCGGAAGAGACCAAGCTCTGTCTCTCAAGAGACCTCCAAATAGATAAATAAAAGTGGAATAAACAATAAACAGCATAAGTATGCAACTGGATTCCAGATGATCACGTACACTATTCCAAATAGCTTAAACTATTCTATTTTACTCGTTTGCTCAGTGCCAGCAGAATCCATGACAACTCCTGCAACGTAACAAAGGTTGTTGAAATCCATTAAAATATTTACGCAACACCCCATCTGAACACTCTTAACAAATATTTCACTCTAAGGAAGGAATGAACCATAAATAAATGCAATCATATTTTTGATAATGTATAAAAACAACTTCACATGGCAGAGACAAAAGACAAACTCTTTGCCCACTGAAATACACAAGACTCAAAGTCCCCCCAGACCTTACACTTAGCTTATGGCTACAACCTTGTGCCTCCCAAAATCTGAGCTCAGAATTTCTATCAAGTAACAAAATAACATAGTTTTAATTTCAATTTCAATTCTCTATATTCCATAAAAATAATGGACGCTATATAGGATACTGAGCAGCACCTAAACTCAACTAGGCTGAGGAAAAAAGTTTTTGGTTTTTTAAGGGAAAGTTTTTCAACAAGTAAACTGTAAGGGGGAAGAAAAGGAGTGGAGCGGGGAACTATTGATTACGAGACGCATCAACCAACTGCAATGTGAAGAACCTAGATTCTCCTTCAAAAGAATTATAAATATTAATATTTATACATTCATGAGATGATTGGAAATTTGAACACTGAATATTTCATATTAAGGAACTGTACGTTTTGTGAATTTTTTCAGGTATAACAATGACTCCGTGGTTATGCCTTTTGTTAACAGAGTTCTTGAGGACAAGGACTATTTATGGATCAATAATATTATGTTGGAGAGTTGCTTCCAGATAATACAGAAGAGAAGGAAGTGGTTGGAGGTACAGGTGAAACAAAATTATCCGGAGTTGATAATAAACTGGGTATTGGGTATAAAGCGTTCATTATATGATTCTACTTTTGTATAGTTTTAAAATTTGCTAGGATAGGAGCAGGCATTCTGCCAAGTCATTAAGATGCCTGTGTCCCACATCAGTGTGCCTTGGTTCACTACCCGGCTCTGGCTCCTGCCTCCACCTCCCTGCCAGTGCAGGCTCTGGGCGACAGCAGTGATGATTTGAGTAACTGGGTTTCTGCTGCCCACAAGGGAGACCTAGATTGAGACCTCAACCCCTGGCTTTGGCTCCTAGTCCAGGCCCGGTGGCTGCTGGCATTTGATGAGTGACCCAGTACACAGGAGTGCACTCTCTCCCTTTATCTGTCTACCTCTCAAACATGAAAATGCAATTTAAGACATTTTTTCTGTAATAAAAAGTTAAAGAAGGACTAGCCAAGAAAGTCTGGTGTATCTACAAATCACCTAAGTAGCTGCTGTGACCGAGGGCTGATTTGTAGCTGGCGGAACACAATATGCTGGTTCTTTCTTTGAAGAAGTCTGTGGGGGCAGGTGCTGTGGTGCGGCAGGTTAAGCCACTGCTTTGAATACCCGCATTCCATTTTGCAGTGCCTGGATTAAGTCCTGGCTACTCTGTTTCTGCTCCAGCTTCCTATAACCTGCACCGGAGGCAGCGGAAGGTGGCTCAAGGACTTAGGTTCTTGACACCCATGCAGGAGACTCAGATGGAGTTCCTGGCACCTAGATTTGCCTTGGCCCAGCCCTGGCTGCTCTAGGTACTTGAAGAGTGAAGTAGCAGATGGAAAATTTTTCTGTCTGTGCCTCTCCCAAATAAATAAATCTTAAAAAGAAAAAAATGGGCCAGCGCCGTGGCTCACTTGGCTAATTCTCCTCCTGCAGCACTGGCACCCTGGGTTCTAGTCCCGGTTGGGCTGCCGGGTACTAGTCCCAGTTACTCCTCTTCCAGTCCAGCTCTCTGCTGTGGCCCGGGAGGGCAGCAGAGGAGGGCCCAAGTGCTTGGGTCCCTGCACCAGCATGGGAGACTGGGAGGAAGCACCTGGCTCCTGGCTTCAGATTGGTGCAGCACCGGCTGTAGCGGCCATTTGGGGGGTGAACCAATGGAAGGAAGACCTTTCTCTCTGTCTCTCTCTCACTGTCTATAACTTTACCTGTCAAATAAAAAAGAAAAAAAAAGAAAAAAATGTCTTTTGTTAACTTGTCAAGAATTTCCAAATGCCTCATCATCCCTGTGTAGGCTATAACCCCATCAGATGGTTCTCACTACTAAACCAAACCATTATGTGGACTGAGCATTAATGCACTGATACCTTAAAAAATATTGCCCACGTGTGTAGCTACACATGGGCTGTGCTCTGTCGCTTCGGTATCTACTTCTAGATCACAGATCCACAACCAGGAGCTGTCCTCATTGATGTGCCAGCACCAGTCTGCTTTCGCAGGGTCAAAATGAGATGTAGCAGAAGGCACCATGGTGCTCGGAAAACTAAAAACCCTGCAGACGCGAATATTTGCTCTCAGCTACATCTCTGAAGAACAGGAATGGATGGTGCAGGCTGAATCCCGAGTGGCTTCACACACTGCACTCATGACAGTCCAGGTTTTGCCTGGCCAGAAGAGCCTGCAGCTTCACCCCTGATATGAGAATTTGTGATGATAAAGTCCTGTGTTTTTCTCTGAGGGACAACATTACTCAGGACAAAAATATGAGGGTATTATAAAAAGTTTGTAGAAAACAGTTATATGCAAATGTGCATTTTCCATGAACTTTAAAAAAATTTGTTTCAATTTTGTTTCTTTGGAAGAGAGAGAGAGAGAGGCAGAGAGGGGAGAGAGAGAGAAAGAGAGAGAGAGCAAGCGAGTGAGCACTTCAATCCACTGGTTCGCTCCCCAAATGCCTACAACATTCCTGGCTAGGCCGGGCTGAAGCTGGGGGCAAGGAACTCAGTCTGGGTCCCCCACGTCAGTGGCAGAGACTCGGCCCCTGAGCCACCACCTGCTTCCTCCCAGGAGGCACATTAGCAGGAAGTGGGGATGGAGAGTGGAGCTGCAACTTGAGCCCAGGCATCTGCTATGGGATGAGGAGGTCCTAAGAGAGGGTTTAATCACTCCGCCAAATGCCCCTCCAGGAACTCTTTGAAGTACCCTCATGTGTGGTTCTCATGTTTCTGAGAAAGTGTGTATAGCGTGACTGAGAAAATAAAATACACTGGCCCAAAGCAAGACAAGCTAAAACAAACATAGGGAATTCTGGTTCTTCCTCATCCAGCCACGTAATGTGACCTGGTCTCCATCAGGAATAGGTTTAGCTGCCAGACTAAGATGAGACGGCACTAAACTGATAGGAGTGCTTCTCCTTAAAAACCAAACACAGAGGATGTAGCTGTGATCGGGTCTTGTCCATCCAGCAGGTACTTAGTGAGCTATCCTTATTCCCGCGGTACTGGTGAACCTCAAATGCTATTTGGGATTCCTTACTTTAAAAAGTTTCTCTGAGGGGGTGGTGCTGTGGCACAGTGGGTTAATGCCCTGGTCTGAAGCACCAGCATCCCATATGGGCGCCAGTTTGAGTCCCGGCTGCTCCACTTCCGATCCAGCTCTCTGCTATGGCCTGGGAAAGCAGTGGAAGATGGCCCAAGGACTTGCACCCACATGCAAGACCCGGAAGAAGCTCCTGGCTCCTGGCTCCTGGCTTCGGATCAGCACAGCTCTGGCCATTGCAGCCAACTGGGGAGTGAACAAATGGATGGAAGACCTCTCTCTCTCTCTCTCTCTCTCCCTCTTCCTCTCCTCTCTCTGTGTAACTCTGACTTTCAAATAAATAAATAAATAAATCTTTTTTTAAAAAAAAAAAAGCTTCTCTGGCCACCCTCTTATTTCATTGCAACATTTTGGTTTTGACACCGAATAGCCTTACTCAGCTCCATCCCCCATCGGCCTCTCCAGTCTGTATCTTAAATCTATCTTCAAGTGACTAAGAGTGAGAGGGCATAAAGGCAAAGCAGAGAGAAGGAAGGAAAAAGAACAAGGGGCTGCGAGCTGTGGCCTTGGGAAATCCTCTTCTGTCCTGCGACTTCCTGTAGACCTAGCCACCCCAGAGCTCAGGCTGGAGAGAAGAAAACACTGCCTCAAACCTGGGCTTAGGCACATCCAAAACGTCCTTGAACTTGAGGCAACTGGAAAGTACTTTGGCCAGGACTGCTGGCTAGAGAGGGTATGAGGTAAAGGAGGCAAGAAGGGCCAGCGCCTTGGCTCAATTGGCTAATCCTCCGCCTGCGGCACCAGCACACCAGGTTCTAGTCCTGGTCAGTGCACCGGATTCTTTCCTGGTTGCCCCTCTTCCAGTCCAGCTCTTTGCTGTGGCCCAGGAGTGCAGTGGAGGATGGCCCAAGTGCTTGGGCCCTGCACCTGCGTGGGAGACCAGGAGAAGCACCTGGCTCCTGGCTTTGCATCAGCGCGGTGCACCGGCTGTAGCGCGCTGGCCACAGCGACCATTGGAGGGTGAACCAACGGTAAAGGAAGACCTTTCTCCCTGTCTCTCTCTCTCACTGTCCACTCTGCCTGTCAAAAAAAAAAAAAAAAAAAAAAGGAGGCAAGAGGACGACCCCAAGAACTCACAGTTGAAACAGGATTAGTGACCCAGAGGGTCTACATTTCAGAGGTTGGAAAGGTTGTATGTCTGTGTGTGTGTGCATGCATGTGTGTCCACGTGTGCATGTGTGTGTGAGACTTTCTGGCCTAGCCAGAAGGTGGTATGAACTGAACTGTATCTTTCAGAAAGCTGTGTCGAAGTCCTCGCCCCACTTCTATGAATGTGATCTTATTTGGAAATAGGGTGCTTGCAAACGTAATGCAGTGGAGATGAAGTCCTGCTGGATTGGGGCAGGGAGTGGGTGGGGACACTAAGACAGACTAGCATCCTAAGGGAGGAGGGAAACTTGGACACACACAGTGGAGAGGGCCAGGGAAGGATAAGGCAGAGACTGGAGCGATGCATATGCAAGCCAAGGAAAGCCCACAACAAGCACCAGGAGCTGGGAGAGGCCAGGGGACATCGCCAGAATTTTCAAACTCCAGCATGGCGAGAGAATAAATGCCTGCTGTTTCAAGCCACCTGTTCGGGCAATGTATAATGGCAGTCCTAGGAAACAGACGCGGGAAGGGAGGGAAGCAGATCCTGTTTCCCCAGCATCGGGATGGGGAAGGGCAGGTGAGATTTATCAGAATGAAATAGACACGATCACGGAGGCAAGAAAAGAGGTTAGGTCACTCTGCTCCCCCTTGGTGTTAAATGGCTTCCAACCAAGACTAAAAACTTTATACAAAAGTCGCCTTAGCACCATGCAGCTGCACATTTTAAACCTAATTTCACAAGAAAGAGTGGTGAGTTTTCACCAGGGTTGGGGCCTTCCTCCAGCTGTTACTGCCCAGGGCTGTTGCTTTTGGGATCTCTAAGAACTTCTCTGCCTTCTCTTACCAAGACTGCATTTCTCCTTCAACGTGAGCTTGCTGTCCTCACCACTGACGAGGGCAGGAGGGAGGGCAGGTGCAAGCTGCAGGTGCGAGCCCCCCCTCACCTGTGCGGACGCCATACTTCAGGGTGTCTCTGCAGTCAACCAGGATCTGCTCCAGGGACTCGGGATGGTCGGAGAGCTCCAGGTTGAAGCCCTCCATGCCTTCCAGCAACTGGTGTGGGTGATGGAAGTCCAGCACCTTGGTGGACCGGTCAAACGTCTTACGGACATAGTTGAGCAGGATGTCCACCACCTCCAGCAGGAACTGCACGGTCTGCTCTTCTCCGTTCTTAGCTGGAAGCAGATCTGGGGAAAGGGGGGGCAATGAGTCAATGAGTAGTTGTCACCTGACTCCCAACCTTGGGCCCAAGATCCCTCGCATCAGCTGCAGTATGCTGACATGCTGAACCTCATTCCGGCACGTGCGTGTGCAGGGCATCTGACGGACCGCATCGCCAGCAGTGCTGCACTCCCTTTCTGGGGTTCAAGAATTTTCTGATAGTGAGGCTGCTCACCCGTGCGATGGATACTGCGAGTGACCTGCCTGCGGCACTTGTCCATTTGCAGGCTGAATGGGCCCCTGTGAGGCGTGTGTTGGAGGGAACTCCTGTCATACTACCTTGGCACCAGGTGTGCCCCTGTACCTTTGCTGTGCTCAGTCTGCAGAGGGAGAAGGCAAGGCGGCTCTGGAGAGAGGCTCAGATGCTCCCCGAAGAGGGTCAGCCTTTGTGGTGTTCTCAGGCAGGGAAGGGACGGGGGGGGGGGGGGGGAGTCCCTACTGAGGTTTCAGCCATAGTCAACAGCAGGCTGATGCTCTGTCTGCTCCCTGGATTCTCTCTGAGGTTTTAGCCATGTCTTGTTAAATGTTCTAGTCTGGTCCCTGTGGCCCTGCGGAGAACAAATGGAAGGGGTGGGGGCAGGTCCACCTCTGAGCTGGTACAGCACCTTGAAACCAGTGCTACGGGGGCAGCTGGAATGAGATAGATAGATCGATAGATAGATAGATCGATAGATTGATCAATCGATCGATCTCCAGAAGGAAAATGAGTTTCAGGACAGTCTCAGTTATGAGGCCCAGAATACAGCTTCCTGGAGGGGGGGGGGTGTGTCACTGTCACTCTTTTGCCCAGGCTTGGGGACAAGTGCTATGGAGGGATTCACTGGATTTTTTCTCACGGGTAAGACTGCTTTGGGTTCTAAGATTCTGTCCCCATGAGTGTCTTTTCTGAGCAGACCATCACTGGCTACCCTCACCCAGCTCCCAAACCAAGGGAGCAGTTAGGGAAGGAGGGAGGTGGTCCAGTGTGGGAAAAGCAATTGCATGAGGCTTCAGGGAACGGCATTTCTTGGTGAAAGAAGTAAAATTTCAGGAAACAGATGAAGACATCCAGCTAGGAGCTAGGAGCCGGCGGGCGGCCCCAGGGCCAGGCAGGGGAGGGCTAGCTACCTCGAGCGAACAAGTTGGAGAAGTCGGTCTCGGTGCGCCGGAAGCGGGCCTCCCTGTCGCTGTTCTCGCAGGAGAGCAGATTCTTGGAGGACTGCCTCTCCCGGAAGGCGCTCACGAGGCGGCTCTTCTCTTCCAGGCTGTTGGTCCTTTGCAAAAACCCTAAGGCGTGAGAGGCTAGGTCAGGGAGGGTGCGACCTCCCAGGCGCCGCCGAGGCTCAGCTGCCGGGTCGGGCCGCGCGCTCGCTCCGGGAATGACAGAGAGTGGCTCTGGCACCGCTGGCCTTCGGGGGGCAGGGGTGTGCCAAATGTCGTCAGCGGCACGGACCCAGTCATGCGCAAGGGGGGAACAGTGAGCGAAGCAGCCTGTTTTCTTCCCTGGGCGTGACCGGGAGCTGAGAACTGTCAGTCAGACAGCTTCCGCTCCAGCAGCCAGCCCCCCGCCCGCTTCGTAGGCAGGGACCCGGGCTCAGGACAGCTCCCAGCTCTGGGCTTCCGGGCTACGCGACCACAGCGGGCAGACTGGAGGGGTGGTGAGGACAGCAGAGGGAAGAGGACACGGGTGGGGGGGCACAGCCTAGGGAGGAGGGGGAGGACAGCAGAGGGAGGAGGCGTCAGGTCCAGCTATGAGGATTAGGAAATACCTCCCTCTAGCAGCACTAACACCCGCAGGATTCAATATAAGGGTAACTTTTCCTTTACCACTCCCTGCCTTTGAATAAAGGTACTGGGGAAAGACACAGGAGAATTTCAAGTCTTATGCATTCAGTTCTCAGCAGCACCTGTTGTCTAACAGCACTCTGCTGTGGACTTGGACAGATTCCTCCCCTGCCCCCCCCATACACACACACACACACACACACACGCACACATGCACACACGCCAAGGGCACACAGCCTGGCAGACGGTGACCGAAACTGTCATAAAGCTGGAAAGTCATCCAAGAACCGCCCCCGATGAATCCTGAGCCCAGGATGGGATCCACAACCTCTGACCTGGGACCCTCAGAGGGAGCAGGAATCTCTCTGGCCTGGAGTGACCAGCTGGGACAACACTAGCAGCAAACCAGGAAGCAGGGTTGGGCCAACAGGGCTGGAGAATCTACCACCATCTTCCCCTCGCCTCCATCCTCTGTGGGGCGCTGGGCCTGCAAACCCTTCCTCCGTCAGTATCTCCTCCTCTAATGTAGCTTCGGCCTTAGCCCAGAATGCACCACCCTGAGCAGGGGAATCAAGTTCTAAGCTTGTTGGTGACCCCAGAGTGGTCTCTGTAGAGATCAAGCTCCTTGGGGAGTCACACACATCACAAGGCAGGCTTGGAAGAAAGTCCCAGGAGGTGCAAGGACAGGCAAGTGAATCTGGGGCACTCGGCTTGACTTCCCTAGGGCTGCAGTTCAGTGTGGTGGGTAGGAGAAGGGGGCATGCAGGGAGGGGGATGAGGACCCTCCCCGACACAGGAGCCAGCCTCTATTTCTGGAGGGAGGAATATGAAGGCAGAGACACCTCTGAAGCTCCTCAGTAAAGGCCAAAAGGACATAGCAGGGCAGGGCAGGGCAGGATGGGGCGGGGTGGGGTGGGGTATATGTCTACGGTAATAGCTGAGGGTTGCATCCTTTCTCTTTTCCCTCCCCTCTTTTACTTTCTGGATTCCTCCTCCAGATCCTGAGACCAGAGCCAGCAGCCAGCTTCCCTTGCCAAAGGGATGAAGGGCCACCTGGCTCCTGAACTCTGAAACTTCCGCCCAATTCCAAATCAGGGAGGATGGAATTTGCCTGTCTGGAAAGGCCAAATCCATGTGGCCTGAATGAGGGTGAGGTTCTGCCCACCTGGACCCCTGCTGTGTATTCTCAGATCTCTGGGCTTCTGATTCATTCCCTAGGAAAGCCTTGAGCCCTCCCCTACCCACCACCACTTGAGAAACCCTTTAGAAACCCCGTTCCTCCAGGCAGCGGCAGGGAACAGGAACTCAGTTCAGACTTTGGACATTGTCTCCAAAAAAGGTTTTGGCACGGGCTCTCCCAGAGAAGTCCTGATGGGGCTGAGAGATGAACCTGAGGACCTGACTTTAACCTTGCATCCCATTCCTGAACCACACTTCCTGTAGTGCCTTGGGAATTAGCATTTTCATGAAATCCTGAAATTATGAATGGCACACTTACTACACTGCCTTATAATTTGCATCAGAACCCATCAATTTGGGGCTGGTGCTGTGGCATAGCAGGTAAAGCCACTGCCTGCAGTGCTGACATCCCATATGGGCACCAGTTTGAGTCCTGGCTGCCCCAATTCTGATCTAGCTCTCTGCTATGACCTGGGAAAGCAGTAGAGGATTGCCCAGGTTCTTGGGCCCCTGTACCCATGTGGGAGACCCAGAGGAAGCTCCTGGCTCCTGGCTTCAGATCAGCACAGCTATGGCTGATGCGGCCAATTGGGGAGTGAACCAGTAGATGGAAGACACACCCTCTCCCCCCACCTCTCTTTCTCTCTCTGTAACTCTGCCTTTCAAATAAATAAATAAATCTTTTTAAAAAAATCCCATCAATTTGCTGACAGGCACTTTTAATGTATACTGCCATTTCTTTCACTTTGCTTAGGAAGATATTTATTTTCTAAGCAATCCTGACTCTCAAAGGAGGTCAAAGACCCCTAGGCCTCTCTCCTCTGAGAGGTACTGGAAGGAGTTTCTGCTCCTTCAAGGATGAAGAGGTAGTAGATGACACTGAGGTTGTGACAACTGCCTGAGCAAGTACGGGGTCTTGGATGCAGGGTCCCTGAGACTGAGGCAGACTGCACGGTCTCTCACTCTGCACCTCAACTATGAGGACCTAGTTTAAGCTCTGCATTCTTAGAAGCAAAAAGGAAAGAGGAGAGCCGAGCTCAGCTGGTAGCATCCTGGCCAGCCCCAAGGGGAGACTTGGTAGTGTGCCCTGCCGTGACTCCACCTGTTCAGTGGGCGGAGGGCAGCTCTGGTCCTGGTTCCTCACACCTGCACTCTCAAACCCAATAGGGGAACCCAGGTAAGTGCGTATGGTCCCAGAGAGCACCCAGCTCCAGCTGTTGTTTCCAAGTGGGGCTTTCCAGCTATGCACAGCATAAGTGGGCCTGGGGCTGAGGCCAGTGTGTTCTCTGCCCACCAGGCTGCAGCACCGAACTGCTGCCGCTCTGGAAAACAGGTTCTTTGCCTGATCTTCATGGGCTGACAGCATCTTCCAGACTTCCCCATCCACCTTTTCCCAGAGAAACCAGAAATACAGAACACTTGAGGTCTCTACTTTTAGGATTTGCCAACCAATACAAAATTAAACACACTCTAATTACAATGGCTCGGGGATTGAAACTGGCAGCAAGTCTGGGGCCTCTGCACTGATAAGAGATGGAAGCCCAAGGACACACTGAGAAATCTGCAGGGCCCAGGGCCAGAGCTAAGGGATCCAGGCAACTCACTCTATGTAGGTCACGCCACCATGCCTGCAGCCACTCTCCAGCTCTTGGCAAGACCCTGGTTTTCTTCTAGCTGATGACTCTCCCATGGGGCTTCTGCCTCCAGAGCTAAGGGTATCCCTAGGGAAAACTCAGGTCTTCCTAGCAGCTTCATTCCCCGGCTTGGGGGGAGGGGGAGGGGGCTGGCAAAGCACTAAGGATGCTCTGGGGATCAACCAGGGCAATGGATTTGCAAGTGGAAAAAGAGGATGATTAGTCCCATTGCTGCCTTAAAACCAACCGGGATGGTGCTAGGTCAAGGAGGCCGGTCCCTGAAGTTCTAGGGCCAGGTCTAGAGAGGTGGGTGAGTGTGGACATGGGAGGTGGGAGGTGGGGGCTGGGCTGGGTGGATCCAGGACCGAAACAAAAGGCTGCACTCCGCCTCCACCAGATTACAATGGAAAACCAGAGCTGGCTTTCCAATGTGTGGAATAAAACCTACGGGAAGCCAGCTCGTTTGGGGTCCCAACCACAGAACGAGTTAGCTGAAGGCAGTTTGCCTCCACGGACTTGGATTGCAACTTTCCTGAGCTTAAGGGGCGAGAGGCAGGGAAGAAACTCCGAAAGGAAGGTCGTCCCCAACGGTCTCAACGTCCTCCCGGCCGGCATTGGTGGGCAGAGGGCGGCGGAAGTCGGTGCCACTCAAGGACCCCCTGGACCCTGCGAACGTGCTCTCTCTGCCGTCCCTTGTCCCTTCCGAGCGCGGGGGGGGGGGCCCGCTAAGACCTTTGCTCTCCGCCGACCCAGAGGGTCCCCGCACACGCTCCAAGGCCGGGACCCGCAGGAAAGGACCTCGCCTCTAGCCAGCCCCTGCCCAGTCCTCAGCCGGCCACGGCGCGCGCCCGGGGCTCAACTCGGTTCTGCTTGCCCGGCTGCATGACAATGACGGCTGCAGAAGCCGAACGCTGGGCCCCGGAGGGGACCTCGCGCGGAACGGGCCATTAAGCCGGGAACGGCGGCGGTGGGGGCGGGGTGGGCGGAGGCTATTTATAGAACAAAGCTCGGTGGCCTGCAGACCCGGCCCTGGCCTCGCCCCGCGGGCCTCGCGTGCGGGGACTCGGGCCATATAGCCCCGGCTGCCCTTCCTGTCCAGTACTGCTGCGGGAGCGGCACCAAGGGCCCCGGAAATGCAGGCTCCCCACGGCCGCGAAACAACGCCTCTTTACTCGGCCCGGGCCCGGAGTGTATCCGCGCCCACCCGCTCTGCGCGCGACCCCGGCCCCAGCGCTATCGGCGCGGCGCAGCGGCTGACGGATGGCTCTTTAATAAGCCCCTCGTTAATCTTCCCCCGCTCTCTACCCCCGCCAGCGGACAGTCCGTATTTTTGGGCCCGATAAGGCTGGAGAAAATGCGAGGCGATAAAACGTGGCGAGCGCAGCCAGTCCTCATTGTTCAGCCGGGGCCGCTCAGCTGTGCCCCTTCGAACAAACCTCCGGTTCTCCTTTGAAAACAATTCCCTCCCTTTGGGCGTTTTCTTGTCAGACCCACGAGTCTGGAGAGCAGTTCTTTCTCCTCTCGCCCTCCCGGCTATTTGCCAGCCGTGCCACACACCCCTGTCCTCCCAGCCCGCCTGCCCCATTCCTTTCCTTGCCCTCCTCGCCTTCTAGAATATACGCCGGCCGGCCGGCCCCGGGCCTCTGAGGCTCCACGGAACGAAATCCGAATCCGTTCGGCACCTAGGGGCGACAACCTCAAGCCCGAGGCCAGAACAGGGTGCGGAGAGGGGGCGAGGGGAGCGGGCGGTGGCGGCCACAGCTTTAGCCGCGGGAGTCCGCTCTCCGGGAAAGCCGGGCGCGTTCACCGCTCCCGCGCCGCCACGCAGACCCGCGGGCAGAGCGCTCGGGTCGGAGCGGCCCCGCAGCGCGGGGTTGCCGCGCGGGGGCGCTGCGCTCGCGCTTTCGCAGCCGCACCCTGCGCCCCTGGCCTCGGGCGGACGAGGGTCAGGGCCTCCAGCCGAGAGTCTCCGCCAAGCGTCGGGGCTGTCATTACAGTAGGAAACTAGACCGAAGACGGGATTCCCTTGGCGAGCGCTGGCTCGCCGGGTCCTGGCACTCACCGCAGATCTTCAGCCCCAGTTTTCGGGTGCATCCGTGGGCCACGCCGCACCAGGTGTCGTACGCTAGGACGAGAGAGAGAGAGAGAGAGAGAGAGAGAGAGAGAGAGAGAGAGATTGGTAAGGGAGGGAAACGGCGTGGAGCGCAGATTCTCCTGGCGATTGGAGGTCTTCCCCGAGGCTCTCCACTGAAAGCTTCCAGAAAGGAGCGAGGTACCAGGCCAGTGGGCGGACTGACAGACTCATGCCCTCTAAGCCCCCACCGCGCTCCCTTGCTGCTCCCGCCAGCCACTTTGGCGGGGTCCAAATGGGCAGCAGGCAGACCTTGCGCGACAAAGGCCAGGCCCCAGCCCCCGGCGCTCGGGTTGCCCAGCACCCACCGGCCAGACGCGGTGCCGGCTGTTGGGTCTCGGCCCAACAGACCCGAAGGGCGACCACAGCGGCCCAGAAAGGGAACACAGAGGCATCTGGGACCGAAACGTCTCATAATTTCTTGGCGGGTCTCCAGCCGAGTGGCAGCTTAAAATAAACTGGCATGAAATGGGGTCGCGGAAGAGTTCAGGAATTAATTGGGTGAAAAATAGTATTTGACTAGGTGATCGGGCTCGCATGGCTGCTCCTGGGGCGGGCCGGGGAGGCGGAGAGACAATGGTGCGTCTCCCGTGCGCATCCGTTGCCCCTCTCCCCGACCTGCCGCTGGTTAACCCTTCCCTCGGATTTACCCCGCCCTGAGCGGACGGAGGCCACTGGGATCGGGCGCTTTACCTCTGGGTTTGAGCTGCGACCCAGGACCGCCGGGCTTTCCTTCTGTTCCAAGCTATTCTCAAAAAGGGGTCTGCCTGCCTTCGGGGCCAGCTTTCCAAACGAGGATCGCGGAAAGCAGCCCGGCGTCCGCGAAGCCCGAGGGCGGTGTAATGGGCGCACCGAGAAATCCCCTTCCCATCCCGCAGCGCCAGGCAGGCGCCTCCCATCATCCCATCCCCCCCCCCCCCCCCCAGCCCACCACGGCCTGCGCCTCCAGCGGCGCGAGTGTTTCCTGCGATAAGGAGAGTGACATCCATTACACCCGAGGCACAGCAGAGCCCCAGAGGGCTGGGGAGACATCCCGACGTGGCGCGGTGGACAGCGCGTCACAGATGGAGCTCCAGCGCCAGGGAAGCATGCTAAAGCAAAGCCCTAGTAATAATAATAGCAAGCGGGTAAGGAGCCATTGCTGCGGGTAAAGCGCTTTCATTTCCGACATCTCGTCTAATTCTCATGGCAACCGTAGGAAGCAAGGAGAGGGAGTGCTGATCCAAGACTCACTGGATAAAAACAAAAGCAAAAACAAAAACAATACAATGGAGCTCGGAGAGGTTAAGCAAGTTTTCCAAGGTCACTCAGCCAGGAGATTGGAGTTGGAAATGGCACTGCCTTTCAGAATTGGGGGTTACAATGCAAGAAAAGGAAAAGGAGAGAGAGAGAGAGAGAGAGAGAGAGAGAGAGAGAGAGAGAGCCCTTTTTGATGCAGCCAGGGTCGGGAAGACCTAGGGGCCCAGGGCAGAGGGGGCTCCATGCCCCGCCCAGGGGTTGCTGGAGCAAGAGGTAGGGTAAGATTGCGCAGGTTGAGCAGGGACATGTCCCAGGAGACCTTGACGGGGCAGAGAGAAGCGGAGCCAGCTGGGCAAGCGAGGGTGTATCTGTAAGGGGGGTTGAGAGTGGATGGGGCGCAGACGCCGCCACTGGGCTGGGGAGGACTCGCGGCCCTGCTCCTGGCACAGGTGCCGCCTGCTTTTCCCAGACAGCCTCTTCAGCTTTCTTGCCTCCTCCGCCTGCATGGCTTTGGACATGCCAGGTCAAGTGTGGACCCTGTTCCTCGCCCCATCCTGGGACCCGGATCAGAGGTTGAGCATCCCGCCAAAAAATAGGACCACTGGGCAGATGGGGGGCGGGGAGGACGGTAGCCGGGAGAGAGGGCCAATACAACTGTGGCCCAAGTCCTCCAGACTGCAAAAAGGACGCCAGAAGCATGGAGACCAACAGGAGAAAAAAAAATCCATGGAGGCCAAAGTAAAAAACAAAAGGCACGCAGGCCTCGCGTTTCTCCAGGCCTGCTGGGCCAGCCCTTCCGCCCTCGCCTGGCTCACGTGCCACCGGGGCTGGCTGCTCTCCCGAGCCGCTCTTTGTTGTGTGGGTAATTGTAGCTTGCCAGGGTGGCGGGAAGGGGGAGCTGCAAAGGGGACTGGAAGGCGGCTCCAGGATTTAAGTCAAGGCCTCCCACCGGGGAGCTACTCCAGTCCCAAAGGGTTGGAGGGGCGCTTCCCTGGGGGAACACGCCCCACCCTTGCTGATGAAGACGCTGTTTCCTCAAGCTTCTAGAAAGTGCCACTAAAGCAGAGCCACAAGTACCCTAACCTCGGAGGCCTCTCCAAACGCCACCTATATAGACATCCCCACCTATATAGACATCCGAGGGCGTTGCTGTCTGCAGCTCAGAGACTGGGGGTTGGGGTGGGGGACACCACTCCAAATTGGAAAAACAATTCCCTCATGCGCATGCCTCTGGAGCGGTAGGCGGTCACTCCCAGTTCCAAACAGATTCTAGAGCTGGTTTCAACACTGGTGGACCTGAGGGTGGGGAAGCATAGTCCCCCTCCCTTGCTGGTCCCCCTTTTTTCCTCTCTCCTGTACTTGTCACCTGCTGACCGGGCTCCCGCCACGGAGAAAGGAGAAGGATGCTTTCTCGAGGCGCCCAGGCCAACGTCTCTCCGGCTCCCAGTTCTCCGCCTCTTGCTACGGAGGGTGCTGCCTGCTCTCCCCACCCCCCACTCTTTTTCTCTGAGATGTCATTAATTGCACGGAATGTCGGGGCTCCCTCCAGCAGGTTTCTGCACCTTCCCCGCCCCTGATTTCTGCCTCACTCGTCAATAGCTCACACAAATTTAGAGCAATTAGGGACCCTGAGTTTTCTAAAAGCTGCAATTAACGTCGAGATTTCCGCTGATTATAGACTTGGAGCACAGCGCAGAGAGGGGAGGAGGTCAGATCTCGGCTCAACGAAACCCGGGGACAGAAAACTCCCTTCCCGCGAAGACTCGCGGCCCCGCACGGCGCTCCCTGCCCTCAGCCCGGGTTTCTCACCAGACAAAACAAAAACAAAAACAAAAAACCCCACCACACACAACACAACGGAACCAACACTCGCCGCGCGTCCTCCCCCAGCGCGAAGCCGCCAACAATCGCCGACTCCCGTACCCTGCGTGGTCCTCGCTCTGCGGTGTCCTGGAAGTCACCCAATGTCTCCGAGAGCCCAATGACCTCTGTCCGGGCCGCGGGTCAGGGCCCCATTTGTCTCTCAGCCTCCATCATCGCCGCGCTCCCCCTGCTCTTTCCGCCAGCACAGCCTCCCTCGTCCCAGCGCCCCCATCTTCCCCGCAGACCGTTCGATAGGAAACTGGGGCAGCACCTACTTGTGGGGCGCAGGTTGGTGGTGTTGGGGTCCGCTCCCGCGTTCGAGGAGGTTGCGGACGAAGAAGGTGTCGAAGACGCCATCAGCTCGGTGGTCCTGGGGCCGCTGCTGTCCGGAGTCCTCACTGGGTCGGGCGCGGGCACAGGCTGCGAAGACAAACGAGAGCTGCGCGGCCAGGGCTTCCGGGGTCCTGCACGCGGGCGGCGGCTGGGCAGCTTGGGTGCCGGCGCTTCGCCGGAGGTCCCGGCACTGGGGGAGGCAGGGCAGCTAACCAGCCGAGTCGGGGTGCACGGTAGTGGCGGGGCGGTGGGGGGGGGGGAGGAGACGTGCGCGCTAGCTCCGGGACTCCCGGCGAGAGCAACACAGCCCCGGGCTACTGTCCAGTCTGGCTGCCTGGCGGCGCGACCAAAACTGTAGCGCTCAGCTAAGGGGGGCCCAAGTCCAGTGCAGGATGTGAGGGGTATGGGGGTACCGGGCTAGGGGCACCAGCGCATGTGCGTTCGGTGGGCGATTTGCCATCCAAACCGCGACAAGCCCCATTGGGTTCCCGGCAGCCGGCGAGCGGGCAGGATGGGGGCAGGGTGCGCGGGGCGGGCACGTCTGGATCGGCGTCTGGTTCCCGTTGTTGTGTCTGGTTAATTCCTTGGAAAGAAAGCGTCTCTCTGCTCTGGGGACCAGGTTCTTTGGGGGAGACAAGGTGAGAGGGGGGAAAAAAGGTCCACACCTTTACGTCCTCGCTCGAACTTGGCCTGGCTGGGGAAGAACCAGTCACCTTGCGCTCCGGACAGCCAGAGAGCAGCACGGAACCTCGCTCGTCTGCCTTATCCCACCTGGTTCGGAGCCATCTCCAAGCCCAGGACGAGGCTCCATCCCAGTCTTGATATTTCTCTTCTATCCAGCCCTCCTGCGACCCAAGACCCCAGATTGCTAGTTGTAGACCTCCGGAGAGGGTAGGGGGAGAAAAGAACGGGGATCGTCACGGGGGAAACGAACTTGCGCCCAGGGCGCAAGAGGCAGCGGACAAAGATGGTTGCGCGGCGCCCCTGATCGGCGCCGGCGCGATGGCGCCCCAAGGCCCCGGGACAAAGTGCGGGCGAATCTGGGTAGATCTAAGACCCCGCTGAGCAGCGACCACCAGCCACCGCTTCCGCATTCCTCCCCCCGATTCCCCCACCTAGCTGACTTAGCGGTCCCTCAGCAACGCGGCTGGCGGAGGGGACCGGGGCGACTGAGGAAGTAACAGGTTATCGCTGCTTGGTGCGCCTTTGGCTGCAGCTGCACCGGCGCCCTTTGGAGAGACCGGAGCTCACAGCATGGATGCGCCAGGGAAAATCGCTCTCGCTCCACTTCAGCGAAAGCCTCAGTCTCTGTGAGTCCCCGGGGCAGGAATCCGTCCGGCAGGGACGAGAAGAGAGCAGAGGGCGGGGGTCCCCGCGCCGTGCACTGAGCCAGAGCAGGGACTGGGACGAGCGAGACGCTCTTTAGGTTGGGGAGAGTGGGTGGTCGACGCCGGGGGCAGGGGTTGGCCGGGAAGCTGCGGTGAGAAGAGGACTCCACTGGGCAGCCGAGGAAGGGCGCTAGGAAGTCCAGGCGGTCGCAAGCTTACCTGCCTCGGCTGGGTCGCTTCGATCCGCGCACTGTCTCCGCTCCTCCGCGCAGCGTCCTGCTGTCTGTTCGGTTCCTCTCGCCCCGGCCCTGCCACAGGCGTATCTGCCCGGCGTCACCTCCAGCTGCTACCTCGCTCTTGCCAGCCCCGTCCCGCACGAGAGCGCCTGGAGGAGACGAGAGATCCGGAGAGCTGCCGCTCGGCTTCAGGGGAGGCGGGGGCGGAGTGGGGAGGCGGGGACCGGCTCCGCGGGGGAATCACGAGGCAGCTGCTCGCGGGGGCAGCTCGCCGGCGGAGCGGCGGGCTCCTTTGCAGGTGCCTGCCTGCCAGCCTCTGGACCTTTATAGGGCGACTATAAATCCAGCTCATGGGTTTGCGCCCGGGGTGTGTGTGGGGGGGGTGTGGGGGGAGGTCCTATGAGTAATCCAGAACGTACTCAACACACTGTTTTCTGAAACAGGCAGGGTGTCTGATGAGGGGAAAGATAATTCTCGGAAGAATTCTGCCTCGCTGAGCGTTTCTTCTTCCCTCCCCTTCCTACCCCACCCCCTCCCATATCTTGGGGACCAGAACTGTGGCTTTGCTTCATTCCGTTCTCCCGTGGTTCCCCCAGAGGTGTGACCCCACGACGCTTGCTTGAGCGAAGGCGCTCTCTGGGTCGCATCCTGGCCGGCTTCTCCGAGGAGTCAGGATTGAGCCGGGACCGCTCAGACCGCAGAGAAACCTCAGTCTCCTCACTCCAATTTCCCCATCCAGTTCCGGGCCTCCCCGAAGTACCTCGCCTGAGCCAAGCCACCTGCCCCCGGCAAAGAAAGGGGTCCCGTTTAACTGCGCTATGCGCGCCCTCCTAGCTTGGCCTCCTCAGTGACAGGAGAGGCGGTCCTCCTGATGGATGGCGTCTGAAGGTTAACGCCACGCTCGGGCGCCGCTTCGCACGCACCCGGGCCCTGAGCGCACCGGTGGCCCCGGAGAGGCCCAGTGGCTCTCCCTGCTCTGGCCCCCTCGCCTCAGTCCCCCTACGACTACACATCCTTTAAGGACTCTCCCTTTCCAACATCTGAGCACATTTACGTTGGGAGAAGACCCTCGTAATAAAAAGGCGTTGACGGGAAAATTCCCACCAGAGGGCGCCAAGCGCCCAGGGACCCAGAGGCCCTGTGTTGGCCCGGTCTCTCCTGGGAGGCCCGCGCCAACCCCGGGAGGAACTGGCCAGGCCCTCCGGCCCGCCGGCCGTCACTTGCCGTCCCTCTACCCCCTCCTCTCTCGCTGATGTGCCCCTTTCCTCTCCGTCCCCCTCCTTGCTCTACGACGAAGCAAAGCTGATCTTTGTGTGTGTCTGGGAGACATCGTACACTCCGATTCTTTCACTCATTTTCACAGTGATCCACCCCCCCCCCCCCATTGCTATTCAACAGTCAGGGGTTATTCGTGCGCACCTCCGGGGCCTCGCTGGTTTGCTGGTTTACTCTAAGCCCTTGCCTTCTCTCTGAATGTCTTACTGCCTTTCACCACGACACAGTAGAAACGCCGAAAATCTAATAAATCACCCACATTCCATCAAGGAGATAGAAGATTCCGCCCTGCGAAAATCGAGTCCGGTCAGCAAAAAAAGACCACCGTGCGTTTTGAAATATCCACGTTGGCTTTAATATAAAGAAAATGCTGTCGGCGTCTCTCCACCTTACAGTGAAAGCCTGGGTGCTTTTGAAGGACACAAAAGCACCCTGAACGGTGGGGTGTGCGGTAACAGCAGCCCCAGGGGCTAAAGCGCAGGAGTGAGCAGGGTGCAAGTGCCCGCTCCTCGTAGGAGATGCCCCCACCACAAGCCGCTCACCCACCGCTTCCGCGCACTGCTGGAAACGTGCGGTTTACAACCGGGTGAAGCTCAGAATTCCACCCACGCCCCCTCTTCCAGCCTTCCCTCAAAGACACGGTCGCGCCAATCAGGGAGCAGGGTGCCAGGGCTAAATCATCGGAGACGCAAGGGGCAAGGAGACAGGAGGGCGGAGACAAATCCAGGTGTCCCCGGGTGTCCTCTGTCACGCGTAGGTGCTTGCTCGCCCTCTGTCTCCTCAGTCTTCTCCCAAGCTCAAGCTTCCCTGGATAGGAAGATTCTTTTAATACACCTGTGGCACTAGACTGAGAAATTTCCAATCGTCTCCTCCTCCAAAGGCAGAAGCCAGTCCCCCCTACACTAACGTTTTAGCCAACAAAACAGTATTTGGGGGGAAAAAAAGAATCGCGTACAAGGCTGGGAATGGCAAATTAAAGCTGAGTGTGTCCAGCTGTGAGGACACCTTTCACACCCTCCCCCTTATGGTAGGGAGGGGAGGAAGGCAGGCTCCTGCTCGTCTTGAATTTTGAAATGTTTAATTAAATATCAGTAATTAATCAAATGGACATTTATTAACGACCGACCAAGAGCCAGGCACTGGTCTCTGGGAGCTGACATGGTTCCCACCATGTCTATTATCATGCTTCCCTCAAGGAGTTGACACGCCAGTGTGGCAGGTAGAGTAGCCGATTTAGGACCTCGTGGCTTTGATTTAATCGGCAATTGTCTCCCAATTCAGTTTAGACTCGTGGGCTCAGCAGGGATGGTAAGGAATCCAGGGCCTGGCATTCCACCCAGTCCGGGGGTCGGGGGTCTGGAGTTCAGAGCTTTGTGGAGAGCGTTCAGCACCGGGGACAGCGCCCGCCGCGGCGACACTCACAGAGCGCCTAGAGCAGCCTGGGCTTCCAGTTCCCCGCCCTCTCCCCTTCCTCCTGGTGCTGCCGAGTTTATCGTGCCTGGTTTGGGGGGAGGGTGGTATTTGGCCCACCTCTCCCTGGTAAGAATGTGGCCTGAGGGCGGCTGCGGTTGTCGTTTGGCTCTTCAGAACATTTGGAGCCCGTGTTATTTGCATCTCACTCTTCTTTTAATCTTTTATTACTCCCGGGGGAGGGTGGTTCGGATAGTGGGGGTGGAAAACAGACATCCTCTCCAGGGTCTCGGACCGGTGGTGAGGGGTGGCCCGGAAGGGAGCGGTGTCCGCCCAGCTGTTCGTTAGCGTTTGATCTAAGGTTTAGCGCCTGGAAAAAATAAATGGGAAAGCGACGCCCAAAGGCAAGGGGAGGCGGCGACAGCGTCGACGCGCGACCCCTCGGCCTCTCCCTACGATGCTGGGGGGGTCCGCAGGCCCCCGACTGCCCGTCCAGTCAGCTCGGGCGGGGACTGTTCCTGCGCGGCTTAAAGATATTTCAAAAGGATTTGCGGCCGGGCCTTCCCCGCAAATGAAGCCAGCGGGCAGGGGGGCGCAGCGTAGGGGGCTGCGGGGAGACTTTCAGGCGTAAATTTCGGTGCGTTAAGGTGGGAAGACGAAAAACGCCAGGTGGTTTCTTTTTCTTTCTTTTTTTCTTTTTCTTTTTTTTTTTTATATATGCACTTAGCGATTTTAGCCTCCAGGACAGATAACTCAGAGCCAAGGCGTTGGTTCATTTCAGCTGACTGTTCTGTTTATGACCAAAATAACATTCAAGAAAGGCGATGCTCACCGAGTGAACGTCTCTCTTCGCGGTTGAGGGCGGGGACAGCGCGGCTTAACCTTGCCTCGGGCCTGGAGCTGAGGTCCCTAGGCTGCTTGTGCACCTTAAAGGCTGTGCCCCGAATCATCCTGAACTTTATTACGAGGACCCTCGCTAAATCCAATACTCACCCCCAACCCCCGCCCCGCAACCTCCGTCCGACCCAGCGGAGCACGCACTACCGGCTCCCGGCAGGCAGCAAGGGGTTAAAAGCGTGGCGGGGAGGTGGCGGACACTGGAAATCATTTCTGCTAAGGAATCGAGCTGAATTCCTCCTTACACTGTCCAATGCCCCTTCCTCCTCGGTATGCCGAGGATGAAAATAGTCGAACATAAAGAAAACTAACCAAGGCGGACTGGGCGATTTGTATTTGGGCAAATCTTGGGTTCATCTGAAAATACCCAATTCCTGCTCTTCTGAACACAGTATCGAGCGACCACCAGGTGGTGCTAGATCACAATTTCTGGGAGGAAAGAACGCGCCCGCCAGGGATCCGTTCTTTAGGGAAGCGCGCGGGTCTTCCCGGTCCACACGCAGCCCTGTCGCGGTTCACCGAGCGGGTCCTTTTCAAAGGCCAAGAAATGCTCCAGAAGTGACCGCAAATGCCCCGGGGGGAGGCCCGTCTGTCCCCGTGGTGAAAGAAAAGAGGATGCCCGGCATCTGCTGCTTTCCCACACAGCCGCATGCTAAAGGTGGCCTTAAGGAGTGACCCCTTTGCTGTGAGGCTGAGAACTGGAAACCCAGGAAATCATGGATCTGACGCGCGACTCTGAAAGGGACCCTGACAGATGTATTTCTGTTCTCCTTTCAACAAAGACCAAGACCAGTGCCTTCCCTAGTAGGGCGCAAGGAAGAGGATTCGCCACAGATGCTGTAGGAAAACGCAGTGTTGACTGGGAGGCGGGCATGGGACTATTCTATCCATTTCCTTTCCTCTAAAAACTCAAACTCTTCTCACTGGGGCATTTTCTCATGATGTACACGATACGGACCCAAGGATCTAAGATCGTCAAGACAGGTTTTACTGGAGGGAAAGGCTTTGAAGGCAGTCAGACTTGAGTTTGAACTTGGATTCTACCTAGCAGCCATCGACTGACTGCTTTGCTTTCGCATCTAGAAAACAGGGGCTGAACCAGCTTTGTGGGCCAAATTATTTGATGCTTATAAAACTCATGTAATCGAGTTCAGCTCAGCCTGGATTATGCTGTTCCCTGAACGTCAGTTGTGTCTGCTCCTCTCCCTTAGATGAACAGTGATTTTCATCCACATCAATGTTCTCCCCTGGAATGTCTAAGCTCAGTGCAACATTGGTTCTCTTGTCTCCCATTTGTTTTGGCAGAGTGGCTGACCATTCCCCGATGGAGGACTCTGGGCCCTCTTCCTCAGTGACAGGGGTTTCTCACCCGCAGAGAAGTTTTGATTCCTAGAGGAGAAAACGTTCTGATGAATTTTCAGACCCACCTAACAAGAGGTGAGAGGGGGGCAGTTTTGTGTTGAGGTGACATTTACACATAATTACCACTTTCTGTAGGATTCACTCTTTGGATCTCTTCCCTTACCTTGATTCCTCCCTCTGTAACCTTGTCCAGCCACATGGCTTTAAATAACATCTATAGGATGCTGACTTCTGAATTTGTGTCTTTATTTGAACTTCTGGCCAACACTGTACGTTCATATGTCGAGCAGAATTTCCCACTTTGATTGCAAACAGGCGCCTTAAACTTGGAATGCCCTAAGTTGAACTTCTGAGCCTTTGTCCTGGACCCGCCCTATTACAGTCTTCTCCATGTCAACATACAACAGCTAGAGCCAGCTCCATCCTTCTGGCTGGTCTGGTTAAAGTCTCACCATTATCACCCACTCCTCCCTTTCCATCTGTCAGTAAACGCTGTTGAATTTCAAACTTTTCCAACCTGTTTCTGCTCTTTTCCCATTCCTTTTCAGAACACACATCATTGAGTCATTGCCACATCATGGCCTTCTTCTACTCAAAACCCTCCAAATCCCTGTCTCTTCATTAAAGCCAGTCTCTGTAGTGCCTACAAGGCCCTATATCATCTGAGTCCTCTGTCCCGTGCTCACTCTGCCGCAGTCACAAGGGCCTCCTTCATGCTTCTTGAACATTCTAGGCAAGCTCCCTCTACTTCCCCCAGGTATACACAGGGTTTGCTCCTTCTCATTCTGGCCTTTGCTCAAATGTTCTTTCAGCAGTGAGGCCTTCCTTTCTCCTTGTGTTGGAGATGGCAGCTCTCTACTGCCACAGTACTCCCTATGCCCCCTGCATGTGTTTTCCAACAATTTTTACCCCTTGACCTCTTGTAGGTTTTTACTTCTTACTTCTTCCTCCTAAAATATAAGCTCCTTAAGGATGTCATTTTTTCACCAATGTATTCCTACTATACAATGGTTCTTAAACCCTGTAACCATACTCTGTTGATTTTTATTGTGCACAGCTGAATAGGCAATGTATTTCCAAAATCTTCAGGTGGCCATTGAGGTTTGCAAGCAGAGTTGGAAGGTGCCTGGCAACTGATGAATGAGTTGTGGCAGTCATTTTGTGTCACTTTGCTTCTTTGCTGTATCTGGACTTAGATGAGGAGGGGCAGGGAGAGGACAGAAGGAAGAAATAAATCCCTGAGATCAGAGCCACCAAGAAGACTTCAGTTGGCTTCTAAAGGAGCAATCAGTCCAAACTATTACTTTAACAGGTTGTAAGATAGCTCAATCCAGCAAGTTTTAGGTTGAGATAGGCTTCTCAACGTATTCTCTCAATTTCACTTAGTGACATGACTTTTACTGTTTTCTCTCACTGGCGGGTTGTGAGCTAAGAGAAGGTAGCTTTGGGATGACAACATGGTCTGCTGCTATTGACTGTCACTATCTTTGGTTGAGTTCTTCTCATGCCAGTAGGAAGAAGCTTTTTAGTGCCTGTTATGATGGGGAAGAGATTTTTTTCCACACACATTGTTCCATGGTAGGCAAGGACCATCTTTACAGAATGGTTATTTTCAAGTAATTTTTTTTTTATTTTTCCAAATTGGGGGGGGGGAGAGAGAGAGAAAGAGAAAGAGAGAAAGAGAGAAAGAGAGAAAGGGAGAAAGGGAGGGGAGGGGGAGGAGGGGAAGAGGGAGAGGGAGAGAGAATCTTCCATCCACACTGGTTCACTCCCCAAATGGCTGCTAAGGCTGGCATGCTGCGCTGATCCAAAGCCAGGAGCCAGGTGCTTCCTCCTGGTCTCCCATGCGGGTGCAGGGCCCAAGCACTTGGGCCGTCCTCCACTGCCTTCCCGGGCCACAACAGAGAGCTGACTGGAAGAGGAGCAACTGGGACAGAATCTGGCGCCCCAACTGGGACTAGAACCCGGGGTGCCAGCGCCACAGGCGGAGGATTAGCCAAGTGAGTCATGGCACTGGCCCAGAATAGAATTGTTTTAGCAATAAAAAAGGAATGAGTAATGACTCATGGTACAACATGGATGAAGCTTGAAGACATTATACTAAGTGAAATAAGCCAGTCACAAAAGAAGATACATTTTATGATTCCACTTATATAAGGTACCTAGAACACTCATATTCAAAGACAGAAAGTAGAAAGGTGGTTGCAGGGGAAGAGGAAAAGGGAAGTGAGTGTTCAGTGAGTACAGTTTCAGTTTGGGAAGATGATAGGGGTGCTGAGATTGATGGTGGTGATGGTTGCACAATAATGAATGAACTCAGTGCCACTGAACTATACACTTACAAATGATTATCCACTCAGTCAGCTGAGTTCTACCCATGCTTGCTAATAACTAGTGGTATATGATTAGGTGAGATTTATAATCCAGGCTGAGAGGACTATAGGGAGGGGTCAACCACTGGACTGTTCTGTAGACTGACCACTGGTACAAAAGGGTTCCTGTTGAACAAGGCTGTGCAAGTCAGTCTCATCTCCCAGTCCTTTACTTCCAAAACCTCTCCAAGTTCTGGCCACTGTTCCTTCTCTGTCCTAACTCACATCTGCACCGCGGTGCCGGCCTATATGCATTTTCTAAGGGATTAGATAAATTAAATTAGTTGTGTAAATTATCCACACACACACACACACACACACACACCCGCCAATCTGTTCCTCACTACTGGCCTCTGCAGGAGGAAAGCTCAGCACAAAAGGCAGGGCATTAGAGTAAAAGGACCGGATTTGAACCTGCCAATCCCTAGGTATGGGATCTTTAGAAAGCTACTTGCACTCTCTCCAGGTCTTGGTTTCTTCATACATAAATTAGGGATGAGAATGTCTATCCCATGGGGGTGTCACGAGGAGTGGTTCAGCTTCTGAACTGTCGGTATGTATCATCCTTGCTATTAAGTATGCTCCTCCTACATGTTTAAAAAAGTAACATGGTCACACACTGCAGAACATGCCAGGGGACCATGTTGGGTAAGTACACTCCATGATGTTTGCACAGTGATAAATTGGCCTAAAGATGCATTTCCTAGAGCTTGTCCTGCTTTTTTTTTTTTTTTTTTTTGACAGGCAGAGTGGACAGTGAGAGAGACAGACAGAGAGAAAGGTCTTCCTTTACCGTTGGTTCACCCTCCAATGGCCGCCATGGCTGGTGCACCACGCTGATCCAATGGCAGGAGCCAGGAGCCAGGTGCTTCTCCTGGTCTCCCATGGGGTGCAGGGCCCAAGCACCTGGGCCATCCTCCACTGCACTCCCTGGCCACAGCAGAGAGCTGGCCTGGAAGAGGGGCAACCGGGACAGAATCCGGCGCCCCAACCGGGACTAGAACCCGGTGTGCCGGCGCCGCTAGGCGGAGGATTAGCCTAGTGAGCCGCGGCGCCGGCTCGAGCTTGTCCTGCTTTTAAGTGATGCACAAGTGCACTCATTTTACTTCTTGTCTTCTGATGACACTTCACCTTTTTTCTTCATATTCAAAGTCCTTGTTCTCTCAAATCTAAAGCATTCAAACTCATTGAAATATGGCTTGGGTCCCACTCTGTGACTTAGCAGGTAAAGCTGCCCCCTACAGTGCCAGCATCCTATATGGGCGCCAGTTCAGGTCCTGACTGCTCCACTTCTGATCCAGCTCTCTGCTGTGGCCTGGGAATGCAGTGGAGGATGGCCTGAGTCCTTGGGCCCCTGCACCCGGGTGGGAGACCCAGAGGGGGCTCCTGGCTCTGGCCTGGCCTAGCTCCGGCCGTTGCAGCCATTTAGGGGGTGAACCAGCAGATGGAGGACCCTCTCCCCACCCCGTGCCTCTGGTTCTCTGTAAGTCTGCCTTTAAAATAAATCTTTTAAAAATTTTAGAAAAAAAGAAATATGGCTTTCCCCATCCATACTTAAGTACTTTCCCAAATCACCAACCACCTCTCTGTTGATGATATCCAGTTACCCTTTTTAGTTCTTTATCCTCTCTGCAATTTTTGGCAAAGTAGATCTTTCCAGCCACCTTGAAACTCTCTTCTGGGTTTGGGTGGTGGTAATCTACCTTGAGATGCTCTGACAGTAAGTAAACCTCTACCCAGACTAACTTAAACAATAAGGAAGTTGATGTTCTAACAGTGAGCACATGCAGAGGCCTGGCTCCCAGGCAGGCGATTCAACAGCTGAACACCTCTAGGAACCTGGGTTCCTTGTGGTCTTCCATCCTCAGCAGCTGCTCCATCCTAAGATTAGTTTCTCTCATGACCAGAAGTTGACCACGAGCGATCACAGGGCAGCATGCTCTCTTGAACTTAACCAGACCATTGAAGGAACACTTCCTCCAAACAAGGAAATAAAATGCTGGGCTTATTGGGCCAGTGAAGGTCCCTTTTCTGTCTCAGGAACAGTAACAGTCACAGAAATGCCACACACTGATGGCTGAGGGCGGAGCCAGTGGTCCTGAGTCTCACTGATTCATGTGAGGAAAGGGGAAGTGGCTGTGTGAACAGAATCAGGGCTCTTTCTGCAAAGAAGCCAGAGAAGGATGGATGCTGAGTAGGTAACCAACACTCCTCCCCGTATTGGCTCTCTTGATTTTCCTCCTGGCTGCTCTGCTCAGTCTCATTCATGTAGTTCTCTTTCTTGGACTACCACTGAAATGTGATCATTAAATTCTTCCCCTGGCCCCCTTCTATTCAGACTACAATCTCCCCAGGAGGCATTCATTCTGTTTACTTGATAGCTATTTCTAATCTGATGACTTCTAGTAAAGGCATATCTCCAGTCCAAGTGTATCTTGCAAGCTCCATATCATAATTCCAAAAAAACTAGTAAACACCCAATACTTCCTATGGTAGGCAGAATAATCCACTCCTCTATCTCTAAGATCGCTATAGCTTCATCCCTAGAATCTGTGGGTGTAAGGGGAATTGGGGTTGCAGATGGAATTAAGGTTGCTCATCAATTAAGCTGACTCTAAGATAGGGAGACCATCTTGGATTATACAGATGGTGCAATGGAATCACAGCATCCTTGAGAGAGGAGAGAGAAGAGAGGAGCTAGAGAGAGAGAGAGAGAGAGAGAGAGAGAGAGAGAGAGAGAGAGAAAGAAAGAAACAGTATGAGAACATGGCCAGACACTACTGGCTTTGAGGATGGATAAATAGAGTCATGAGTTGAGAAATGTGAGCAGGCTCTAGGAGGAGGCAAGGCAGGACACAGATTCTCGTCTAGAGCCTCCAGAAGGAGCTTGGCCTTCCCAACATCTTGGTTTTGGCCCAAGGGGACTCATTCTGGACTTGCGACCTCCAGGGCTATAAGATAATAAATCTGTATCATTCTAAACCACAGCATTTGTGATGACTTACGAGAGCCGCAGCAGGGACACACCTCCCCTTCTCAGCCTGTGCAGCAGAATCGCCCTGGCCTTCAGCAAAGCTGCTCTTCCTCCTGCATTCCTGCTTCAGGGCTAGCGAGGCATCCCCCACATCTACCGTCTCCCCAGATTTCACTCACCAGGTCCTGTCGATTCTATGTCGGAAGTGACTCCTCCATTCCACTGCACCTCCTGGGCACTGTTGTCTTTGCAGGTTTCAATTTTGACATGAACTGCTGAAGAGTGGAGTTCTCTGTCCCACTCTAGACTGTTCTCTATGCTTTCAGATTTTATTTTATTTTTAAAGATTTATTTTATTTGAAAGGCAGAGTGACGGAGAGACAGACAGACAGAAAGATATTTTCCATCAGCTGGTTCACTCCCTATATGGCCACAACTGCCAGGGCTGGGCCAGGCTGAACCCAGAATCCTAGAACTCCATCCCCATCTCCCATGTGGGTGGCTGGGCCCAAGGACCTGGGCCATCCTCTGTTGCTTTCCCAGTCATATTATCAAAAGCTGGGTTGGAAGTGGAGCAGTCAGGACTACAAGCACTTTCTGATACGGGATGCCAGTGTCACAGGCAGTGACAACCTGTGGATGCCACAGCACCTGGCCCCCCAGATTTTTATTGAAAATACATTTCAGGGACAAGGTTGCAGCACACAGGGGTAGTAAGCTGCTGCTTGTGACACTGGAATCCCATATCAGCCTGCCAGTCCCGACCCTAGCTACTTGGCTTCTGATCCAGTCTCCTGCTAATGTGCCTGGGAAGGCAGCAGATGACGCTCAAGTGCTCAAGTCCCTGCCTCTCATGTGGGAGATCCAGAAGGAGTTCCTAGCTCCTGGCTTTGGCCTGGCCTAGCTGTGGTTGTTGCAACCATTTGGGGAGTGAACCAGCAGGTGGACAATTGCTCTGTCATTCTGTTTTTCAAATACATGAATGAATGAATGATTAAATAAATCTTTAAAAATACATTTCACATAAATATCTAGAATACATACACTCTTGAAACCAGTTTCATCAAACAATACTTGCCATATTCTGCAGTGTCTGCTATTCTCTATTCTTCATATTTAATTTTTTTTTTTTTTTTTTTGGACAGGCAGAGTGGATAGTGAGAGAGAGACAGAGAGAAAAGTCTTACTTTTTTTCCATTGGTTCACCCCCCAATGGCCACTGCGGCCAGTGTGCTGCGCTGATCCGAAGCCAGGAGCCAGGTGCTTCTCCTGGTCTCCCATGTGGGTACAGGGTCCAAGCACTTGGGCCATCCTCCACTGCACTCCCGGGCCACAGCAGAGAGCTGGACAGGAAGAGAAGCAACCAGGACAGAATCCGGCGCCCCAACCAGGACTAGAACCCGGTGTGCTGGCACTGCAGGCAGAGGATTAGCCTATTGAGCCGCGGCACTGGCCCATATTTAATTTTTTTAAAAACTCAGTTACCTGTGACTCACTACCCTGATTTCACAATTGCCCAGTGGATCATGACCTGGAATTTGAGAAAGAATTTTTTCTTTTTCACCTGGGTACCAAAATGCTCTTTCTTTTTTTTTTTTTTTTTTTTTTAATTTATTTTTTATTTTTTATTTATTTATTTATTTTTTTTTATTTTTTGACAGGCAGAGTGGACAGTGAGAGAGAGAGACAGAGAGAGAAAGGTCTTCCTTTGCCGTTGGTTCACCCTCCAATGGCCGCCGCTGCAGCCGGCGCACCGCGCTGATCCGATGGCAGGAGCCAGGAGCCAGGTGCTTTTCCTGGTCTCCCATGGGGTGCAGGGCCCAAGCACCTGGGCCATCCTCCACTGCACTCCCTGGCCATAGCAGAGGGCTGGCCTGGAAGAGGGGCAACCGGGACAGAATCCGGCGCCCCGACCGGGACTAGAACCCGGTGTGCCGGCGCCGCAAGGTGGAGGATTAGCCTATTGAACCACGGCGCCGGCCTCAAAATGCTCTTTCTAAAACAGTTATTTTCCTTAAAATCTCTCCTGCTATTTTAAGGATCAACCTCAAACTCTAATATGACATCTAGATCTTCCATTACTCAGTCCTTTTAACACTAGAGCTTCATTGTTCTTTAATTGGTTGATTTTTGTCTTGCAATCCTACTCATCTGCTTACTTCTGGCGTGTCTCTGTGCCTTTCCAAGGTGTGGTGCCTGCCTGCACTCTCTTCTGCACAGCCTCTCGTAGCTAATTCTCACTTCTTCTATCTTCTGAGCATAGACTTCACTTCGCTCAGGACGCTTTCCCGGGATGCCTGTGCTGGTCGGGCCCCTCCTGCGTGCTGCCTTGGCAACTGGACTTCCTCAATGCCGGCATTTATCATCTCATAGGTAAATGGGACATTTTTGATGGGTTCCCATCTCAAGTCTAGGAAGTGGGCAGTCTTACATTTCTCATACTATTGGATATTTGAGTTCTCTAACATCTTTGTCATGTGTTATAAACTTAGTAAGGGGGCACAGGTCTGGAACTGAAGTGTCTACAGATAGAACTTGCTGGCTGGCTCGTTAGCTTTCAGAGGTTAGCCATGTATGAGACGACATGGAATGCCAGCCTTCAGATTCAGTAGATGCTGCACACAGGACATAACCCAGCATCTTTATGTTTTAATGGCCTCACCTGAATTCCAGCACTCCAGCTAACATTTAACTTTGGGTGCTCTCAGTCATCCCAAATTCAATTTCTGTAATTAACAGAGATAATAGCATGTTCTTAGGACTACTGTGAAAAACCAGGAAGTTATATAATGTGAAAATAATTTGGAGATTATTTTTCAGTCATTATTATGACATACAGGCACACATACCTATTACCAGGTTAGGCTATCATTTTATGTTTCATTGATTAAGGGTGTGAGTAGGATAAAGAATATGAATTGGGAGTACTGATTATTCTGGATGAGCAAGCCTCATAAATTCTTAGATTTAGCTATAACATGGCCTGTGAGGTCATGGCTTTTTATTCACAGAGTTTCTTCCTTGAAAGAAAATGAAAATTTCATTGTCATATACTTAGTCTGCAATACCAGTTTTAGGTATTTTATGAACCTGCTATGGGAGCGTGCTCTTTAATCAGGTAAGCATCAATAGACTGCATGTGGTGGCTTTCCAGTGGTGGGAAGGAACATTAAACCCACATAAAAATGAGGACAGGTCATTCCTGAGATCTGTGTTAGCCAGACCTCTGATACTATTTGGTTATTTATGCACAAGGCCCCGAGAATTTACTGCAAATTAAAGGAGCGTAACTCAAGCATAACGCGCACCTGTCTTCATTTCTTTCCGTCACCCCTATGAACCTGCGCAGCAGAGTTTCTTCTTCAGAATGCTAATAGGCCACCACACGCCTAAAGAACAAAGAGCCCTTTGGATATGTGATGGAAATTCAAACTATTACCCTCAAATCAGATAGGCATATTCATAAACAAATTATTTAGAAATATTTTTCTCATTTTTTATCTCAGTTATAACCTAATTTGAAAGAGGTAAACATTTAAGCAAGACTGATACCTACACTGATACCTACAAAAGGTACAATCTGGCCGACACCGCAGCTCACTAGGCTAATCCTCCGCCTGCGGTGCCAGTACCCTAGGTTCTAGTCCCGGTCGGGGTGCCGGATTCTGTCCCGGTTGCCCCTCTTCCAGGCCAGCTCTCTGCTGTGGCCCGGGAAGGCAGTGGAGGATGGCCCAAGTGCTTGGGCCCTGCACCCCATGGGAGACCAGGAGAAGCACCTGGCTCCTGGCTTCGGATCAGTGCAGCGCGCTGGCCGTGGTGGCCATTTGGGGAGTGAACCAAAGGAAGGAAGACCTTTCTCTCTGTCTCTCTCTCTGCCTGTCAAAACCAAACCAAACCAAAACAAAAGGTATGATTTTTTTTTTCTTTTCTTTTCTTTCTTTTTTTTTTTTTTTTACAGGCAGAGTGGACAGTGAGAGAGAGAGAGAGAGAGAGAAAGGTCTTCCTTTTGCCGTTGGTTCACCTTCCAATGGCCACCACAGCCGGCGCGCTACAGACGGCGCACCGCGCTGATCCAAAGGCAGGAGCCAGGTACTTCTCCTGGTCTCCCATGCGGGTGCAGGGCCCAAGCACTTGGGCCATCCTCCACTGCACTCCCGGGCCACAGCAGAGAGTTGGCCTGGAAGAGGAGCAATTGGGACAGAATCCGGCACCCCGACCGGGACCAGAACCCGGTGTGCTGGCGCCGCTAGGCGGAGGATTAGCCTATTGAGCCGCGGCACTGGCCCACAAGGTATGATCTTATGTTTCATGAAAGAATCTAACAGCCTAGTCTAACAGCCCCATGAAGTAAGTAGTTATTAATCCATTCAACAGATAAGGAAGTGGAGGCGTAGACATGGGGAGCCGTATTCCCAGCATCATACACCTATTGATCTGTAGAGCCTGGATTTGTACTGAGACAGCACGGCTCTAGAATCCATGCTTTTAGCTGCCCAGGAACGACCACTACTTCAGCAACCAGGACAGAAATGGTGCCCCGACCGGGACTAGAACCTGGGGTACTGGCGCCGCAGGTGGAGGATTAGCCTAGTGAGCTGCGGCGGCGGCCAGATTGTGCCTTTTGTAGGTATCAGTCTTGCTTAAATGTTTACCTCTTTCAAATTAGGTTATAACTGAGATAAAAAAATGAGAAAATATTCCTAAATAATTTGTTTATGAATATGCCTATCTGATTTGAGGGTAATAGTTTGAATTTTCATTCACATATCCAAAGTGCTCTCAGCACAGTTTGTTCTTTAGGCGTGTGGTGGCCTATTAGCATTCAGAGGAAGAAACTTCATTTTCATTAACTTTCACTTCATTCATTCACTTGAGACTTATATATTATTTATATATTATTTGCCAGGCACTTGTCCAATTGGTAAGAAGATAATGGAGAAAAAGACAAAGTCTTGCTTCATGGCATTTATATTCTCCGGCAGGTAAGGAGAAACTGAAAGTAACAAATAGCTAAGTGAACACTCCACATTCTATCTGTGCTATCAAGAACACAAAACGGCCGGCGCCCCGGCTCCCTTGGCTAATCCTCCACCTGCAGCACTGGCACCCCGGGTTCTAGTCCTGGTTGGGGCGCCGGATTCTGTCCCAATTGCTCCTCTTCCAGTCCAGCTCTCTGGTGTGGCCCAGGAGTGCAGTGGAGGATGGCCCAAGTGCTTGGCCCCTGCACCCGCATGGGAGACCAGGAGAAGCAACTGGCTCCTGGCTTCAGATGGGTGCAGTGCCGGCCATAGCAGCCATTTGGGGAGTGAACCAATGGAAGGAAGACCTTTCTTTCTTTCTCTCTTTCACTGTCCACTTTGCCTGTCAAAAAAATAAAATAAAATAAAATAAAATAAAATAAAATAAAATAAAATAAAATAAAATAAAAAGAACACAAAACAAATGACACAAAAGTACCTGAAGTACAGGGCAGTGTTCGGCGCAGCCATCACATTGCTGCCCGCCTGCCTTCAAGTCCCAGCTCTGATTCTGATTCCAGTTTCTTGCCAATGTGCACCCTGGGTGCAACAGGTAGTGGCTCAAGACTGAGTTCCAGCCTCTGGTCTGGGCCTGGCCCAGCTCTGATTGCTGTGGAATTTGGGGAGTGAACCAGCAGATGACAGATCTCAGTCTCTCTCTAAGTAAACAAGTAAAATTCCAAAGAAGATAACACCTGAAGTAGTGGTCATTCCTGGGCAGCTAAAAGCATGGATTCTAGAGCCGTGCTGTCTCAGTACAAATCCAGGCTCTACAGATCAATAGGTGTATGATGCTGGGAATACGGCTCCCCATGTCTACGCCTCCACTTCCTTATCTGTTGAATGGATTAATAACTACTTACTTCATGGGACTGTTAGACTAAATAATATGCATGGAGCAGTTGGAATAGTTCCTGCTATAAAGTACTTTCAAATGAGAAAATGACTATTTTCTTGAGCAATTCACTTTGAGCCGTGGCCTAACTATTAGGAAGGAACTCTCAGAGTACGGGTAACTTGCTAGGTAGCAAATAAAGAACAGTTGCACTAAAACGCAGCTCTGTTTATATTTGCATGGCACACATTAATGAAAAGCCAGGAAGCTTAAAGCAGCACTTATGACCCGTCCTCCCATTCACCAGAGCTCTCCTCGCTCTCCGCCTCGCTGCTCTCCTCTTTGCTCTCGTCGCTACTTTCTTCTTCACTATCTTCATCCTCCTCCTCAACAGTCTGCTCTTTCTCTGCCATGGAAAGGAAGAGAGTTGCTTAAAATGTTCTCAATATTTCTACCGTTCAACAAAGTCACAAGTCTCTCTGCCCCTCCCTCTACTAAGAAGTATGTAATTTTGGCACCTGGGAACTGAGCCAAGCTCTGCTTATTATGTGTAGGGTCAGAGCAGCAGTACAAGGAAGAAATATGTTCTTATTGGCATAAAGATAATTATAGTTTTAAAGTTAATTTGAAATATCAGTTTGGGCCGGCACTGTGGAGCAATGGTTAAAGCTGCCGCCTGCAGTGCCGGCATCCCATATGAGCACTGGTTCCAGTCCTGGCTGTTCCACTTCCGATCCAGCTCTCTGCTATGGCCTGGGAAAACAGTAGAAGATGGCCCAAGCCCTTGGGCCCCTGCACTCACGTGGGAGACCCGGAAGAAGCTCCAGGCTCCTGGCTGCGGATCAGTGCAGCTCTGGCTATTGTGGACAACTGGGGAGTGAACGAGTGGATGGAAGACCTCTCTCTCTCTCTCTGCCTCTCCTTCTCTCTCTGTGTAACTCTGACTTTCAAGTAAATAAATAAATCTTAAAAAAGAAAAGCTCATGGAAAAACCAAATTTAAAAAAAAGGTAAGAAAAATATATGTCTATAAAAATACTTTTTACTATTATCAATCAAATTCTTTAAACAGAATAAGAGGATGTGAGACTTTGGGTAGTTTAGAGGGTCAGCTTGCCTTGGAATTACAGGGCAACTTCTTAGAACATGGGGGTGATGAACATGTTCTGCTTGGGCAGTGCCACCCCACAGAGAGAGGGGCTCATCTTGACTATTCCCAGAGGACAAGCTGGTTTCACTAAGCCATCCAAGGTGGCCACTTAGCCTTTTCTCAGCCACTTCCCGAAGGTGCATTCCAGCAACCTCCTGGGATGATGGATTTTTTTTTTTTTTTTTTTTGACAGGCAGAGTAGACAGCGAGAGAAAGAGAGAGACAGAGAGAAAGGTCTTCCTTTACCGTTGGTTCACCCTCCAATGGCCGCTGCAGCCGGCGCACCGCGCTGATCCGATGGCAGGAGCCAGGTGCTCCTCCTGGTCTCCCATGCGGGTGCAGGGCCCAAGCACTTGGGCCATCCTCCACTGCACTCCCGGGCCACAGCAGAGAGCTGGCCTGGAAGAGGGGCAACCAGGACAGAATCTGGCGTCCCGACCGGGACTAGAACCCAGTGTGCCGGCGCCGCAAGGCGGAGGATTAGCCTAGCGAGCCGCGGTGCTGGCCGGGATGATGGATTTTTAAAGGACGACTGCTCATGGCTCTGTGAGAAAGGAGGAATTCCAATTTCTACAATTACCCTTCAGCAGCATTTCTTCAATAAGCGAGAGAAACTCCTTGGCCTCTGGATTTTCCGGTTCATAGATCAGGACTGAAAATGGACAACAGAATGTGTGGAATTAATGTTCAAAGCATTTCAGCAAACAGGGTCTTCAGAATATGACTGAAAGTGTCAACGAGGGCAGGTGAAACTGCACAAAGCAGTAAACAACAATTATACCACAGGTGTATTAAATGCAAATAGAGACAATGCTCCCCTTACACCCGGTATTTAAGAGACATGACCCTCAGCATTTTTTCTACGTCCTATTCAAAGAATGCAATCTCTATCACCTCCACACAGCTTCCCTCACAGGCCAGTGGCCAAAGTGTTTCATGGATATCATCATTCCTCAAAGCAGGTACAAATCCTGCAAAATATGGAGACTTTGCGAATGAGAAGACGATGTGCTTGGAGCTTGTTAACCCCCACCTCGCTTCCTGAACGCAGTGTTAAGATGACATCCTGTTGTGAAGGTCTCATCTGAACACGAAGAGCCAGAATACAAAGCCACTTCCTTCATTTTTCACAAAATCTTTCAAATAGATATAACTGATGTTATTGCTTTCTCTTCATCTGACAACTTTTATGCAAGTCTCTTTGGCCTATGCTGCATAAAGGCATTCTCCCCCTCTTCAGCAGACCCACTGTTTTCAGCATTATTTGTTCCCATTTGGTGATACTTGACAAGACCCTGTCTAATCTTTCCTTTGGACCACACCAATAGACCTTTCAAGGCTTGATGGTACGTTACCAAAGTGCCAGAGGCCAGAAGACTTACACATTTTATTTCAGAGTTTTCTGGACTATTTATTGTTTTTAGAGCTTACTCTAAAGATCTCTACCTTTTCCCTACCTACCTTGAGGAATATTCGTTAATTCTGTATCATCCATTTAATGTTGGGATTCCTGCGCAATAGCTTGGTGGCCCCCAGGGGGCGCTGAAACATCAAGTGTGCTATTTGGCTGAGAGAATCAGATGGTTCAATAGGGCTCCGTTGGTTCAGAGGACCCTAACCACAATTTTCATCCTAATATACCAAACCAATGACTTTACTTCCTAATCCACCAACAGTGTATCTGGGTTAGCATGATTGTGTGCCTGCTCAGAAGCCACATTTTAAGGACCTACAGGTATTTTATGCATCACTATACATGTATACATTTCCAGTGAAAGTACTTTCTTACACATTTTATCTTGGACTTAAATATGCTCATCATTAGTAGCCTAAATCTTCCTGTGAAGCTCTTTATTAGCCTCTTTCTAGAACAGGGTTTCTCCAACTTGCTTATTTAGACACTAGTTTCTTAAGATACTAGTTTCTTTTTTTTTTTTAAACTTTTAAAGAACAAATTCTTATTCTGAAATCTTCACAACAATTGAAAGATACTAGTTTCTTAATATAAAGGTACTTCCAAAAGAATGAGAAATGGAATTAAAAAACATTTATTTGGGGGCAAAAAATGAAACTGATATACAGTTTTTTCATAATACATACTTTCTATGGACTTTTAAAATTTTTTGGTTTCAAAGGCAGAGAGAGACAGAAACAGAAACAGAGATCTTCCATGCTGAGGTTCCTTCTCCACATGCTCACAACAGCCAAGGCCCGGCCAGGCCAAAGTCAGGAGCCAAGAACTCAATCAAGATCTCTCACATAGGTGGCAGAAACCCAACAACTTGAGCCATCCCCTGCTGCCTCCCTGGGCCCACATTAGAAGGAACCTGGAATTGGGAGCTAAGTTGGGATTCAAAACCAGGCACTCTGATATGGGACACAGGTGCCCCATCTGGTGTCTTAACCTCCAGGTCAAATGCCTATCCCAGCCATTATTCTTTAACAATTGATTATTATTTTAACTGCTCTTCCAGGACCTCAATATCTACATAGAATCTCAGGCTTTCTGTGATGAGAAGTCTGGCTCCCTGGGAAGACAATGGCAGGTTCCAACTTACAAGGTGACATGACCAAGAAATAGGAAGACTGGCACAAAATCTCAGTCACTCATAAGATGGATGGATAAAGTACCTTCAGTCCCATTAAGGAGCCATTTCTCTAGGCTGCCCATGCTGCCTGGCAGGAAACGGCAGGAAGCAGAGCTAGCAATTCTGCATGAGACGGCATGGAAATAGCTGAGGAAATATTAGGACCACAAAAACACTGTGTGTGGGAGTCAGACGAAAGCCAAGCCTGTGACAACAGATAGAACTTCTTTTCAAGCAGGCAAAGAATAAAGAATCCATGGATACCTGGATGCCATGTGGGAAGCCCTAGAGCCAAATGCAGACATAAATGACTATACCATAACTGGGCAGCAAGAAAACATCAGGAACCAGTGACTTCATGCAGGAAAATGGATGTGTACATCTCTGAAGGGATAAGAATGTATTATTTTATGTAACTGGCATAGCATACAAATAAGATAAATAAACTTATCAGTTGACCATAGCAGATATTTCTAGCCTGACTGATCCATGAAAGTCTTTATTTTCCAAGTTTCCATCTCTCTTATCAGAAACAATTTTATTAATCAAATGAAGAAATAGAAATATATTAGGGATGTCGTAGGATTTGCTTTCTAGTAGACTTGGAATGCAATTCCGCCTCTACCATTCAGTAGCTGTGTGGCTTTGTACAATTTGTTGTCCTTGCTTGGCCTCAGTTTCCCCACCTGTACTGTGAGGTTAATGATATCTGCCACATACAAGTGTCAGAAGGATTAAACAATGGCGGTGGGCATTTGGTGCAGTGGTTAAGACATTGCTTGGGATGCCCCCATCCCACACAGAGTGCCGGAACTTGAATCTCAGCTCCACTTCCAATTCCAGCTTTCTGCTAATGGACACCCTGTGAGGCTCAAGTAGTTGGATTCCTACTTGTGGGAGATCTGGGTTGAGTTGCTGGCACCTGGACTGGGCCTGTCCCAGCCATGTCTATTATGGGCATGTGAAGAGAGAACCATCAGATGGAAGATAACACTGTGTTTCTGTGTGTGTGTCTGTCTGCTCTTCAAATAAGTAAACAAGAATTAAAAAAAAAAAAAACCCAACCTATACAATGCATTCAATAGTGCTTCCTGGGAAATGAAACCGCTGGATAATTAGGGGCGAGCATTTGGCTTAGGGTTAAGATGCCGTTAAGACACCTGCATCCCATAATGGAGTACATGCATGCCATTCCTGGCTTGGGGCACTGATTCTGGCTTCTTGCCAAGGCACACCCTGGGAGACAGTGAGTGATGGCTCAAGTAGTCAGGTCCCTTCCACCCACGTGGAAGACCTGGATTGAGTTCCCAGCTTCTGGTTTCAGCCCAGCCTAGGCAGCGCTGTTGCAGGCATTTGGGGAATGAACCAGTCTGCCTGTCTGTTTCTCTCAAATAATAATAGTAATAATAATAGAAAAGTTTATTTTGGTGCAAAAAATTTGAAACCCATGCATAGTTTTTTCATAATACATGTTTTTCATGAAGTTCTTGAAGACCATTCATATGGATAGATTTCAAAAAATTTTTTGCACCAAAATAAACTTATCTTTTAATTCCATTTTCCACACAGTTTTTGAAGTACCATTGTATATAATCCATATTTATAGACATGAAGTTATATACTTATAAATACACAAAGGAAGAACACTATGTAAAAAAGCTCAAAGATGGAAACAAACAAAATAATATCTGTACTATCAGCATTTACATATAAAATATTGGTGTCCATGCTACATGAGAAGAATTCATTTTGTCTATTGCTCTACATAATAAAGAGGGCTTTGGGGCAGCTCTCACCAAATGTTCCTATTAGCCTTAAGAACTAGCCTTCCCATGGCTGGCGCCGTGGCTCAATAGGCTAATCCTCCACCTTGCGGTGACAGCACACCGGGTTCTAGTCCCGGTCGGGGCGCCAGATTCTGTCCCAATTGCCCCTCTTCTAGGCCAGCTCTCTGCTGTGGTCCGGGAGTGCAGAGGAGGATGGCTCAAGTGCTTGGGCCCTGCACCCCATGGGAGACCAGGAGAAGCACCTGGCTCCTGGCTTCGGATCAGCACAGTGCGCCAGCCGTGGCGGCCATTGGAGGGTGAACCAACGGTAAAGGAAGACCTTTCTCTCTGTCTCTCTCTCTCATTGTCCACTCTGCCTGTCAAAAAATAAATAAAAATAAATAAATAAAATAAGAACTAGCCTCCCCTTCGCCAGCTCAATGCTCTTTCTTGACCTTGGTTGGCATCCTTAAACCTGGGCCTCCTTCATTTCAAACCCTGGTAGGAATCTGCCTCAGGATAGCCAATCTTATTTTGCACGGGCAGCCCAACCAACTTATCTTGGAGCCTCTTGGCCCTCATTTCTGGTCAGTCCCTTTTGGGGAGCAGGATTCTCTCCCAGTGGGCTCCTTGGATCGTGGTGCCTATCTGTGGGCCTCCGCAGCTACTTTTACTGTTGTCCAATCCCTAGTTGGAGAGGCACCACTATTTCACCCTGACAGAAGAGAGGGAACTGAGTTACGGGGTGAGCCAGGAGGAGTGAAAACCAAGCTGTTCAATGTCAGCCCCAAGAAGGTATTTATAGCATGTGTGCTACAATTCCTCCATTCTCTTCAGCTCTCATCACAATGTTTGGCATGCAGTGGGTGCTCAGAATGAATCTGTTGAAAGGAGAGAAGGAAGGAAAGAAGAAAAGAGAGAGGAGGAGGATACTTTGCAGGGGTGGGGAAGGTCTAGCCTACAGGCCATTACAGCACCAAAGGAATCATTTGGTCTGGCCCTGCAAAGGCAATTGCAAGAGGGAGCTGAAATTCAACAAACCCAAATCAGGCTAATTTTTAAGTTGATAATCTTATATGGCCTTGTGAGTGATGTTATAAATATTCAAATGACCTTGGCAGAAAAAAAGGTTCCCCACCCCGTAGGGCTATAACCCCATCAAGACAGATTGTTTGAACTTTTTCCTCCACAATGACCTGGTACTTTCTGTATGTTCAACTGGTTCAAGACAGGTCAGCAAGCATTTTGTTGAGCACCTACTGTTTATGTAGCATCATGAAGGGCTAATGGTCAAAAATGACAGACAGAAGGGGTGATGTCACTGCATATATTCAGCCAGAGGCTTTCTAAAATGATCGACAGAGATGGAAATAAAATATATATATAAACGTTTCCACTATTAGGCTCCTTAAGAAACTCAAAATTAGGAGCTAAAACTACACAACCATGAACTTCTTCATCAGCACCTAGAGAGACGACATTGTGGGGGAAAGAGGCTGCGGTTCCCATGCCGGCTGTGTCACCTTGGGTATCACCGTCACTGCCAACAGTGCTGAGCCAGCTGCTTACCTCACTCTGCTTCAGCTTATTTATAAAAACAGAGGGCTGGACAGGATTCTCTTTAAAGATTTCTTCTGATTGGAAATTCTATCTTGTGGGTCACCAAAAATAGTTTTGATTAACATTTTTAGTCAATGGCTCTAAAGGCTAAATGTGCATGAAAGGATTAAACAGTGCAAAGTGTAAAGTATGCAAGTAACCTGTTTCAGAAATGAGCCAGTGATTTACAAAGCGTTCTACCATGGAGGGGACCCAGTGAGGCAAGAGAGGGAGACCCTCGCAACCCTTGGACTACATTTGCCCTGCAGCCACTTTGCCGTAAGACCAATTTAAGTCCAACACTAGGTACTATTTTTTTTTTTTATTTTTTTATTTTTTTGACAGGCAGAGTGGACAGTGAGAGAGAGAGACAGAGAGAAAGGTCTTCCTTTGCCGTTGGTTCACCCTCCAATGGCCGCCGCGGCCGGCGCACTGCGGCCGGCGCACCGCACCGATCCGATGGCAGGAGCCAGGAGCCAGGTGCTTTTCCTGGTCTCCCATGGGGTGCAGGGCCCAAGCACCTGGGCCATCCTCCACTGCACTCCCGGGCCACAGCAGAGGGCTGGCCTGGAAGAGGGGCAACCGGGACAGAATCCGGCGCCCCGACCGGGACTAGAACCCGGTGTGCCGGCGCCGCTAGGCGGAGGATTAGCCTAGTGAGCCGCGGCGCCGGCCACTAGGTACTATTTTGAGTTGTATTATAAAGAAGGCTTAACTGTAGAGTTGTCATTTTACCTTTAAAAATAATTAAGCTTATGATTATAAAATAAACCGAAAATATGTTATTGTAAAAATTAAAAGAAAGATTAAGAAAGGTAGGAGGCAGGAGGGTGGGACTATGAGTGGGAGGGAGGATAGAGTGGGAAGTATCACTATGCTGTTGGGTCTGTATATATAAAATACATGAAATGTGTTCACCTTATGTAAATAAAATTTTGTTAAAAAAATAAAAAAAACTACAACTAATGTATTTGAGGAAATCATGGCAAAATAGTTGGAATGATGGTAGATTTCATCTGAGAAATTCTTTGAGATTAAGAATGTACTGCATAGTTTTAAGAGTAGATTGGACAGAAGACAGGATAAATAAACTAAAAAACATGTCAGTAGAAAGCATATAAACTTATGCATTAAATAAGAAGAAATGAAAAAAAAACCAAACAATATATCTGGAATATCATGAAGCAAAGTCTAATTTATGTATAATTAGAGACCCAGGCATAGAAGACAGTGAGTAGGGAGAAGCGTAATTTGAAAATGTAATGGCCAAGAAATTGTCAGGTGATAAAAACATCAATCTACAGGTTTAAGACATTCAACACTCCCCTGCTCCACCAAACAGCAAAGAAAACCTTAACTAATATGAACATTGAGTCACACCACTAAAAATCAAAGACAGAAAAACAGGGCAGTTAGCATTGTTCCTCTTAGAAGCCTCCAGTGGTTTCCTCCTTCACACAAGGAAAAAGCTGAAGTCCTTAAATGGAGAAAAGATCCTATGCTATTTGCACAACCCCTTGCCCCTGACCCTCTGGCCCGTCTCCTATCATGCCCTCCACTCCTCTCGGGCACACTCCCTCCTCAGAATATGTGCTGTTCCGCCCCCTTGCCGGCCACACTCTTCCTCCAGATACCCACATGGCTGATTCCACAGCTTCCTCTAGTCTCCCCCAAGTCCTTCAGTGGGGCCCTCTTGGACCATCCCATTTAAAACCACTTTGCCTTCTCCCAGTACCTTCTATATACTCTTCCCTACTTTATTTTTCTCCATATCACCCATTACTTATGACACTATTTATTTATAGTTTATTATTTGCCTAACACAAGCCATAAAAACCTGTCTTGTGGGGCCAGCACTGTGGCATAGTAGGCTAAGTCTCCACCTGCAGTGACAGCATCCCTTATGGGCACCAGTTCATGTCCTGGCTGTTCTTCTTCCTATCAGGCTCTCTGCGATAGCCTGGAAAAGCAGTGGAAGATGCCCCAAGTGCTTGGGCCCTTGTACATGCATGGGAGACCCAGAAGAAGCTCTTGGATCCTGGCTTCAAACTGGCCCAGCTCTGGCCATTGCAGCCATTTGGGAAGAGAACCAGTGGATGGAAGACCTTTCTCTTTGTCTCTCCCTCTGTCTCTGAAATAAATCAATAAATTTTTCAAAAAAAAAAAAAAATCCTGTCTTGTTGACTACTGTATTTCCAGTGCCTGGCACAGGTGGACACTCAGATATTTGTGGAATAAATGCATGTTAAGTAGCATTTGACTGCTGTACCACCTGGCACTTCTTTGAAACTAAAGGTGTAAAATTAGTAACCCATTATCACCGGGGTAAGGATTTTGACCTATTCTCCAATTGAGGTGAACTTGTCTATGTTAGTCTATATTAGTTTATTCCACTGAAAGCTACTCTAGAAATCCGAATTAGTCCTTATACCAATGAATTGAATGCATATCAAGAAATCACTAAAACACCATCATGGAATTCACTAGGCTTAAAAACTCAAACCATCTTACATATTATGGAATTTATTTTTAGGAACAAAAAGAAGACTAGGAAATGTGGAAGTATTTTGTACTTACTCATCTGACATAGTTTTTTTGCCAGATGGTAGTCTCGGCCCATTTCTGCTCTCAGGAACTGGAAAACATTAAATTCTTCAGATAAGTAGTTTCAGACAGAATTTAAACGTCAGCTATAAAACTTCTTAGAAAATATTCCAATAATAATTAGTTGTTTTATTTTAATATTTACATACATTTCTAGGAGTGAGTCTTTAATCAAGCAATTGATATTTAAGGACTTTTGATGCCAAGACAACATGGCGTAGTGTACCTCTCTTTTGCTGTAGTCACACTGTGCAGTACCATGGAACAATCTGAGAATACATGCATTGATTCATCTGGCACAGAGAGTGAGGACATGGGTCACTTTATTTCGATATCCCCTGGGCTGAGGTAGAGATTTCATTGATAAACCTAGACCCTAACCATGTGGCACTACTTGACTGAAATATTTGTAGACTTCTAATTATGAACATCAGTATTTTTCTGGCATTGCTCTTATATCACCCAACTTTGTTTTTACTATTTTTATTATATTTTTCTTGTAACAAAGTAATTCATGTATTTTTTTAGAGAATCTAAAGCTCAATAAACATATTCTGTCTCCAACAAGACAGCACCCTTATTTCTACTATCTGGAGATGATCATCATCGTATATGTTTTTCCATAAATGAACCCATGTACTTGCAAAAATTAGGATTACTCAGTAACTTTCCAAAAATGAACCTCATATTGTGATCATTTCCTTTCCATGACATTAAATATTCTTGTATTTTTTTACTTAGGGTACAATTTACCAAGCTAACATTCTATTATGAATCAGACAATGTCCATTAAAAAGCAATTCTATATTTCAAATTTTCTTGTTGTGTATGACATATTAGACCACATGCAGGGACATGAGATTTACTCTACAAGAGATAAGGAATTAAGTAATGCAAAAAAGACACTTCTCACACATTTCCAGATGTTTGATAAGTACCTAGATACAATTTTAAGAAGAAATTCTGTTAGTTTCCTGTTTCTATCATGAGTTTTAAAAAATATAGTTTTCTAAAGTAAATAGAATTTTTCTAGGGATTTTCTATAAATAATTTCATAAAATTCTCATTTATTACATATTAATACATGCTATGTTCAATTCATGCAATGGAATTCTTATATTTTCAAAATGTATTCTTGTCTAAGCTTAAGACATTTTCATTCCTATTTGTGTTTTTCTCCCATTTTAATTACATCCAGTGGCTTATTTATGTTACTCTTTTTTACAGCTTTCAGCTTTAGATATGTTCATTTGGGTTCAACTTTGAATTACTAGTTTCTTTTAAACATTCTTTTCTTGTTTTCTTTTATGTTTATTTTCTTATATTTCTAATTTCTGGCATTAATATTTAGCTCACTTACTGTCATTATATCTTAAATCATCATCATAAAAGCATTTGAAACTTTCAAATTTTTTAAAGGATGGCTAAATTAAATCAGTTTATTTTATTTTATTTATTTTATTTGAAGGGCAGAGAGAAAGAGAAAGACAGAGAGAGACAGATACAGAGTTTTCTCATCTGTAGATTCACTTCCCCAATGCCTGCAACAGCCAGGGCTAGGCCAGGCCAAAGCCAGGGGCTGGGAACTCAATCCAGCTCTCCTACATGGCTGTCAGGAGCCCAAGTACTTGAGCCATCACCTGCTGCCTTCTGGGGTTCATAATTAGTATGAAGCTAACAGCATGGACAGGAAGCAGAAGAGCCAGGACTTGAGCCAGACACTCCCATATGGGATATAGGTGTCCCAAGCAGTGCTCTAACCACTGCACCAAATGCCTGCCCCCAAAACTTCATATTATTTGGTATTATAACTATCACTATATTCTAAAAGTTTGTTAAGTTTAGCTTTTATTTTTATATTTTTTTAAAAATATTTATTTATTTATTTATTTGAAAGAGTTACACGGAGAGAGGGGAGGCAGAGAGAGAGAGGTCTTCCATCCGATGGTTGACTCCCCAATTGGCCGCAACGGCTAGAGCTGTGCTGATCTGAAGCCAGGAGCCAGGAGCTTCTTCCGGGTCTCCCACGTGGGTACAGGGGCCCAAGGACTTGAGTCATCTTCTACTGCCTTCCCAGGCCATAGTTGAGAGCTGGATCAGAAGTGGAGCAGCCGGGACTAGAACTGGCGCCCATATGGGATGCCGGCGCTTCAGGCCAGGACGTTTACCTGCTGCGTCACAGCACTGGCCCCTGATTTTTATTTTTGATTCAAGTGTCATCTAGAATGTTTTTTTTTAAATGGTTTTGATTTGCTAATTTTTAAAGATTTATTTATTTATTTGAAAGAGTCACATAGATAGAGGAGAGACAGAGAGAGAGAGAGAGAGAGAGAGAGAGGTCTTCCATCCACTGGTTCACTCCCCAACTGGCGCAACAGCTGGAGCTACACTGATCCAAAGCCAGGAGCCAGGAGCGTCTTCTAGGTCTCCCAGGCAGGTGCAGTGGCCCAAGGACTTGGGCTGTCCTCCATTGCTTTCCCAGGTCATAGCAGAGAGCTGGATAGGAAGTGGAGTAGCCGGGCCTCAAAACGGAGCCCATATGGATGCTGGTACTGCAGGCGGCGGCTCTACCGCCATGCCACAGCGCCAGCCCCTTGTTAATGTTATTTATTATGATCAGAGAATTTGATCAGTATAATATGCAGCTATTGTTTATATTTTAAATGTCCTTTATTATTAAAAAATTTAAATAGGTAGAAGTAGAGGGGCCAGCATTGTGGCGTAGCGGGTAAAGGCGCCAGCTGCAGCGCCAGCATCCCACATGGGCAATGGCTCGAGTCCTGGCTGCTCCACTTCCGATCCAGCTCTCTGCAATGGCCTGGGAAAGCAGTAGAAGATGGCCCAAGTCCCTTGCACCCCCTGTGGGATACCCGGAAGAAGCTCCTGGCTTCTGATCTGCACAGCCAATTGGGGAGTGACCCATCGGATGGAAGACTTCTCTCTCCCTCTCTCTGTGCCTCTCCTTCTCTCTCTGTGTAACTCTGACTTTCAAATAAATAAATAAATTTTTTTTTAAAACAGTAGAGAGAATAATGAAAGAAGCCTATGTCCCCAATTCTCAACTTTAAAATTAACATTTACCAATTTGATTTTATCAATTTGGTCACACATCCTCTGTCAACTCTAGATTCAGATTTAAAACAGCTTACAGATATCATCTCCATTTCACTTTACAGTAAAACCAAATCACAAATCACTAACATACCTAGAGCTCTGTTAGGGATTACTTAACTTCTTCTATCTAGCCTACTTAATGAAATATTAATATTAGCCTCTGACAAAGGAACACAGAATCAATTCCAAGGGCTCCTTTGTATTGACCTATTTGTTGTTAACATAAAATATATTTCCTTTTAACAGTTCAAAATGCAGTGAAATTATGAAATTCTTGCACTGGGTATTTGGCACTCTATGCGAATTACATAACATCCAGGGCTGGGTCAGGCTTAAGCCAAGAGCCCAGAACTCCATCTGGGTCTCGCACGTGGGTGGCAGGGACCCAAGTATTTGAGCCATCACCTGAAGCCTTCCAAGATACCAGTAGCAGGAAGCTGGATAGGACCTAGAGTGGCTGGGACTCAAACCAGGCACTCTGATATGAGCTGCAGATATCCTAAGCAGCAACTTAAGCTGCTGTGCCAAAAGCCTGCCCCAGAAGACAGGTTTTTCAAAGATGGCATACGTTAAATTATCAATGATATTCAAAGTCAAAAGATGCTTAGTAACTAAACACAAAGCATGAACATTGATGTAATCTGACTAGGAAAAATTCCAGCTGTAAAAGCCACTTTAAAGATAGACTGAGGGGCTAGTGGCGTAGTAGGTAAAGCCATTCCCAGCAGTGCCAGCTTCCCATATGGGTGCCGGTTCGAGTCCCAGCTGCTCCACTTCCAATCCACTTCTCTGCTATTGGTCTGGGAAAGCAGAAGATGGCCCAAATCCTTGGGTCCCTGCAACCACATGGGAGACCTGGAAGAAGCTTCTAGCTCCTGGCTTTGGATCAGCCCAGTTCTGGCCATTGTGGCCATCTGGGGAGTGAACCAGCAGATGGAAGACCTCTGTCTCTGTGTCTGCCTCTCTGTAACTCTTCTTTTCAAATAAATAGATTTTTTTTTTTTTTGACAGGCAGAGTGGACAGAGAGAGAGACAGAGAGAAAGGTCTTCCTTTTGCCATTGGTTCACCCTCCAATGGCCACTGCGGCCTGTGCACTGCGCTGATCTGAAGACAGGAGCCAGGTGCTTCTCCTGGTCTCCCATGGAGTGCAGGGCCCAAGTACTTGGGCCATCCTCCACTGCACTCCTGGGCCACAGCAGAGAGCTGGCCTGGAAGAGGGGCAACCGGGACAGAATCCAGCGCCCTGACCGGGACTAGAACCCGGTGTGCCGGCGCCGCAGGTGGAGGATTAGCCTATTGAACCGCAGCGCCGGCTTAGATAAATCTTTAAAAAAAAAAAAAAAAGATAAATTGAGAAGGTTGAATCTGGGTAGAATATTATATAATATCACAGACTTTTTTTTTTTTTTTTTTTTTAGATAAAATAAGGATATAGCATTACACCAAAAAAGAAACTTATTCTTAGGAAACTCATTCTTCAATGTTTAGGGCTGAAGTTTTATGACATCTGCAACTTTAAAATGTTTCAGCCACAAGTAGGCTATGTCTATGCCTCATCTAACAAGTGAGAAAGAGAGCGAGAGAATAAATGTAGCACAATATTAACAAGGAGTGAATCTAGGTGAAGCCTATATAGCTTTCTGTTGTTCTATTATTTCAAATCTTGTATAGGTTTGAAAAACTTCAAAATAAAAAGCTGGGAAAATATGGATACATTCTGAAAACAAAACATCTTATGCACAGATATAGCACAAGGTATATGAGAATAGGAAATCTCATACTATCTGAATTTTTATTTTCAAATGAATGAATGGATCACTGTTATAACTGAATATTGGGGGAAAAAGGAGAAAATAAAGAAAATAAACAACTCCAGAGAATTTGTTTATGGTAGTAGGGTCTTTGAATGTTCTCTAGTTCATGATTTAGATGCCAAGAGGAAGATCAGTTAAGTGAATTCTTTCTAACACTTGGCACCAGTATTTGTTTTTACTTCTTAGAAGCACCTTATAATATTAGGAAGTTTCAAATTTTCCTATATATGCTTTATTTTAAGAGGAAAATAAAGTAAATATGATGGATTTCCTTTCATGATTCCAGGGTTGGCGTTTTGGTTGAATGCATTCCTCTTTGTGCTAACAATCTAATTGAGGAATCTAGAAATGATGAAGTCACAGATCCTATTTACTTTCCTTTCTTAAACAGCCATAGAGCTGGATAAAAATATGTGAAACAACAGCTTTCAGGAACTCGACAACAAACGTCACAGACAGTGAGATGTCTGAGAGAAGGGGAACAAAGTGGATCCTCAGGTGCTTTTCCTTACTGCTTGAAGACTGTTTTCAAGCACCAGCACAGGAAAAAGGAATCCAACAGAGACTAGCGACCTCTGAGTCCAAACAGCGCAGAAGCCAAAGGGTTATAATTTTCTTTTTTAATATTTATTTATTTGAAAGTCAGAGTTACAGAGAGAGAGGGAAGGGAGGGGAGAGGGAAGGGGAGGGAGAGGGTTCACTCCCCAATTGGCCACAAGGGCTAGAGCTGTGCCAATCTGAAGCCAAGAGCCAGGAGCTTCTTCCGGGTCTCCCATGTGGGTGCAGGGTCTTCCACTGCTTTCCCAGGCATAGCAGAGAGCTGGACTGGAAGTGTAGCAGCCGGGTCTCCAACCAGCGCCCATATGGGATGCTGACACTGCAGGCTGGAGTGTTAACCTACTGCGCCACAGCGCCGGCCCCAAGAGGTTATAAGTTTCAAGAGAAAGGGGAGCTTCACAAAGACAGAGGGCTCCAGCAATCTGCAGAGGCATCTCTGTGAGTCCTTGGCTGGTAATGATCTACAAATGAGTGTGAAGAAATTATCTAAGAAGGGAAAAAGAATTACTCTAATGAGCAGGTAGAATAATCACTAGACCTCACAGAGGGTCGAAATGATCTCAGGCTGTTACCACCATAGTGGGAGGGCTCTCTAATCCACAGAGCACTGAGAAGACTCTCCATAAATATACCAGAATGTCCCTGTACTGCAAGGGCTATCCTGGAACTTCCCTAACAAAGCTGAAAAGGAAGGATCAAAGAAAAACCCTGCACCCAACTAACTTAACTATGTCTCAAAACAAAGTCCAACATACTTAAAAGAAACAAACAAACAAAGAGTTTGTACTCAGAGTGTAAAATTTACAGCATCTGGGATTCAGTGAAAAATTACTAGGCAGGCAAAGAAGCAGGAAAATAAGCCTCCTATGCAGAAGCAGACTGATTAAATAGAAACTAACCTAGGCTTGACAAAGATGATAGAATAGCAGGCAAGTAAGTTCAAACGGCTGTTACAAAAATGTATCACATGCTGAAAAACAGGTAAATACGAACATAAGGATGAGAGAAATGATAAAAAGCTAAACAGAACTTCTAGAGATGACAAATGCAATAACTGAAATAAAAAACAACCCAGGATGAGATTAACTGCAGGGTACCCTGCAAGGATCATGAACTTGAAGACAAAGCTATAGAAATGATCTAAAATGAAATATATAGAAAAAGCAAACTGGAAAAAAAAATGGAACATTAGTGGTCTTTGGGACATTATTGGGTAGCTATCACATATGCAATTGCAGCTCAGATGAAGGGAAGGAAAGTAGAAGTCATAAAAATAGATTAATAACATTTTCCAAACCTGATGGAGATTATAAACCCACAGATCCAAGAATCCCAATGAACAAGAGAAGCATGAGGAAAAACACAGGTAGGCACATCATAAGCAAATTGCCAGATGTAACAATATGGAGGAAAAAATGTTTAAAGACATATTATACACAACTAAGGATAAGAATAACAGAAGACATCTCATATAAAACTATGCAGGCTCTAAGACAATGAAGCAACTTTTCAAGGACCAAAAACAAAAAGAAACAAACAAACAAAAAAACCTCACAACCCATCATTCTCTAAATAGACTTTAAAAATGAAGGCAAAAACTAAGATTGTTTTCAAACAATATTTTCAGAATAACTGTATCATAAAAAATACTACAGGAAGTTCTCAGGTGAAAGAAAAATCATAGATAGAAAATTGGATCCACAGAAAGTTAAGAACACTGGAAACAGTGATAGGTAAGTTAAAATCATATTCTAAAAGAGGTTAAAAATCTCTTTAAGAGATAATTGACCATTTAAAACAAAAATAGGGGCCAGTGCTGTGACTCACTTGGTTAATCCTCTGCCTGTGGCGCCGGCATCCCATATGGGTGCCAGGTTCTAGTCCCAGTTGCTCCTCTTCCAGGCCAGCTCTCGGCTGATGCCCAGGAGTGCAGTGGAGGATGGCCCAAGTGCTTGGGCCCTGCACCCACACGGGAGACCAGGAAGAAGCACCTGGCTCCTGGCTTTGGATCGGCGCAGCATGCCGGCCGTAGCAGCCATTTGGGGGGTGAACCAGCAGATGGAAGACCTTTCTCTCTGTCTCTCTCTCTCTCTCTCTCACTGTCTGTATCTCTACCTGTCATATAAAAAAATAATAATGATAATGTATTATGAGGGCTTATAAGTAGAAATGGAATGTATGACAATACAAGTATGAGAAGGGGAAATGAAAGTAAATGGTTAGGAAGTTCTTAAAATGTACTTGAAGTTGTATAATAGCAATTAAAGGTAGACTGTGATATCGTGAGGCAAAAATTGTTTTGTTCTCCATAGAGTCACCAATAAATGTTTATGGACAATTTCTGAGAGTGACGTTTCGAGCTTCAAACGGCTCTGCACATACGATCTCCCATCCCAGGAATGCCTTCTCTTGTTTACCGAAGAATTCTTATACTTCTATCTTCATTCAAGTTTCTAAGATTCCACTCATGTCTCTTCTTCTAAAAGTACTTTTCTTATCTCTTGTTCCTCCTGCCTCATTTCTCAATTACTCATCTAAGTTGCTGTGTTCCCAGAGAACTTAATACTTTCACTAGCATACATTTCATTTTATTGTAATTACATATGTTCCTGTTTTCAAGGACAAGGACACATCTCTCTTAATCTCTACCCCTAGCAACCAGCATGGTGCCCAGTATGTGGAAAGCATTCTTTGAAGCAGTCTTTGGAGAATTTTATACACAAACTTCTCGTACTCATGCCTCTGCCTTAACAGAGTGCTGTCTGGCACTTCATGTCTTCCTCATCTCTCACCCGATGAAAGTACGAGGAGAGATGAATATCCAGGTAAGCATCTTTTCACTAATCTTTTAAATCTTCAAGGCTAAATATTAGTTACTTGAATACTGTTAAGTTTCTTAAATTATAATGTGCAAGTAACACTCACTTCTGCCATTAACTCTAACGGGGCTCGGATTTCCTTTTTGGGGTTAATGTCTTTATCATTGGCGTCATCTTCACCATCATCATCTGTTGATTCTGACAACTTCTCATCCGTATCCTGAAGGCGGAATTCACCACTTTTCTCCTGCTTTGCAATCACTGCATCTTGGACCCCTTCACCTAAAACAGATCATATATGACTTGATCAACATACATGGAAAAGTTACAACTTGCTCAAACCTATTATAATCCAAGATATACTAATAAAAGTAACATAATCTGCATAAGAAAGTGATGTCATCACCCTTCTGAGCTCTCTCTCTATATATATTAGCTCACTTAGTTCTCTCAACAGCAAAGTAGAGTATGTACTGCTTTTATTCCCATTTAGAGAAGTAGAAATGGAAAGACAGAACAGTTAAATAATCTGCCCAGCTTCACATAGCTAGTAAGCAGTAGCTTTGGGAGTCAGTTTGATTCTAAAATTCATAACCATTTGTTTTAAAAATTATTTATTTGAATGACAGAGAAACATAAAGACAAAGAGAGATCTTCCATTCACTGGTTTACTCCCAAAATGCGCACAACACCCAGGTCCAAGCCAGGCAGGAGCCAGAAACCTGGAACTCAATCTGAGTCTCCAATATACGCAGCAGGGACCGACCTAAGTCCTTGAGCCATAAGCTGCCGCCTCCCACAGTGTGCACTAGCACGAAGCTAGAACCAGAAATGGAGCTGGAACTGGAACCCAGGCACTCCATTATGGGAAGCAGGCATCCCAAGGGGTGCCTTAGCCACAACACCAAATGCCCACCCCAGAGTTTGTATTCCCCACTACATTCTGTATTATTTTTTCTAATATACATTAAATACATATATACATATACACATATAAAACCATTAAAATAATTTTTAAAGCTTAACTCTGTGTCTCCTAAAATTGTCTCCTTGGGAAACACTTTAAGTGAGCTTGCTAGCTCCTTTGGTCTCAGAAAAACCTTTTACAGTTTCAAACTGAACTTGTATTACACCCACCCCTTTCGCATAAGATTGTGAGTGCCTGAGAAGTCTTGTGCAATGCCCTCTTTGATGAGAGTGTGGCCATGAGCTAGTCTAAATAATGTACAGATGCTTGTGTTAGAAAGAATAATATGAGGAAGCCCAGGAGAGTTCCAGATAAGACAATGCTAAGAAACAGACCCAAAGAGACAGAAGACAATTCTAGGAAAACACAGGCTGAGAGAAAGAGGGGGTTGGGGGAGAGACTAACACTAAAGCGAAAATGCTACCCTAAAAAGCGATACCAAATCCTTCCTAAGGAGCAACGGCTGGATTATTCAGGCCTTCCATCTACCTGCATCTATCTCGTTTAGTGTCTCCATTGGCTCACAACCACCTTAATCTTCCAGTCTGCACCCAGCCTCTGCACCAACTCACCACACTGATGTCATCAGGGGAAGGTCATAATAAGGAATTAAGGACATCCTGTGATGTCATAGGAACTGTCTTGTTCAACTCACAGCCAACCTCATGAGGGGAATTTCCTGATGCCTAGATTGAATAGTCCTCCCTAAAGGTACTGTTTACCTACATCATAGCACCTATCACAACCTAAGATGATCTTGTTTTTACATTTTAAAAATGATCTTATTTATATGAAATGCAGAGAGGGGGGAAGAGAGACAGAGAGAGAAAGAGACAGAGACAGATACCTTCCAATTTGCTGGTTCACTCCTCACATGACTGCAATAGCCATGGCTGGGCCAGGCCAAGCAAGGGGCTGGAACTCAATCCAGGTCTCCCATGTGGGCGACAGGGACCCAAGGATTTGAGGCATCACATACTGCATCCCAGGATGTTCGTTATTAACAGGAAGCTAGGTGAGAAGCAGAGCCAGGACTCAAATCCAGGCACTCAGATATGGGATGTGGGCATCCTAAATGATAACCTGACCACTGCACCAAACATCTGCTCTATGTGTTTTATTTTAAATAGCTGGCTGTCTCTCACTAGAATATTAATTTTATAACAGCAAGAACTTTTATTTTGCTATTTTATCTACAGCTTCTGGCACACTGGTTTTCAACATTTGTTAAATGAATGGAATTGGTTAATGCTTTCACGGGTATGTGAATTCATTCTAAGATTTAAGCCCTATCATTGTCATCTTATGTAATGTATACTCAAGGATCCTACCCCTGACTGTATCAGAATCACCAGTCAGTACACGATTTGAAAAACTGACTCCCAAGACTTGCTCCAGACTTCGAGTTGTCAGCTCCCAAAGGCTGCAGAAAAGGAGGCTGAATTAGAAGCCACAGTTACTCAATTCATAAAACAAATGTTATTACCTGTGCTTTCTTTTAAGAAGGAAGAGGACCATAGGTCAGATTGAAGACTTGTTACGGTATCTTTATTTTTAATACCCTTTGAAGATACTCTTTTTCCAGAATGCTCTAAGGAAACTTTATTTTCAGTGTTCTTGGAAGAGACTTCTTTCCTAAGGATTAAGAATATAGTGAAAACATACCTCCTTAGGTTAAAATTGTTTGATGCTTTCTATGGGTTCACAAACACATACACTATTTTTGATACAAATACACAATTTAATATGCCAACAATAAAATGACTAAAACATAGCTTCTTTGTGGAGAATATTACAAATAATTTGTGCTGATGATTAAAATTCTATTTCTACTTGACGTTTGCTGTATATCATTCTTAGAGTCTTCTCAGAGTTCTTTAATATAGAGCACATAAGCAATCAGTAATATAAGTACCTTTAGTACATGATTGTGATACGATGAAAAAACTATTTAAGGAAATTAGTCGAGATATTTTAGGTTTGAATGGATTCCTGTCATTGCTAAATATTTGCTTTACTTATGGAGAGAGTCCAACATTAATGTTAACCCTTAATCATAATATAGCCTTGTTTTGGAAATGCAGAGTGGCAGAGAGGAAGAAACACACCCATACACACAGATCTTCACTCCTCAAATGGTTACAACTGTGCCACACAGAAGTCAGGAGCCAGGAATCCATCCAAGTCTCCCATGTGTGTGGTAGGGGCCCCAGCACTTCATCTGCTGCCTTCCCAGGCTCATTAGTAGGGAGCTGGATTGGAAGTGCAACAACTGGGACTCGAACTGGTATTCTGTTATGAGATGCCTACACACTGCTACATATTAGGCCCTAAAGTAGCCTTTTGTATTAAGGAGCTAAACTTCAATTGGGTTAACTTTCTCTTTTAGTTTTCAAGACTGAAACAAAGCACTGAGACTTGTATGGTATTCTGTTCACAAAGACAGGTACCTATGCTTGTGGAAAATAACCCCAAGTCTCTTTTTTGAGGTCTTAAGACTCTTCCAATATGTTTCCTTCACAAATTTTTTTTTCTTTTTTTATTCAACCTCCAGTTTGCATGGAAAGATGTAACAAGGTATCGAGTATTGTATTTCCCCCAGAGTTATGGGGGTTCTGTTTTTTCCCCACTGGATTGTGAATCCAGAACACTGTCAGTTAAGCTAGTGGGCTTGTCCCCTGTAGCAAACAGGTTGCCCAGCTTGTGAAATTCTTAATATTACAGGAGGGAATGGAATCTTTGCATCCCCAGTAAACACAACTAAAGCGAAACCCTCTCTGGAAATGAAAAATGCACAGCAATGATCAACATTTGTTCTACTTTTGCCTACTGCTTTTCCCATTGTGAAAGCAAGCATCCAAGAGGATGCTGAGAAGTTACGAAAAGGAGGAGCTGAGAAGTTACTGAAATATTCACTGTCCAGCATGTGAGATTCCTGTTAGGCAAAAGGTCACTATACAAGTGACTACCAGAATTTAAATGTCTACTTTTGAATGTAGGTATTAAGGGCTTTGATGCTATTCCAGTCTGAATTACAATATTTCATTGAATCTAAGATAACAGCCATTCATTATAAGGTATACCATTTATGTATCACTAAGAAAAAACTGTCAAATATAAAAGCACATCAATTGTAAGATGTTAAAGTATGAAAAAAGTGTGCTTTAGAATCTATAAAATATGGAACTTATATATTTATATCCTTAAGGAAGGGAATTTAGCAAGTACAGTTCTGAGTATGTGTGTATTTGGAAATGCCTTTTATAATATTAGTGAAATACACATGGAGGTATCCAACAATACTCAACAGCCTGAGGATAAATGGAACGTTACCACTTGGAAGCAGTGATCATGCAAGAAAAATACCTAAATGACACTTGACCAAATTAGGATTTTTTTTTTTTAACTTATTTGACAGGTAGAGTTAGACAGTGAGAGAGACAAAGGTCTTCCTTCTGTTGGTTCCCCCGCAAACGGCCGCCATGGCCAGTGTGCTGTGCTGATCTGAAGCCAGGAGCCAGGTGGTCTCCCACATGGGTGCAGGCACCCAATCACCTGGGCCATCCTCCACTGCCCTCCCGGGCCACAGCAGAGAGCTGGACTGGAAGAGGAGCAACTAGAACCCAGCGCCCATATGGGATGCCAGAGCCGCAGGCGGAGGATTAGCCAAGTGAGCCACGGCACTGGCCCCAGGAATTTTTTTAAATTAAAGATTTATTTATTTGAAAGGCAGATTATTTTACAGACAGAAAGAAACAGAGAGAGATCTTCCATCCACTGGTTTACTCCCCAAATGGCTGCTTTGGCCTGGGATGAGTCGGGCTGAAGCCAGGAGCTAGGATCTTCATTCAGGTCTCCCATATGAGTGGCAGGGGCCCAATCACTTGAGTCATCCTCTGCTGCCTTCCCAGGCACATTAGCAGGGACCTGGATTGGAGGCCCAGTAGCTAGGACTAGAACCAGCTCCCACATGGGATGCCGGTACTATAGGCTGTGGTTTAATCTGCTGTGCCACAGTGCCAGGCTCCAAATCATGAATTTAGCAGGGAAAAAACATTCCTATTTGCTTCTTTTTTGTAGTCATTCTTATATAAAGTTTCAGAGGATCAGAGGTTCCAAGTTAAATTTTCTCTTCAACTAAAATCTCATAATTTCCATTTGAGAAAGTGATATGATTTACGGCAGTAAGGCCTCCAACCTTTCAGGAAAAACATAACTAGTCCACTTTTTTTTTTTTTTTTTTTTTTTGACAGGCAGAGTGGACAGAAGAGAGAGAGAGAGACAGAGAGAAAGGTCTTCCTTTGCCGTTGGTTCACCCTCCAATGGCCGCCGCGCTGCAGCTGGTGCACCGCACTGATCCGAAGACAGGAGCCAGGTGCTTCTCCTGGTCTCCCATGGGGTGCAGGGCCCAAGCACTTGGGCCATCCTCCACTGCCTTCCCAGGCCATAGCAGAGAGCTGGCCTGGAAGAGGGGCAACCAGGACAGAATCCAGCGCCCTGACGGGGACTAGAACCCGGTGTGCAGGCGGAGGATTAGCCTAGTGAGCTGCGATGCCGGCCCCACTAGTCCACTTTAAAAGATTTGTTTTCATTAGCTTTAAGTTAAATACAGTTACAACCAAGAAAAATTCAAATCTTACTTTATATAATAATGTCCTTTGGAAATGGAATGTTTTTAATTTAGTACTTACTAAAAGGGCTGGCGCTGTGGTGCAGCAGGTTAAAGCCATGGCTTACAGCACCGGTATCCCACATGGGTGCTGGTTTGTGTCCTGGCTGCTCCACTTCTGATCCGGCTCTCTGCTATGGCCTGGGAAAACAGTAGAGGATGGCCCAAGTCCCTGCACCTGTGAGGGAGACCCGAAGAAGCTCCTGGCTTTGGATCAGCTCAGCTCTGGCCATTGTGGTCATCTGGGGAGTGAACCAGCAGATGGAAGACCACCCCCCAACCCTGGCTCTACCTCGCTATGTAACTCTGTCTTTCAAATAAATAAAATAAATCTTTAAAAAAAAAAAGTAGTTACTAAAGTTACAAACTCAGGTCATGTTAGCTATTTCATTGGAACATATTTATGCTAAAGAATGGATAAACATAGGTTTTAGGATTTTTTTCTAAGTGTGTTAAGAGTATTAGTCATATTTAGGAAATCCCCCAAATTTCTATTAGAATTAGCAGCTTTTTAGGAGATTTATACTTTAAACTTTGCTTTAAGATGATTTATATTTATCATACATGGGCATAAAAACAAAATTCAATAAAAAACTTACTTTCCTGAGAATGTCTTAGCTACACTGAGAGAGACTTGTGTTGGTGAGGTATAACATTTTCTTTTTTTTTTTTTTTTTTTTTTTTTGACAGGCAGAGTGGACAGTGAGAGAGAGAGACAGAGAGAAAGGTCTTCCTTTTGCCGTTGGTTCACCCTCCAATGGCCGCCGCGGTCGGCGCGCTGCGGCCGGCGCACCGCGCTGATCCGATGGCAGGAGCCAGGAGCCAGGTGCTTTTCCTGGTCTCCCATGGGGTGCAGGGCCCAAGCACCTGGGCCATCCTCCACTGCACTCCCTGGCCACAGCAGAGAGCTGGCCTGGAAGAGGGGCAACCGGGACAGAATCCGGCGCCCCGACCGGGACTAGAACCCGGTGTGCCGGCGCCGCTAGGCGGAGGATTAGCCTAGTGAGCCGCGGCGCCGGCTCGAGGTATAACATTTTCTTGCAAATCTTGGTTTGGGTCTGAAGAGGTGTTTACTTGTGAAAACAGGAACAACAACAACAACAACAAAAAACTTGTCATTCATTTTGAAAAAAGTTTATAAAAACGTGATTACATAATAAAAAACTGTAAGACAGAATTTTTTCTTTTTCTTTTTCTTTTTTTATTTGACAGGTAGAGTCATAGACAGTGAGAGAGAGACAGAGAGAAAGGTCTTCCTTCTGTTGGTTCACTCCCAAAATGGCCAGCCCTGCGCCGGGCTGAAGCCAGGAGCCAGGTAATTCTTCCTGGTCTCCCATGCGGGTACAGGGCCCAAGCACTTGGGCCATCCTCCACTGCCTTCCCGGGCCACAGCAGAGAGCTGGACTGAAAGAGGAGCAACCAGGACTAGAACCTGGCGCCCATATGGGATGCCGGCGCTGCAGGCAGAGGATTAACCAAGTGAGCCATGGTGCCGGCCCCAAGACAGAATTTTTTCAAGCTCAGTTCTAGAGTTGAATGCTGTGGATTTGCTTCAGTTCCCACTCATACTTCTCAGTGTCCTTGAGAGTTTGACCAAAGAAAACAACAGATCTGGAGTAGGCATTTTTTGTTTGGACAGGCAGAGTTAGAGAGAGAGACAGAGAGAAAGGTCTTCCTTCCGTTGGTTCACCCCCCAAATAGCTGCTAAGGCCGGCGCGCTGCGCTGACCCGAAGCCAGAAGCCAGGAGCCAGGTGCTTCTCCTGGTCTCCCATGTGGGTGCAGGGCCCAAGCACTTGGGCCATCCTCCACTGCCTTCGCGGGCCACAGCAGAGAGCTGGGCTGGAAGAGGAGCAACCGGGACAGAATCTAGCACCCTAACTGGGACTAGAACCCAGGGTGCTGGTGCCGCAGGTGGAGAATTAGCCAAGTGAGCCACGACGCTGGCCTGGAGTAGGCATTTGACCCAAGGGTTCAGATGACACTTGGGCCACTCTGCTCCCCATTTCAGCTTCCGCTAATGCACAGCCTCGGAGGCAGTAGTAACGGCTAAAGTAGTTGGGTGCCTACCACACGTGTGAGAACCCAGACCGAGTTCCAGCTACGGGGTTGGCCAGTCCCAGTCATGGCAGGCATGTGAAGAATGACTTAGCAGATGGGAGCTTTCCATCTCAAAACAACAACAAACAACAACATCAAAACCCAACAGACCAGAGATTCAAGATCTAGAAAACTCTGTCCGGAATTCAAAATACAGTTATTTTTACTGTTGAAAATATTTTGTCATTTAAACCAGCATCTGTTGGGTAGATAAAATTTTTCATACAAGGGATTCATGGGAGCAAAATGGAAATGATAAAAGTGGGCTCTGTGTTCACAGACATCTGAAACTCCTGGTTTATGGAAACCACACCCCTGTGCTGGGCCCACAGGGAAGAATCAGAAGATTAGGGCAAAGCACTGCTGGAGAAAGAGAAAGAAAACTTCTGGCTTCCCCTGACCCAGTCGGGATAGCACCTTTTGGCAAACCCCCACTTACCAGTTAGCAATGCAGTGGAGTGGAAATCATGCTCAGAAAATTAACCCAATTTGTAGAGAAGTACTCTCTTCCTCAATAAAAGACCCCAGGATTTTAAATATTTCCTATGTGATCCTTTCTTTCAGTCCTGGCTCTGTTCACTTGCAGTTCTGGGTAAGTCACCTAAGCTGACAAACTACCCTGCTCTTGTGTACAAAGGAATTATGGAGAACCTGATCGTGTTTGCCTCTGCAAAAAGTAGTGTAGTTTCATAGGCAGATGTAATTATTATTGAGATCAAGAAAACAAGCAGTCATTACATTTTTTTATTTTGGCCCAGGCTGTTAGTGATTTATTCCTGGGGCTTATCAACCTCAGGATGTGGATTAGCCCTTGCTCTAAGTTCCAACATCACTTATCACAGTCTGTGTACATCAGGCCTTCCTTATGGATACAATACTTTATTTTCACCAAGGACCCGTTGATTTCTATTATTATAATTATTATTATTATTATTACTTAAAGTTACATCTCATATTTCTTGGAACATTTCCTAGAGATTTAAATATGCTTTCAATTGTGTAATAATTATTTAATTATGCATAGATTAGATTGACATACTTAAAGGGTTTTTTTCTCGTTAGTTGCAACCTTAAATGGAAATACATATTGATCCTCCACCACTGATGGGCTTATGTCTTTAACATAAAAATAGTGTATTTATATATTTATATTTAATATTTATAATTTAGGACAAAAGCCAAGGGACAGTTTAAGCTTTAAGCATGAAAGTTAATATATAAGTTGTATAAAGTAGAATTTTTTCAGCCAATAGTATTCAAAATAAACAAAAATAATAAGAATTTGACTAGAAGAATCCCATTGGAATGGTACCTACCAATCTGTCAATAATTCCTATGAATGACTGTGTCTTATGATCAGCTTTCAATCTATAATTTTTCAGGCTAATGGAATTTTTTTTCAGAAGCTAAGAAATGAGCATATTAGAAAGGGCTGTAAAGAATGATCAGAATCAATGCCTTGAACAGAGCAGGTACTGATGACTTAGTTACTAAAGTGATACTGTACTGCAATTTTTTAAAAAAAGACATTTTAAAAATTTATTTACTTATTTATATTTGAAAGGCAGAGTGACAGAGAGAGGGTGAGAGAGAGAGAGCCTACATCTACTAGTTCATTCCCCAAATGCCCACAATAGCTGGGGCTGGGCCCTCCAGGAGCCTGGAAATCAATCTGGGTCTCTCACATGAGTGGCAACTACTTGAGCCATCACCTGCTGCCTCCCAGGGTGCACATTAGCAGGAAGCTGGATTGGAAGCAGAGGTGGACAGGAACTCAGGTACTCTGATGGAGGATACAGGCATCTTAACCACTGCACCACAGTGTGTACCCTAGTATTGTGATTTTTTTTTAACATCAGTTTTTCAACTAGCTGAGATGATTGTTTTCCTTATTTAGTAGAAACAGTTTATGTTATAGTAAACAAATAATTTGTTTAATTTTAAAGTAAATATCAACTTAAAGAACTACTCTGGAAGAAAAAAGTATCAAAGGGAAATAGGAATGAGCAATGAAAATTATTATATATGTAAAATATAGACTTTATGGTGTTAAAGCATTAAAAGGAGAAGTTAATGTTATCTAATCCTCTACATTTTTATCAAAATTCATTTTTCATTTTAAATGATCTTCCATGTAACAATTGCTTTAAGTGAAGCACAAGCCACAGTGCTAATCCATGCATTTCTGGCCTTTCAAATTTAATTGGGTGACAAATGGTTGCATTATCTAGTTCTAATTGCCTAAAAGGTATGTGATGGATCAGCTGCTCAAAGACATCCTCTTACTCTGACATTGCTTCATTTGGCTCAATCATCACTTTTCCTGAAAAATAAGGAAAAGAATCCTCAGTATTTCATCAACAGAGATGTTCCTAGCAAATTTCTAATTGGTAAATATGTAGGATTTTTAAAAATATAGACTAATAAAGGATTTAACTGCTAAGTCATTCAATCACATTCAACCATTCCCATATTCTTAGTATTTGCACAAACACATTCTATGTAACAAATCACTCACCGTTTGCATCAAACACTAGCAATCTGTCACCCTATTTTTTGGTGCCTAAAATAGAAGCATAAATAAAAAGTAGCATTATCATTATGACATCAGTTTGAAGTATTTTAAATAATAACCTTTGTATAAATATTTCTATTCATTAGACTAAAATGTAATTTTATACTAATGCCAATTATTTCAAAAATATACAAATGACAGTAAAAGATCAAAAGCATCCTTAAAAATTTGGTCATATGCTCATAGTTTTACAACATCTATCTTGTCTAAATAATTCCTGCAAAAGAAACCAAAATATTTACCTCGTAAGTCTCTGAAGGGGCTGGTGGTGTGGTACCGCAGGCCAAGACAGCTTGCAATGCCCACATCCCATATCAGAGCATGGCTCTGAGTCCCAGCTGCTCATCTTCCTATCCAACTCCCTGCTAAGCACCTGGGAAAGCAGCAGAAAGATGGCTCAAGTGCTTCGGCCACTGCTACCCACACGGGAGTCCTGGATAGAGCTCTGGGCTCCTGGTTTTCTCCTGGCCATTGTGGCCTTTTGAGGAGTGAACCAGCAGATGGAAGACCTCTTTCTGTCTCTCTCTGCCTTTCAAATAAAATAAAATAATTTTTTTCTTTTAAACAGTCTCTGAGGGGCCGGCACTGTGGTGTATCGGGTAAAGCCGCTGCCTGCAGTGCCAGTGGGTGCTGCTTTGGATCCTGGCTGCTTCACTTCTGATCCAGCTCCCCTGCTCATGTGCCTGGGAAAGCAGCAGCAGATGGTCCAGATCCCTGGGCCCCTGCACCCACACTGAGGACTCAGAGAAGGTCCCTGGCTGCTGGCTTTGGCCTGGCCCAGTTCCAGCCATTGCAGCCATTTGGGGAGTGAACCAGTGGATGGAAGACTCTCTCTCTGCATCTCTGTAACTCTGTGTTTCAAATAAATAAATAAATCTTTTTTAAACAGTCTCTGAATGCTCACATAAATTTAAAATATGAATGAAACAGAAACCCAGTCATCAGTAGGGTACTAAGTATTTTTAATATGTATTTTTTAATTATTAGCATTATTTCCAGCTTAACTGTAAAGCCTCATTCTTCTGGATCATGAGATTATATTTAAAAATAAAATCTAGAGAAATTAACCCTTCCTTTTCTCATCATCTCCCCTGGGAGTTTATTAAAAAAGAGCTGTAGGTGGGCAGGCATTGTGGCATAGCAGGTTAAGTCGGGACACCACATCTGCATCCCAGGTTAAGCCTGGGACACCACATCTGCCTTCAATATCCAAGTGTCTAGGATTCAGTCCAGCCTCTGCCTCAGATCCAGCTTCCTGTGAATGTGCCTGGAAGGCAGCAGCTGATGATTTAAGTACTTGAGTTTTTACCAAGAGACTTGGATGGAGTTCCTGGTCCAGCCCTAGCTGTTAGGCGGATTTGGGGAGTGTACTACTGGATGGAAGACTGATCTCTTCCCCCGCCCTGTCTTTCAAATAAATAGATCTTTAAAAATTCAGAGTTATAGGAGTAATTTCGCATGGGAAAAAAGTCATGTAAAAATATGCCTCTAATTCTTGGTTATCCTTTTGGATTTATATAACTTGGGCTTTAGACCTAGATACAAATAAAACCAACAGCAAGCTAAGGACCCCCCTTTCCTACTGAGCAGACCCCAGAAACCACACTCACTCTGTTTCCCTATACAGCACCATTTCTCTCACCTACTTCAACAGAACAGAACAGAACAGAACACAACAAGGAAATCAAACTGTCTGCCATGTTCCAGTTTACTGGTGTTAATGAAGAACACCCTTTAGAGTGTATGTGGGCCAGCACACCATGGCATTGCTCCATGATATTTCAAGACATAATAATTTTAATAAAGTATTATTTAAATAAACACAGAAATTGACCTTTGGTTTACCCAAAGATACATTTAAAATATAATTCTTGGGGCTGGCACTGTGATGCACCAAGCTAAGCTGCTACTTGGCACACCCATATCCCATATCAGAGTGTCAGTTCAAGTCCCGCTATTCCATTTCCAATCCAGCTTCCTGCTAGTGCATCTCGGGAGGGAGCAGATGATGGCTCAAGTGCGTGGGTCCCTGCCACCCATGTGCCACCCAAGTTCTGGGCTCCAGCTTCAGCCTGGGCCAGATTCTGGGGAGTGAGCCAGGGCATGAAAGCTGTTTTTTATCTCTGTCTCTTGCTCTTTCAGGCAAATGAAAATAAACAAACATTTAAAACAATAATTCTTACCTTTTGAAGTTCTCTTATGTGTTTATCAATAATTATAAGCCACACTGTTTTCTCTGTGAGTTTTTACTTCCTAAGCTACCTAGCATCAGGTTTGATTTTTCTATAACTTAGCCCATTACATATTGTAAACAGAAAAATTCCAATTGTAATTTATTCCAATTCATTCCAATTGTTAACAGAAAAATAAACTCTAAAGGTCTTTTTAAATATAGAAGAGGCCACACTTCAATTTTTCATATGTAACAATCTACTTGTTCTACAATCTAACACTCATCCCCACATCCCAAGCCAGGTTTTAAAAAATTATTTTTATCATAACATGCCCAGGAATTTCTAGAGTACAAAATTCAGAGCCAAAACTATGAACAATAAAAGAGTAGCTTTTATTATTTTATATTGTTTTTTAAATTGTTATCTATTTTCATTTTATATGTGAGACAGAGAGATTCACAGAGATAGGGAGTGAGAGAGACCTTCTATCTGCTGGTTCACTTCCCAAATGCCTGCAACAGCAGGGACTAGGCCAGGGAGCCCAGAATTCAATCCTGGTCTCCCACATGGGTCATGGGGACCCAAGTCCTTGAGCCATCACTGGCTCCCTCCCAGGGTGTGCATTAGCTGGAAATGGGAGCAGAGCTGGGACTCAAATCCAGGCTCTCAGGTGATACAAGATAAGGTTGGCTGAAGTCTGACCCATTGCGCTAAATGCCCACCCCAAACCTCTTCTTGTTCCTTTTGTGAGACCCACTGACTTGCCATCCTGAATAAACCAGTAGTACAGAAACTTGCTTCAGGCTTTGCTTTCTGAAGAACTCTGATCAACCCAAGTATTACATAAGTCATTAATTTGATTATCCTTCTGAGAGGCACAGAGAGAGCTACATTTAGTCTATCAGAAAAGCAAGGCATCTTTTGGGGCAACCAAAAGATCCTGTATCCTGTGGATACAGGAAAGATTTTACTCTAATTCTCCAGGGCACTGGGAAGCAGGAACAAGGCCATAGTGAATTCAATGGGGCCTTAACAAAGGGTGTAAGATAACCTGCTGAGAGCTTTTCTCCTCCACAGCTCCACCCACAGTGCTGTGGGCGCTCACTTAAGGAGAGCATCACCTTTTTATTTAGAGCCCTGCTCTCCATTCTAGCTCCAGGATCTTCACGGATCGCAACATTCCACCTGTTACCGGGACTGACACATCAGTGCATATAATTCCTCTCCCATTTTCACCTGGTGAAGGGAAAAATCTGTGATAGGCAGGTCCTGGCTTTTGATGGAGACCCACCACTTCTCAGCCCAGCCTGATCATTTATTACCCAGGAAGAGCCCATTTAATCTCCTTTTATAACACTGAACTCCACGGCAGGCAGAGCAGAGTAATACAAACTGGATTCACATCTGCTGCTGCCCGGGTGGACTTGGGCAAGTTATTTACCTTCTCGAAGCTTTCGTTCTTCCATCTGAAAAATGGGAATCCCGGTGGGGCCTGCTTTACTGAGTACAGGACTTCAGTGGCACAACCGGGGCAGAATGTTTAGCCCAGAGCCTGGCACACGGGAGGGACACTGGAAACCACCTGCTGTTGTACTGGAGGACAAGCTGCCGGGTACCTCACACGGGGCTAGGCGTGCATAGGGCAACCAAAAGGAGGCTTTCCCATGACTGAGAGAAGCAGACTCACTCTGAGGGCTTTTAATTAATTAACAAAAGAAACCACACAAGTCCTAAAGTACTGAACTTGCTGAGGAAGATCACTGACACCAGGGAAAAGGCAGTAACTTAGAACGCGGGTGAAGTTACAAGAGCACATGGTAAGCTGAGCAGAATGAGGACTGGCTGGTATATGGACCATATACCATCTGAAAGGAAACGCTTTCTTTCAGAAAAGAACTGATAATACTGGTTGACTCTGGGGAACAAAAAGAGATAACAGCGGGATTTGCATGTGAGGAAGACTTACTTTATGTCCATTTGTGCCTCTTGAACTTGGAACAAAACAAACCACTTGGCATGAAAAGAGAGGTCAGATAGAGAGCCAGGGGAGCACTGGAGTGGGGTAAGAAAAGCGTACCTCCCCAGTCTGTATATATATCACCATTTTTTTCCCTGGACTAGAAGATAGTAAATATTCTGTAAAGGCCCAGATACTAAATATTTTAGGCTTCCTGAGCCAGACGGTCTTTGTGGAAACGACTAAATTTTGCCATTGTAATTAAGAGCTATCATTGACAATCTAGGAAAAAATGAGAGTGTCTGTCTGCATTCCAATAAAACTTCATTTACAAATGTAGGTGGTGAGTCATGCTTGGCCCATAGGCTGTAATTTGCCAACTCCTGCTCTGATCTATTCCAGTAGCCTCTCAGTCTCCTTCCATCCTGTTCTCTTAGGTTTATCCCCCACAGAAATCCCTTCTTCCTTTTTTTTTTTTTTTTAATTTAGCTAATTTTTTTTTGAAAAGCAGGGTTACAGAGAAGAAGGAAAAGGGAGAAAGAGAGGGAAAAGAGAGAGAGGGGGAAGAGGTGGAGAGAGAGAGAGAGAGAGAGAGAGAGAGAGAGAGAGAGAGATTGACTTCTATTTCCTTGTTTACTCCCCAAATGGCTACACTGGTTAGGGCTAGGTCAGGCCAAAGCCAGGAGCCAGGAACTCCATCTGTGTTTCCCCTATGGGCGGCATAAGCTCAAGTACTTTAGCCTCAGGTGCATCAGCAGGGAGCTAGATCAGAAACACAGCAGCCAGGACTGGAACCAGTACTCATGCAGGATGTCAGTGGTGCAGACGTTGGCTTAACCTGCAGCATCGCAATGCCAGCTCCAAGAATTTCTTCTAGGATACATCTAATCATGTGCTCAGCCCTTAAAAGCCTTGGTTCATTCTTTAGTGCCTCCTGGTTAAGTCCTACATTCTTAGCACCTGGCAGTTAATGGCTGTTCTCACTTGTTCCGACATACATTTCCAATGTCAACTGTCGCCACTGATGATTCTAGCTTGGGTGATGAGCATGTGGGTACCAGAGGAGGAGCACATTCTGGGGGACGAGTTTGTTTCTGAAGATCCTGAGGTGGAGCGGCAAGTTGTCCTATTTCATTGGAAGAGGAGTGCAGAACTCCAGAGAGAAGATGATGTACAGGACAGCGACACAGAACCTGAGAATCAATGGAACTGCCCATATTCAAATAAGACTAGGCTGAGCACAGAATCCTGGGAAACTCTTAAGAAGCAGGTGCAGAAAAGCAGCAGGCAAGGAAATACATGTAAGACACATGTAGACGAGTAACTGCGGAGGGCTGGAACGATGAAAGCTTGGTCAGAGCAGACATGGGTTCTTACAGACAGCGACTGAGTGAACAAAACCACTGGAATATTATAAAGTAACTTGATTGGCTTAAAGTGCTCTAATAGGCAAAAAGAAAGGCTCACAGAATTGGGAGGGGGGACTCTGAGAAAAGAGTTGAGGGAAAGCAGAGATACTTGTTTTATAAGAAAAAAAGAAATACTCACATACTTACATAGAAGCATGGGTAATATTACCCAGAAGATGGATTATATCATTAAATATGTATACAGCAAGATGATTTGTAAAGGTATAATTACATGCATATATATGTTTGAAAATATTCTGTGTGTTCTATAAATAAAAACGAACTTGGGGCTGGGGCACAGCTGGGTAGAGGTCAGGAAGGGCTCCTCCTAGGAGAATGGGCTGGGCTCTTGGGTTCTTAGCTGTACTGCTCTGTGTTCTTGCTTGCAAGATACAGAAACCACACCAGGCATAGGCAAAGAAGGAATGTGCTGCTATCGCTTCTCAGCCTTTTGGCAAAGATCCAGTGTGGAACGCGCTGCCGACTCACTGGACTCCCAAGCTGTGTGGAGGGCCGAGAGCAGTGGATCGGGTCGTGTTCCAGGGCTCAGGGGTCTGTTCCTGCCTCATCACGCTTCTCCTCACGTGTGGCGCTTACTCTTCTCTCTCACTGCAGACAGATTTTCTACACCTGGTGAAAATGTGGCTTCCAGAAATTCCTAGGTTTCATGTGATATAATTCTAGCCCCTAGGGAAAAATAATTTCTGCTGGCGCCGCGGCTCACTAGGCTAATCCTCCGCCTTGCGGCGCTGGCACACCAGGTTCTAGTCCCAGCTGGGGCGCCGGTTCTGTCCTGGTTGCTCCTCTTCCAGTCCAGCTCTCTGCTGTGGCCCAGGAGTGCAGTGGAGGATGGTGCAAGTACTTGGGCCCTGCACCCTATGGGAGACCAGGAGAAGCACCTGGCTCTTGCCATCGTATCAGCGCAGTGCGCCGGCCGCAGTGCGCTGGCCGCGGCGGCCACTGAGGGGTGAACCAACGGCAAAGGAAGACCTTTCTCTCTGTCTCTCTCTCTCACTGTCCTCTCTGCCTGTCAAAAAAAAAATAATAATTTCTATCTTAACCCAAAAGCCCAGTCAAGGGCCTGCTGAGTTCAGCTATTTGGGGTGGGGGTACAAAGAACAGATCAACTCAATCCATCTTAAGAAAAATGGAGGCCTCCTATGAGGTCAAATATAATATCATAATTTCATTCATTCATTCTTTGCCCGCCTTCCTTACTAGATGGAGTTACATATCTCCAGTGCCTAGAGTTTCCAATATGGTAGCTTTTGAACACTGAACTGTGATTAATTCAAAATGTACACACCCCAGAGCTTTAAGATGTAGTACTTAAAATAGAATTAAATCCTCTGAGGGGCCTGTGCGGTGGCATAGCAGGTAGGGCCATTGCTATGTTCTAGGGCCAGTGCTCGTTCTAGTCCCAGCTACTCCAGTTCCGATCTACTTCTGATCTCTGCTGTGACCTGGGAAAGCAGTAGAGGACAGCCCAAGTCCTTGGGTCCCTGCACCTGCATGGAAGACCTGGAGGAAGCTCCTGGCTCCTGGCTTTGGATCGCTGCAGCTCCGGCCATTGCAGCCGATTGGGGAGTGAACCAGCAGATGGAAGACCTGTGTGTGTGTGTGTGTGTGTCTGTGTCTGTAACTGACTTCCAAATAAATCAATAAAAAAAATCCCACCTCTGATATACTCATTCATTTATGTACATGTTCATTAACCAGCAGCCAGTAGGGCCAAATAGATTTTATTTGGACTCTATAGACCAAATAACCTTTAATACAATGAGCTATCAATATTTAAAATTCAGATTTCAGGGGAAGGTGTTTGGCCTAACAGGATGCCAGTTAGGTTACCTTTGTCCCATGTTAGAGTACCTGGGTTCCATCCCCGTTCCTGCTCCTGACTCTAACTTCCTGCCAATGCAGACCTGGGGAGGCAGCAGCAACCATGGCTCAAGTAACCAGGTTCCTCCCATCCATGTGGAAGACGTGGCAGGGCTCCAGTCCCAGCCATTGCAGGCACTGGAGGAATGAACCAGCAAATGAGAGCCCTCTCCCTCTCTCTCTCTCTCTCTCTCTCTCTCACACACACACACACACACAAAGCTGAAAACAAAACAAAAAGCCAAACAACTCATCCAGATTTCAAAATATATCCTTTTTTTTAGGTTTCCCTTGCAATATTGGAGAACATAACATAGCTTTTCTTCACCCCGCTTGTAAACACCTTATATTGTGAGAGGCGAAGCATAAATGAAGAGACAGCCACATGCTCAGGTGGGAAGGAGAGACGATGATCAGGGACCATCCTCAAGGAGCTTACTGCAGGAAAATGTGTGTGCAAAATGGGTTTCAATGATGACTCATTACATTCATTTTTAAAGGAGCTAAATGCAAATATTGTATATTTCCTTTATATGATAATATAGTGCCAGGAGCCCAGACTTTGGAGTCAGATTGTCTATGTTCAGATCCCAGCTAATTGTGTGATCTTGGGCCAGTTGCTTAACCTCTCTGTGAGTCCATTCTTCACCTATAAAGTGATGATAAAGATACCACCTGCTTCATAGAGCTCACAGTAGCTAATAGTAACAGGAGCACACTTGTGTCCTACCAGAGTTACAATGGCCACAACTCCTCCTCCTGCCGCTGCGGCTGTGACCCTGGTTATGACCATCTACAGCCTAGCATGGCCAGTGCTGAAGGTGTATGCCGACAAAAGAAGCCAGTTCCAAGGGCGCCAATGAGACTGTGGGGCAGAGGAGGGGTGGAAGGCCCCGAGAGGACTCTGGCTGAGTGCTGGGACAGGGTAGGAAGCTGCAGAATTCAGGAGCAGGTGCGAGGAATCCTTGCGAAGGTGCGCATTTGGCTCTGGTAAACTCCACACTTAACAAGTAGCGCTGTTGTTCTTTTCCGGAGATTGGAAAAACAAACAACTCCGATTAGCAAGGAAAAAAAGTTAACAAATTGGATTTGGGGATCGCTGTATTTTTTTTTTTTAGGAGAATGAAACAAAACACGTTTTCAGTGTCTTTTCGGATTTAAGCAACTTCTAGGAGCGCTCCTGGAGTGAGAACAGATTCAGCCAATTTACCTATGCCAACCGGGAATTTAATTGCTCATGGAGCCTTGGCGTTACTTTAAGGAGCGCGGGGAGTAGTAGTTTGAATAGGCAGAAGTCCATAATATCTTGATTTTAGAAGTCTCAAGTCAAATTCCACCCAGGCTGGACCTTAGAGGTGATCCGTTTATCAGAACTCCCCATTTTGCGGGAGATGAAAGCAAAATGCTGGAAGCTAAGTGATATATACAAATTCCACCGAAATTTTTACGGCTAAGCGAGTAGTGACGTCTCAACTGCAGCCAGCGGGTGCTCGCCCTTTGTCCAGAAGCGGGAACCAGAAGCCCTGAATGGAATGTGGCTATTTGCATTGGGACGGGGGGTGTGGCTCGTGCCAGTCAGGTGGAAAGATGGTGGTGCCGCCCAGTTATCACCCGCACCTTCGCAACCACAAACGCCACTCCCTGGGTGCCCACCTCCATCGGGAAGGCGAAGCCGAGTGCCAGGCACACCCGCGGCCGCGCGGGTCCTACCTTCTAAGACGGCGCCTCGGCAGCCGTGGGCCCCCGAGCCCGAAGCTGGAGGAGCACAGAAGTTTGCGGGTTCAGGCGCAGGGTCTGCGGTCGTCCGGAGTGCCGGCTGGGTACGGCTGTGCACCGAGCCTCTCAGCCGCTGGGAGCCTTCCGGAGCCGACGCGCGAAGCGCGGACACCAAAAGCCAGCCCGGCCCGGCCCTCGCGCGTTCTGGAGCGCGCGGCCTGAGACGCCGCGTCGCTATGGAGATTGGACGCCGCGCGGCGGAAGCCGGGGGAGGGGCCGGGAGTAGAGGCCGCGGAGTGGGGCGGGGCCGGGGGCGGGGCTAGCTCGGAGAGCCACCGAGGGGGCGAGGTGGACAGTCCTTTCCTCCAAGAGCACCCCAGTCCTGGGGTTTCGCCCAGCGGCACGTCGGGTGCGCTCACCCGGGGACAGACCCGCTCACGTGCCAGGTGTCCATATGCGATCCTGATTCTAGAGGGTAAAGAGAAAGAGGCAGGGTGGCCCCGTCGATGTTTTAACTTTGTGGAGTAAAAGAAGTCCTGATTGGGGCAGGCGCTGTGGGGCTTCGGGTTAAGCCGCCCTGAGGCACTGAGTGCGCTGGATCTGGTCCCGTCTCCACGCCGGCTCCAGCGTCCTGGAAGGCGGCGGTTAATGATCTAGCCCTTGGGCCTCTGCCCCCGACGGGGCGCACCCGGATGGTGTTCCTGGCTCCTGGCCTCCACTTGGCTCAGCAACGCCTTTTGAAAGAAGCGAGAGAATTTGAATCAAATCTGGATTTAAATTTCGAGTATAATCATATAATAATCGCTATTTAGCCTCTGGTGTTAGGTTCCCTCTGGGAATGTGTACCTTGGTAGTTGGTTGTGAACTTCACACACTTGATCTTAGCCAAAAGGCCGAGAAGCGATGTGAACTTCAAATAAAAAATGTAAAGCTCTGACAATGCTTATTAAGAATGCAATAAAAATAGTTGGGTCATGAAGGAACCGAGAGTTTGTAGAGAGACTGAGTCATTTTGAAATTCTCTTAATCATCTGTTCACATTCGCTCTCTAAATCTCCTGTGAGCCATGGGTGATTGAGGGAGGCAAAGAAAAAATGCCAGAATGGACGTTTTAAAACAACTTAATGAAGTCACTGACAAACCCATTCCTAGTCGGATAAGCAAGTCCCCACCTCCTCTATCACAGGAACACCCTTGCATAGCTGATGTCTTATGTTTGAAGACTTTCATTCAAACAAGACAAATTCATTCTATTTCTTGATCAGCGACCTTGCAACCGTTACTTGGCTGAATTTGCTAAGCACTGATACACAGGTAACAGTTGACTGCCTCTTCCCATTGTTCTACTCCAGGAAATGTAAGAAAACATCAGATCTGACTGATTAAACTTTGTCTTCCTAGTCTCTGCCTCCCAGCCCCTCTCCAAGAGAAGAATTCAAGTCCATCGTGAAATGTAGTTTTCAATCTTCTTTATCTATTGTTACTGAAAGAAGGGGCAAACAGATTGATAGCTTCTGAGAATAAAAGTTATATTCTCCATGTGAGGGAGTCCTGGGAGGGATCTGGCTTCTACCCTGGGGCTCAGGGGCTTCAAGTACAGAGTGGGATGTGTGCACTGTGTGCTCCTGCAGCTCAGAAGGTGGACGAGAGAAAGGGAAAGCCGCAGACACAGGCCCTGGCAAGTGACAGTCAGTCAGTATTTCGTTGATATTACTTTTTCTATAATACATAGGTGAACAAAGTACCTAATTTCAGGGCAGCTCTGAGGATTAAACACCCTGCCTGTCCCAGGGCTTATTCCAACCGGTGATGGCTGTTATACTCTGCTGATGAAAAAAGCATTCCATCTCATCCATATTTGTATAGGTTCAGAAATCATTCATAACTTTTGTGCAAAAGTTGTTATTTGTGTAATACTCACAAGTAATGCACCGTTTAGCTCTGTCTGACCTGCATAATCAGGCAGCGGAATACATCACCAAAAGGATCTATCCTGTGAGGCTTTGTTCTAACAAAGTGAAAAGGAAAAGCCAAAGGCTCATACAAATATGGAATCACTTCATCACAACTACCTTTATTAATCTCCATGGTGTTAATGGATACATTCTTTTTTTTTTAAGATTTATTTATTTATTTGATACATAGTTACAGAGAGGCAGAGGCAGAGAGAGAGAAAAGTCTTCTATCCACTGATTCACTCCCCAAATGGCTGCAACGGCCAGAGCTGCACCGATCTGAAGCCAGGAGCCAGGAGCTTCTTCCAGGTCTCCCACTCGGGTGCAGGGGCCCAGGGACTTGGGCCATCTTCTACTGCTTTCCCAGGCCATAGCAGAGAGCTGGAAAGGAAGTGGAGCAGCCAGGACTCAAACCAGCCCCCATATGGGATGTCGACACTGCAGGTGGTGGATTTGCCTGCTACGCACAGCACCAGCCTGGATAAATTCTTGTTGCAGATTGTTATATCTTAATGTTAGCCATCACAAAGCACACCGGACACCGGAGTAAGGGAAAGGGTTTATCGGGGAACAACCTATAGAGTGAAGGGGCGGTGAAGGAAAAAGAGAGAAAGAGAATATAAGAGAGAAACAGAGAGGAGAGGAGCTAGCAAGGAGAGAAGAGAGCAGAGAAGAGGAGAGAGGAGAGGAGAGAGGAGAGCAGAGCCAAGAGCCAAGAGAAGGAGGCTAGAGAGAGGAACCGAGAGAGAGCAGGAGAGAAGGGCCAAGAGAGAAGGGGCAAGAGAGCACGTGTTCAGGAACAGGCCCTTTTAAAACTTTGCCTGAGGGCGGGCAGGGAAGCAGGAGCAGCCAATCCCATTAGGATGGGGGTGGAGCCTGGCTCAGGTAGCTGGGCCATTCGGCCACTGCGCCAGTTTCCTAACACAGATTTGAATGTTAGCAGACCATCTTACAAAAAATGCTTGAATAACATATAGTATTTTTCTGGTTATAAAACTAATGCATGCTCATGAAAGAGAATTTGCAACTCACAAACAGAAACACAAATAAAAACTAAATATACCCAGAAATCCACCCAATCATAACCTCAATCAGTAATTCTATTTTTCCTTCTAGTCTTTTGTGTACAAATATATATTTACTTTATAAAATTTATATTACATGGCATATAATCGCTAGCATCCCTTTTTGTTGAACATTCTTTCTTGACCATTTCCCTAATGTCTTTAAATCTTCAGAACATTTTAATGGTTATATAATATAATTTGCATAAATCATCATTTATCCATAATTTACCCAACCAGGCCCCAATTTTGGAACTTTCCAACTTTTCTATTATAATTCATTCTTTCAAAGACTATTTCTGGAGCGTTTACTACCTATGAGACACTATGTTAGACATATGACTTAAGTGATAAACAGTGATTATGGAAAATAAGGATTTGAGGACCACCTTTCAAACGTTGGGTGTATCGTTCATTCTTAGACTGAATTCCTACTATTATGAAAACATAACTTCAAAGAGCATTCTTTGAGCATCAAAGGCAAACTTAAGAAACTAGAACTCTGAACTGTAAAATATTAACTTTTTGGAAAACCACCACCAAGAGAATTCGTATTTATTTTGTGTGCAGTGTGGACTTCCCCAGCAGATGCATTCTCGTTAGTTACCGGCAAACATCGTGGGTATTTGGAGAGTATTGACTTTGGCTTTTACCTCTAATTCTTGCCAGGATTTGCTGGTTTCTCAATGCTCTGAGATTGTTTGAAGTCTATGCAAATTATCCTACTTCCTCCTCTCACAGTTAAAACGTTAACTACACCATTTTATTTCCTAATGTGAACATAGGGCTTTTTTACAGTCTTTATTTTCTTGTGTGAAACATTTTGTATCTTCAAACTCACCAACCTGAAGACAGATTTCTTTCTTCTAAACGCAAGGTAGAACACACATACTCAACAGCACATTTTGGATCAAGAGATTTCTCTTCTCCCTCCCCCCTCTCCCCCAAAAAGGACACATATACTCCTCTAAGGCCTGGACTTAAATCCTGTCATTAATTTTGCTTAAGAATAATCATGTAAATTAACCAGTGCACATAGGGAATTTCATAATAGAGATTATTTATTAAAAGCAATAAGTACTCCCACAACACACATTTGCACACACACACACACCCTATTCATTGACAAGAATGGTATTGCCTTTTTATACATTAGGTTGAGCCATATGAAATTGCCATTTGTAGATAAGAAATAGTCAAGAAATGACAGCTTCATATGGTTCTATCTATATAAATATTTCATTAATTTAAATTCTTTCCAACTTGCTCCAAATATTGAACCTCCTGATTATCATACTGAGGGTATTTGGTTTGTTTGCTTTGACTTTCATAAATATTGGAATCTAGCACCAGGGTGCCATAAAACATTTGTTTATTATTTCAGAGACAGTAGAGGGAGCCTGGAGCCAAAACATTGCTATTATGGGCAGCATGTAAATGACAATCGTCTTCCAATTCTTGATGTGTGGCTGAAATTAAATACTAGTGTATGTTTGAAATAGCAATCATTTCTGAAAAGGTTGGTTGTGCTTACAAATCACTTTAATGCAATTGGAAGGAGGGGCAGGTGTTGGGCACAGCAGTTAAGATGCTGCCTGGGACGCCTGCATGCCGTAACACAGTGCCTGATTCAAATCTCAGCTCCACTTCTGAGTCCAGCTTCTGGTGATGGTTCAAGAACTTGGTTCCTGCTGCCCACATGGGACATCTGGATTGAATCCTGGCTTCGGCCTGAACCAGCCAAGGAGGTTGTGAGTACTGAAGGGTGAACTAGCAGATGGAAGATGTCTCTCTGTGTCTCTTTCCTTTTCAAATAAAAATATTTTTATAGAAAGTTATTTTATTTATTTGAAAGGTAGAGTTACAAAGAGAAGAGAGGCAGAGGAGAGAAAGTGAGGGGGAGGGAGGGAGGGAGGGAGGGAGGGAGGGAGAGCTCTTCCATCTGCTGTTTCACTCTCTGAATGGCCATGAAGGCCAGGGCTGGGCCAGGCTGAAGCCAGGAGCCAGAAGCTTCTTCCAGGTCTCCCATGTGGGTGCAGGTGCCCAAGGACTTGAGACATCCTCCTCTGTTTTACCAGGCCATTAGCAGGGAGTAAGATTGGAAATGGAGCAGCCAGGACTCAAACCGGTGCCCATATAGAATACTAGTATTGCAGGCAGTGGCTTTACCTGCTGTGCCACAATGCTGGCTCCCCAAACAATAATT